TGACAGACAAAGGACAGACAGGCCACGACATGAGCTCATTTGACTTTTTAGTCAGGTGAGCTCCACAACATGCCTCAATAAGGAACATATGTTTTGAATCAAACTCAAGAAATACCAATTTTCATAACATTTTGAAATGGTACAACAATGCCCATAAATATGGTTGCTCGGGTGACCATATTAAAATCAGATTTGAAAGTCTTGGACACTTTTTCATTCATTTGGTTCACTGGTTTCTAAAGAGAATTGTTTTATGATGGACGATTCATGACGGGCAGGAGACAAACAGGATATGACGTGACTCAACTTTCAGTCAGGGGTGCTAAAACCGGTTATGTGAAGGTCTAAGGTCGTAGCTGAAACAAAAATAAAAATTATCCGAATGATATTAGCTCACTCATATGAATTTCAGTCTAAATATCTATAGAATTTTTTGTATTGTGACAGTTACTTAATTTTCTCATTCATCCCTTTGCAGTGTGATTATTAAGAAATGGTGAATCATGTTCATGCCATTTGTATAACATTCATTTGTATTTTCCCCATTGATATAACATAACATAACACATTGTTGGGTTGGATTGCTGTCTATGACAGACTAATCTTAAACCACAGACACTGCAACAGCTTGCTTGCGCTGAGTGAGTTAACCTTCCTCATTGTGTAATCTTCTCATTTCATTCATATTTATTAACAAAATCACAAAAGAATACAATCTAATTATACTTGTGAAGATCCAAGTTAGATATGGTCTTTAGCATTAATGCTTGTCGTAAAAGGCGACTATGTTACTTTGTCGTAAGAGACATCTAACGGGATCGGATGGTCAGAGGTGGGTGAAATGGGGCTTAACGTCGCGTCCAAGAATATTGGACTTATATAGTGACGTGCATGCACGTGTATGCGTGTGTGTGGCTGCTTGTACTAGTACGAACTGATGCCGATTTATAGTGCTAGCTCACTGAGATAACACGCCACAGTTTAACATGAATTCCCCACCCAGACACAGTATACTGACTCCGACCCGACCAGTCCTTGTTTTAGCCCCTTAATGCCGAGCGCCAGACAGGATAACAACAAGTACCATCTTTTAACGTATTTTGGTATGACGCGGTCGGTGATCAAGCCCCGGACCTTCCGCCCTCCGGGCGGACGCTCTACCATTAGACCACGGAGGCGGTATCGGATGGTCAGACTCAGTGACCTCATTTATGCATGTCATCGTATCCCAATGACGTAGTTCGATGCTCATGATATGAATCACTGGACTATCTGGCCCAGACTTGATTATTTATTATTTATTTATGACTGCAGTCATATAGATCGAATATTGCTGAATGCAGTGTTCAATAACAAACAAACATTTGTATCAAGACATGAATTATGATAATAAAGTAATAAACAAACAGCATAATGGCACCAGGAATGGCTCGTTATATCTTTTCAGTTTAAATTTTAACGCAGTACCTCTACCGGGTGTACTGGGTTTACCTCTACTGGGTATACAGGGTGTATCTCTACTGGATGTACCTCTACTGTATGTACTGGGTGTACCTCTACTGGGTGTACTGGGTGTATCTCTACTGGGTGTATCACTGTTGTGTATACCCCCACTGAGTGTACTGGGTGTATCGCTAATGGGTTACCTCTGCTGGGTGCACCTCTACTGGGTGTACTGGGTGTACCTCTGCTGGGTGTACCTCTACTGGGAATACTGCGTGTACCTCTACAGGGTGTACTGTGTGTATCTCTATTGGGTGTATCTCTAGTGGGTGTACCTCTCCTGGGTGTACCTCTACTGTGAGAACTTTTACTGGGTGTACTTAATGTAACTCTACAGGATGTATCTCTGCTTGGTGTACATGGTTTACCACTGCTGGGTGTACTGAGTGCATCTCGACTTGGTGTACCTCTACTGGGTGTAATGGATGTACGCCTATTGGGTGTATCACTGCTGGGTTTAACTCTAATGTGTCTACCTCTACTTGGTGCACATCTACTGGATGTACCTCTTCTTGGTGTATCTCTACTAGGTTCATCTATACTAGGTGTACGAGGTGTACCTCTACTGTGTTTACCTCTGCTGGGTGTACCTCTTCCTCTACTGGGTGTACTGGGTATATCACTACTGGGTGTACCTCTACTGATTGTACCACTACTGGGTGTATTGGGTGTACCTCTACTGGGTGTATCTCTACTGGGTGCACCTCTACTGGGTGTACCACTATGGGTGCACTGGGTGTACCGCTACTAGGTGTATCTCTACTGGGTGTATCTGTACAGGGTGTACTGGGTGTATCTCTTCTGGGTGTACCTCTACCGGGTGTATCACTGCTGTGAATACCTCTAATTGGTGTGGGGCAGTCAGACCCGGGTTCGATTCTCGACATAGGTACAATGTGTGAAGCCCATTTCTGGTGTTCCCCGCCGGGTCACGTCAGACCGACCAATGAAATGACTGACAGGAAGTCGACATTAGTAAATCAGAAAGCAGCTTTCTCATGCTTTACGGCACTCATGTCTAATTGGCAACTACGCTTCGAAACATATTTTGACAAATTCTCGATTAAAAAATTGAAACCTGAACAAAAGAATATTCTGGGATGGCTAATTGAAGGTCTAACTTGTGTGGATTCAGTCGTAAAGCCTGTAACTATCGTTCGGAATACCCCGTGTTAAAGATTTCGAGGCTGCATGATTAGGAATCACATTCCGACTGTCACTTTCATGATCTGGTAAGCGACGCTCTGATTGGTCGGATGAAAGGTCGTTCTGACGTGACCCCTAGTGGGATGTCCTCAGATTGCATAACAATACATGTGAGGATCAATTGTCATGGTTTGAACATCATGTGTCAGTCTCATTATGCCATGTCACCGTATGCAACAGAATTCTCGACTATGTGTAATATGACTTTCACCTCTCTTTAGATCACAGACATATACTGGCATATGGTCTCTCCAGGATGTACTTTACCTGCACCCCTTCCACCTCTCTTTATATCACAGACATATACTGGCATATGGTCTCTGTCTGGATACACTTTCATCTGCATCCCTTCCACCTCTCCCTAAGTCACAGTCATATACTGCCATATGGTCTCTCTCTGGATACACTTTCACCTGCATGCCTTCCACCTCTGGCTGCACCTCTACTGGGTGTACTGGGTGCACCTCTAATGGCTGCACCTCTACTGGGTGTACTGGGTGCACCTCTAATGGCTGCACCTCTACTGGGTGCACCTCTAATGGATGCACCTCTACTGGGTGTACTGGGTGTACCTCTACTGGCTGCACCTCTACTGGGTGTACTGGGTGCACCTCTAATGGCTGCACCTCTACTGGGTGTACTGGGTGCACCTCTAATGGCTGCACCTCTACTGGGTGCACCTCTAATGGATGCACCTCTACTGGGTGTACTGGGTGCACCTCTACTGGGTGTACCTCTCCTGGCTACACCTCTACTGGGTGTACTTGGTGCACCTCTTCTGGCTGCACCTCTACTGGCTGAACCTCTTCTGGCTGCACCTCTACTGGGTGCACCTCTCCTGGGTGCACCTCTACTGGGTGCACCTCTACTGGGTGCATCTCTACTGGGTGTACCTCTACTGGCTGCACCTCTACTGGGTGGACTGGGTGCACCTCTACTGGGTGTACCTCTACTGGGTGCACCTCTACTGGCTGTACCTCTACTGGCTGTACCTCTACTGGCTGCACCTCTACTGGGTGGACTGGGTGTACCTCTACTCGGTGAACCTCTACTCGGTGTACCTCTACTGGGTGCACCTCTACTGGGTGTACCTCTACTGGCTGCACCTCTACTGGCTGCACCTCTACTGGCTGCACCTCTACTGGGTGGACTGGGTGTACTGGGTGCACCTCTACTGGGTGGACTGGGTGGACTGGGTGCACCTCTACTGGCTGCACCTCTACTGGCTGCACCTCTACTGGGTGGACTGGGTGTACTGGGTGCACCTCTACTGGGTGGACTGGGTGGACTGGGTGCACCTCTACTGGGTGGACTGGGTGTACTGGGTGCACCTCTACTGGCTGCACCTCTACTGGGTGGACTGGGTGGACTGGGTGTACCTCTACTGGCTGCACCTCTACTGGCTGCACCTCTACTGGCTGCACCTCTACTGGGTGGACTGGGTGCACCTCTACTGGCTGCACCTCTACTGGGTGGACTGGGTGGACTGGGTGTTCCTCTACTGGCTTCACCTCTACTGGGTGGACTGGGTGTACTGGGTGCACCTCTACTGGGTGGACTGGGTGGACTGGGTGCACCTCTACTGGCTGCACCTCCACTGGCTGCACCTCTACTGGGTGTACCTCTACTGGTCGCACATCTACTGACTGCACCTCTACTGGGTGTACCTCTACTGGGTGCACCTCTACTGGGTGTACCTCTACTGGGCGCTTTTCTACTGAGTGTACTTGGTGCACCTCCACCGTGTGCACCTCTACTGGATGTACTGGGTGAATCTCTACTGTGTGTATAGGGTGTACTTGGTGCTCCTCTACTGGATGTATCTCTACTGGGTGCTCCTCTACTGGGTGTACTTGGTGTACTACTACTGTGTGACAGACATATACCGCTAATGGTCTTTGTCTTGATATACTGTCACCTGCACCCCTTCCACCTCTCCTTAAATCACAGTAATATACTGGTATATAGTCTCTCTGGATACACTTTCACCTGCATGCCTTCCACCTCTCCTTAGATCACAGTCATATACTGGCATATGGTCTTTGCTGGATGTAATGTCACCTGTACCCTTTCAAACTCTCATATAAATGGAAATATTGCTGAGTGCGGTGTTCAACAAGAAACAAACAAACAAACATAGTATCACGACATTGTTGTGATAATAAAGTATTAAATAAACAGCAATAAGGTTTCCAGGGGTGGCTAGTTTTATCCTTTCAGCTTAAATTATCAGTATCAGCAATAAACTTATAAACAGTCTGTACTGCAAAAGCACGAATGAAGACAACAGAGACCCAAAGAACTTTTATTGTACATGGAGCTAAACTATAAACAAAAAACTAGGGATTTCACAGTGCACAGACAAAGAAAAAACACATGTAGTGCAGAAAATTTATGTTTCTTATCCAATCAACCTAAATATCAATTTCTATGAAGCCAGATAAGTTTTTAATTCTTATATTTGTAAACTTTTCCAATATTGCTAATCCTGTTGGTTTATCACTGGATTGGTTTATCACTGCCGGGTGTACCTCTGCCGGGTGTACCTCTACCGGTTGCACCTCTACTGGGCGCAACTCTACTGGGTGCACCTCTACTGGGTGCACTTCAACTGGGTGTACCTCTACTGGGTGCACCTCTACTGGGTGTACCTCTACTGGGTGCACCTCTACTCGGTGTACCTCTACTGGGTACACCTAAACTGGGTGCACCTCTATGGATGGCCTGGGTGCACCTCTACTGGGCGCAACTCTACTGGGTGCACCTCTACTGGGTGCACTTCTACTGGGTGCACTTCAACTGGCTGCACCTCTACTGGGTGTACCTCTACTGGCTGCACCTCAACTGGGTGCACTTCTTCTGGGTGCACCTCTACTGGGTGTACCTCTACTGGGTGCACCTCTACTGGCTGCACTTCTAATGGCTGCACCTCTGCTGGGTGTACTGGGTGTACTGGGTGCACCTCTACTGGGTGTACCTCTACTGGCTACACCTCTACTGGGTGTACTTGGTGCACCTCTTCTGGCTGCACCTCTACTGGCTGAACCTCTTCTGGCTGCACCTCTACTGGCTGAACCTCTTCTGGCTGCACCTCTACTGGGTGTACTGGGTGCACCTCTACTGGGTGTACCTCTACTGGGTGCACCTCTACTGGCTGCACCTCTACTGGGTGCACCTCTACTGGGTGGCCTGAGTGCACCTCTACTGGGTGCACCTCTACTGGCTGTACCTCTACTGGGTGTACCTCTACTGGTCGCACATCTACTGGGTGCACCTCTACTGGGTGTACCTCTACTTGGTGTACCTGTACTGGGTGTACCTCTACTGGGTGTATCTCTACTGGGTGCACCTCTACTGGGTGTACCTCTACTGGGCGCTTCTCTACTGGGTGGACTGGGTGCACCTCTACTGGGTGCACCTCTACTGGCTGTACCTCCACTGGGTGTACCTCTACTGGTCGCACATCTACTGGGTGCACCTCTACTGGGTGTACCTCTACTTGGTGTACCTGTACTGGGTGTACCTCTACTGGGTGCACTTCTACTGGGTGCAACTCTACTGTGTGCACCTCTACTGGGTGTACCTCTACCGGGTGCACCTCTTCTTGGTGTACCTCTACTGGGTGCACCTCTACTGTGTGGACTGGGTGCACCTCTACTGGCTGCACATCTACTGTGTGTATCTACGGGCTGCACCTCTACTGGGTGTACAGGGTGTACCACTACTGGGTACATCTCTGTCTCTACTGTTTTTACCTCTGCTTGGTGTACCTCTACTGGGTGTACCTCTGGGTGTAATGGATGTACCTCTACTGGGTATACCCATACTAGGTGTACCTCGTCATGTGGTATAGATGTGTAAACATACCATGCATTATTAATAATTAACATTTACAAGTTCAGTCTTGGGTAATTTGCAGGAAGCTTCTGGTTGTTTAGATGACATAACAATACATGTGAGGATCAATTGTCATGGTTTGAACATCATGTGTGTAGTCTACAGATAGGATCAGCATGATCCTCTCATCATGTCATGTCATCGAGAACTTTTATTGTACATGGAGCTAAATTATTAACCATAACAAAGGAGTTAACAGTGCACAGACAAAGAAACAACACATGCAGCGCATAACATTTATGTTTATAACCTAATAAACCTAAATATCAATTTCTATCTTCCCTTGTACTGTGAAGCAAGATTCTTATATATGTCAACTTTTGTAATAATGTCTAATCTTGTTGGTTTATCACTGGGTGTATCACTTATGGATGCACCTCTATTTGGGTGTACTTCTACTGGATGAACCTCTACTGGGTGTACCTCTACTGGATGTACTGGGTGAGCCTCTACGGTGTGCACCTCTACTGGGTGTACTGGGTGTATCTCTACTGGGTGTACCTCTACTGGGTGTACCTCTACTGGTTGTACCTCTCCTCGGTATACTGGGTATACCACTACTGGGTGTACTGGGCGTACCACTACTTGGTGTACCTCTACTGGGTGTACTGGGCGTAACACTACTGGGTATATCTCTACCTATAATGGGTGTACCTATACTGGGTGTACCTCTCCTCGGTATACTGGGTTTACCACTACTGGGTGTACTGGGCGTACCACTACTTGGTGTACCTCTACTGGGTGTACTGGGCGTACCACTACTGGGTGTATCTCTACCTCTACTGGGTGTACCTCTGATTGATGTATCTCTACTGTGTTTACCTCTACTGGGTGTACCACTACTGGGTATATATCTACTTCTACTGGGTATACTGGGTGTACCACTACTGGGTGTATCTCTACTGGGTATACCACTACTGGGTGTACTGGAAGTACCACTACTGGGTGTACCTCTACTGGGCGTTCTGGGTGTACTACTGGTTGTACACATACTTGTTTTATCTCTACTGGGTGTACCACTACTGGGTGTATCTCTACTGGGTATACCACCACTGGGTATACCGGGTGTACCACTACTGGGTGTACCTCTACTGGATGTACCTCCACTGGGTGTACCTCTACTGGGTGTATCTCTACTGGGTGTGCCTCTACATGTGTAAACATACCATGCATTATTAATGATTAACATTTACAAGTTCAGTCTTAGGTAATTTGCAGGACGCTGGTTGTTTAGGTGACATAACAATACATGTGAGGATCAATTGTCATGGTTTGAACATCATGTGTGCAGTCTACAGATAGGATCAGCATGATCCTCTTATCATGTCATGTCTCCGTATGCATCAAAATTCCCGACAATGTGTAACATGACTTTTACCCTTCCACCTCTCCTTAGATCACAGACATGTACTGGCATATAGTCTCTGTCTTGTTGTACTTTACCTGCACCCCTTCCACCTCTCCTTAGATAACAGTCATATACTGGTATATGGTCTCTGCTGGAAGTAACGTCATCTGCACCCATTTCACCTCTCCTTAGATCACAGACATATATTGCCATATGGTCTCTGTCTTTATGTACTGTCACCTGTGCCCCTTCCACCTCTCCTTAGATCACATACATATACTGGTATATAGTCTCTGCTGGATGTAACGTCATCTGCACCCCTTTCATCTCTCCTTAGATCACAGACATATATTGCCAGATGGTCTCTGTCTGAATGTAACGTCATCTACACTTCTTCCACTTCTCCTTAGACCACAGTCATATACTGGCATATGGTCTCTGTCTTGATGTACTGTCACCTGTACCCCTTCCACCTCTCCTTAGATCACAGTAATATACTGGTATATAGTCTCTGTCTTGATGTACTGTCGCCTGTACCCCTTCCACCTCTCCTCAGATGACAGACATATGTTTCCATATGGTCTCTGTCTTGATGTACTGTCACCTGTACCCCTTCCACCTCTCCTTAGATGACAGACATATACCGCTAATGGTCTTTGTCTTGATATACTGTCACCTGCACCCCTTCCACCTCTCCTTAGATCACAGTAATATACTGGTATATAGTCTCTGCTGGATATACTGTCACCTGCACCCCTCCCACTCGCCTTAGATCACAGACATATACTGGCATATGGTCTCTGTCTCGATGTACTGTCACCATCATCCCTTCCACCTCTCCTTAGATCACAGTAATATACTGCTGGATGCACTGTCACCTGCACCCCTCCCACCTCTCCTTAGATCACAGACATATACTGCTGGATGTACTGTCACCATCAACCCTTCCACCTCTCCTTAGATCACAGTAATATACTGCTGGATGCACTGTCACCTGCACCCCTCCCACCTCTCCTTAGATAACAGACATATACTGGCATATTGTCTCTGCTGGATGTAACGTCATCTGCACCCCTTCCACCTCTCCAAAGATCACAGACATATACTGGCATATGGTCTCTGTCTTGATGTACTGTCACCTGCACCCCTCCCACCTCTCCTTAGATCACACTAATATACTGGCATATGGTCTCGGTCTGTATATACCGTCACCTGCACCCCTTCCACCTCTCCTCAGATGACAGACATATGTTTCCATATGGTCTCTGTCTTGATGTACTGTCACCTGTACCCCTTCCACCTCTCCTTAGATGACAGACATATACCGCTAATGGTCTTTGTCTTGATATACTGTCACCTGCACCCCTTCCACCTCTCCTTAGATCACAGTAATATACTGGTATATAGTCTCTGCTGGATATACTGTCACCTGCACCCCTCCCACCTCGCCTTAGATCACAGACATATACTGGCATATGGTCTCTGTCTCGATGTACTGTCACCATCATCCCTTCCACCTCTCCTTAGATCACAGTAATATACTGCTGGATGCACTGTCACCTGCACCCCTCCCACCTCTCCTTAGATAACAGACATATACTGGCATATTGTCTCTGCTGGATGTAACGTCACCTGCACCCCTTCCACCTCTCCCAAGATCACAGACATATACTGGCATATGGTCTCTGCTGGATGTACTTTCACCTACACCCCTTCCACCTCTCCCACTCACGGCTGAATCACCAGCACAAGGCAAAACATTCTCCATATGAAATGTTAATCAACACACCATGCACTAAAGCCATTGTCCTAAATCTGTCAGATGACAGGATTAGAATCAAAAGAAGTTTGCAGTTTTATGCAACAGCAAGATTCCAGCTATATCACAAGGACCTTTAAACAATCAAGTGCTGCATATAGAATATTCTGACCTGAAGTAAAAATAGTAAGCATTATGTTTAGAAACAATTAGATTTGTGAAATTGTTGAAATTTGAATGAGAATTAAACACGTCAAGCTCAGAGTGTTCTTCCTCAGTTCTTTATCTCTTATCCGGGTTTGTCCTTTCTTTTTCTTGTTCTCAATTATCCCTCACAAATTCATTTAAAAGTACAAATAGCATTCAATATAATACAATTTCAATGATGACTCCATGGGTGTTGATTGATACCCATCAAACATTGATTTTATACGCTAAATGGAGATATTGTGGTTTACCCAAGCAAGTCACAAAGTTGACAGTGACACAGCAGCTGACATTACAGAGAGCATGTGGAGGCTTTGAAAATATTGATTGTTAAATCCAATACACTGGTATTCCTTGTATACACAAGTATATCCATGTTGGGATGACTATATATAAATATCAATATCAGGGTTGGTAATAAAAACTTATACATGCTCTTGGTGTAAATGCTTTGTCAGGGAAAATGTAGAAAAACAAACCTGATCTATATTGGACATATTCAATGTAACAAGAAATCCTTCATCAACTTGGATTGAATTGTTTAACCCCATATATATTATTATTTATCACCAGCTCTCAATTTGTCAACATTCATCTACTACTCATTAATGTGTACATGCCAGTCAAAATGGACCAGCTCCAAAACAGGTTTGTACATGAACTTCCATTGTTGAAATGAGATGTATGCGGCCCCTTATTAAATGACCTCACCAATAGCCATCTGTATTCTTTTTTTTTAACCCTATAGTTGTCCAACGTAGTACAATTCAGTCCTACGCCTCTAGCTACCCTACTAAGAAGTTATAAGCACATTAAGTTTTATGATGTCATTTTGGGATTAAGGAAAAACATACCCAATGCAATGCAACTTTTTGAAAAAGAAGGTTCTTTGCTTCTAGCAACTTTAATAACTAGTAAAGCTTTATGGTGCCACTTTGCTAGCATTAATTTATTCTTTGTAATTGAAATGTCGAGTTCTTTCTTGTTACTTTGAGTTTGTTCTTGTTGCTTTGATTATTTACTCGTTATTTCAATTATTTTCTCGAAAAAAAGATATTTTCTCTTTACTATGAATATATTCTCGTTATTTCAAGTTTATCTAAAAACTCAAAATTTCAAGTTTCTTCTTATACCTTTTATTATTTTCTCATTATTTCAATTATTTCTCGAAATTTCAAGTTTTTTTAAAAAACAACAACAAATAATTGAAATAACAAGAAATTTTTGAAAAAAATATATGCTACCAAAATGGCATCATCAGGCTTTCGGAAATAACAAATTGGTTTACGATATTACTTCAAATTTGGGGAGACCTTGTGATGATTAAAATAGCAACTTATGCTGGTCATTAACATAATCTATATCTCACAAGATCGACAGGACACACAACAGAAAACCAATCCATGGTGGGCTACAAACTTATGTTTCACTTTTAGTTTCACTGCAAACATGTGGTGCAATTCTACTTACCACTGGGTCATTTTGTATGGCATTTTGATATGATTTTCAGTCCATTGAAATTTTGGCACAAACCTAAAATTGCCATTCGGCAGTAGAATTGATGCCACTCCGAAACATAACAAAATTCACATTGAATGGCCATGAGTCTTTGGCTACTAAGATCTGCTGCTCTCCAACTTTTGTTCCACTTCCCACCCTCAGGGTCTTGTCAGCCCATTGCAGCCAGACATGTTTAAAAGTAGTACAGTCAAGTATACTGATCTCCCTGTGAGCCAGGGTGACAGGAGGTCTGTTTGGCCAGATTTTCTTGATGGACATCTCTGTGACGTTTCCTCTTTTGAGACCAATGTCAATGCGATACAAGCGTCTGTTTGTCTCAGCCAGTGCCAGGAGTGCAGAATGACATGACTTCACCTTTAGCCGCAAGGTCATGCTTGGCGGCACAGAGAAGTCTGATGGTGATGGCTTCATCCAAGATTTGGCGTCAGATGTTTCAAGTCTCGTAGAAAAGTCTGAAAAGTGAAAGCATGTACTGACCAAATCTCTGAACAGTAAGATGAAGTAGTGAACATTAAAAGTAACTTCAGGCAATGGTTAAATGAGTAAATATGTTGCCAAAACACTCTTAAATATCTGGAACAATTATTTCCCCAAATAATTACAAGATATCCACACATCTAAAGAGAATGAAATCACCGATGGGATTTATTAGGTATTAGTGTTTAGTACAAACTTAATGACCTTGAACCAAAAAAATACTGCCATGGCAGTGTAGCTCACCTGCATATATAGTCAACAGTTTCAAAGGTCAACACAGATAAACACTTGAAAAGGTTTCTGTCTACAATAACTACTGAGGAAAAAAGTATCAAAAACTGTTATTGTAGAACGCTGTCATATATAACGGTTAAATTTACTTCACCAAAGACTTCTTGGATTTTTTAAAAGTTGGTTTACAACTTTTTGGCACTGCTGGATGTAACCTTAAGTTTGTTGAAAAAGAAAAACACTCTCAAATTTATATTTTGTCCATTGTGAAAAGATGTGGTCGATAGGCATAAAAAAAGAAATACGAATTGTCACTTCAGTGGTGATCCCATTGTGCCCCCTTCCGGAATTACCTGGGGACATCCTAGTTGCGGCAGGGTAGACTAGTGGTTAAAGTGTTTGCTCGTCATGCGGAATGCCCGGATTTGATTCCACAGCATGCAAGGCGTGTAGGGCTGTTATTTCATGAATATAAGTGGTTCAGATTCGGGAGTGTCAGCCCTGAATGCTGATAAGTGCCTGCAATGACGACCTGGTGGTTTGTTGAGGACTGTATGATCTATAGAAAATCCATCACATTGAAGAACTGAGATTAGGGCAGACCTGTATCCTTTGATGGTGCTGTGATGGAACTTGCTATCCAGGGTGCCATGGTACAAATCGATCTTAGTGCTAAGGTGATCGTAATTCTTATACATTAGTGTAGGCTTATGACCGTCATAGCGATAAGATTGTTTTGTACAACGGCACCCTGGTGAAGATAAAGCAGGAAATGCACGAACATGGGAATAGTTATAGGTACCATCCCAACTCTTAGTCATCTTTGCCATTTACAGAACTTGTCACATCTGTTGTTGTAGATGGTTGACAAATGGTCGCCAAGTGCCACTACTGCTGAGATTGATTTGGAGTAGCCAGAAACTTGCATCTTATGAGCGATATGATGATGATATCATTATGATGAAGACTGTGTTTACTGCCTTACATGAAGTATGATCAGGGTCTGTGGAGAAGATCTCGCATTCCAGTAGTTTGTCCAGGTGCCGCGAAAACAGTCTGGGAAACCATGGCCGAGCTTGCCACACCAGTGCCACGAGGATGATCAAGCAGGCTGTGTCCTCTATCTTCATTACGACTTTGTCTAAGAAAGACCATGGTGGGAAGGCATTTGCAAACATCCCCGTCCAGTCAAAGGATAACATTCCCACTCCGAGAACAAGTCAAGGTGAGTTGTGTCCCACACCGATATTGTCCAATGTAATATTTCCAGGCGAAGAAACCATTCCGTAGCCACTATCTTCCCTTTACATGATAAGCCGCCTGCCAAGATGTTGAGCTTCTACCAAGTATAATGACAAGATTTCGGCTGCATTCTAACTAAGTTTTTCCAAACGTTTGGTTTTGATGATTGTATTGCTTAAATGGGCTTACATTATCATACATTCAGCAGTTTTCAAACTGACTGGTTTATGAGGACGTATATTAACTTACCTTGTCTGCAGGTCCTATTGTCCTTTTGAAGTGTGGAGTCTGATACACAGAAGCAAATTCGTTTGGTTTGATTGATGGGGTAACACCCTTGACCACAGTCATTTCTCTTTGCACTGCATATATTAACAACTGTAAAGAAAAAGTATTTAAACATAAAGGTGAGTCAATTGTTAAGGTGAAAAAAACCTGATGTGCTGAGGTTAACTTTCATACTGGTTTGGACCAGAGCAGCCTGATGTTGGTTTAACTATGTTATAGGTGTAAGTTATCAAGGTGACATCTTCAAACAAGGCAGTTTAAGAGTTTTCTTTCTCAAGTCCTTGTCCTGGGGGCCAGGGGGGTTGACATTTACGTTTACGTTTGCTTGGCCACCATAATCAATTGTCAATAAAATGTGGGTGGACATATCTGCCTGCACAACAGACAAAAGAAGACGTTTAGTGTCAATGGGGACTGGTTATGGAAAACCGAACAATCAACAATGTCAGAATATTCATACAATTACTCTTGGCTGGTATGATGCTGTACACCTTTTATGTATGTATCATGATGAGAGCTGTGACGTCATCAAAGCTGGCGATGTGTGAGAGTGCAAACATGAGTTTTTCCCCAGAAATATCAAACAATAGTTACAATCGTTAACAATTCAAAGCTGAATCACATGAAGTATTACATACCTGACCTTTTATATTTGCATACTTATATAAAAAAAGACCCCAATTGCTGGCTTTATCCTGCTGAGAAACCTACCCTTTTCTTGAGTAATCAAATCTCTGCTGGTGTCCTTATGTCGATTACACTGAGTGTGTGCTACACCGAAGTGACAAAACTATCTTGGTACGAAGCATTATACCAACAGTATTTTATATCTCAATAAACCAAGCTCCTTTGTTCAAGGAAGTTATCATGCGTATGTTGATGCAATCTATCAAAGTTTATGGTGTCAATACAAACAACACTCACGGCTTGGATCATCCGTTGTGTTGACCAGTCGCACCCTTGTGACAGACAATGGCAGCACATATACAGCTGCCCTTGCACTCAGGTCAGAATTTACTCGCATCAGCCTGAAAACAATGGTAGTCAGTGTCATATAAGTAAGTATCCTTATAATGCATAGTGAATGAGGTATTTTACAATTGTATAACTACCCGACCCAACAAACACACATGTTAGGTTGATAAAAACATATGCCAGTAGTTCTGACATGTGTAGTAAGGCCTAACTGGCTTGACAGACATTTTGTAACAACAATACCGGCCAGGTACAGTCATAGTGTACCAACAATAATGGCCAGGTACAGTCATAGTGTAACAACAATAGTGGCCAGGTACAGACATAGTGTAACAACAATACTGGCCAGGTACAGACATAGTGTAACAACAATACTGGCCAGACACAGTCATTTTGTAACAACAATAGTGGCCAGGTACAGTCATATTGTAACAACAAAAGTGGCCAGGTACAGACATCAAGTATAAACAATAGTGGCCTCAAAATTATATAGTGGGAACAACAGCAGCCTGACAGTAATATAGTAACAACAATACTGGCCTGACAGGCATATACACTCTTCCAAAAAAGTAGAGGATCATGACATATAGATGTTATACCAAGTATTAGAACCAAGATAAGTGTTGACGACAAACAAACTATGCAAGAACGTTTGTCTGTAAAACGTAACACCAAAACACATCCGATAGTTTGCATGTGCGTAAGGTGTCATTCCTGACTTTGACTCTTTCAAGAAAGATCAAATAATCTCTAATGACCATTATTTCTGTCCATCTTATTGATGCTGCTTATCATACAGTTGTGATTTACTTGGTTTCAGTCATTGTTTGTGTTTGAACCAGCGATGCAGTGTCTATTAGCAGACTATGGAACAGGTACCACAAAACCCAAAACATGGACCATCGACCCTGTTCAGGACGTTCCAGGTCATTGACAAGAGTACCGGATCTAATGATCCCAAACCAGACTCTATGAAATCGAACTGAAACAGCGAATCAGGTTGCTGTAAACTTGGATCAGGCTACTGGAGAATTACAGGTCAGATGATTAGAACTCATCTACATGCAACACCTCTCCACCTGTTGAGCCGCCCGTTACAAATCGTCACACTGCCAACAGATGTCAATGGTGCACATAACATAAAAACTGGGGTAATCGCTGGTCATGTGTCATGTTTCCAGATGAGTCCTGAATCACTTTGCCCCTCCATGATACCTGTGGTCGTTTTCTGGTAAAGTCGAAACGAAGGTCAAGCCAATGTCAACCTGAGACCTCATGACACTTTTGGTGTTGGATCGGTAATGATGTAGGGTGGCATCAATATGACATATTGAGTAAGCAAGGGTCACTGGACAGTACTATTATGACAACATACTGACATCCTTTGTTGCCCCGTTTTCAAGGCACGTTGGTCAATGTTTTGTCTTTCAGTACGACAATGCCCATGTTTACAGTGCACAAATCATCAATGCTCACCTCCAGCAGCACAACATCCATAGAATGCCATGGCCAGCAATGAGACCTCACCTTTCCACCATTGAACACATCAGGGACATGACTGGGAGACATATGCATCAACGTCATAGGCTACCGACCACATTGGCGGAACTTGGAAGGCGCTGCACAAGGAGTGGGACAGACTCCCTCAAATCGCCATTGGGTGACTCATAAGCAGTATGCCTTGTCGAGTGAATGAATGTTTGACAAATTTGTTGCAGTTTTACGCACTACTGATCCAAAAACGTCAACTTTGAAATTTCCCATCTTACCCCTATCGTCCTTCAAGATTGTGGGAGGTCATAACATCTATGTGTAATGTGTTCCCACTTCGTTCATTATTATCATACAGCTATTACTAGAATCTAATATCTCTTACAATTCTGGAAATTTTAAGTAAATTTCAAGTATTCCCTACTAGTAACAACAATACTGGCCTGACACAGTCATATATTAACAACAATACTGGCCTGACACGGTCATATATTAACAACAATACGGGCCTGACACAGTCATATACTAAAAACAATACTGGCCAGACACAGTCATATATTAACAACAATACTGACCTGACACGGTCATATTGTAACAAAGATAGCATCCTGACAGAGGACTGATGAATATGTATCGTCATTTAACAGTACTCACACATTCACGTACTCACTATGCTGCATTATATCACACACAAATATACATACACTGCATTGCTGTCAACATAGAAATAATATTTGTCTGTGTAGCCAAATCTGGATGTGAAGTTAGTAGCCAAAGTCTGGGAAGTCGAACCATTGATGTATGCTGTCCTCAGTCTATTATAGCTTTGCCACATTATTCTGTTGTCTGAAGAACAAATAAGATCAATGGGAGATACAAAATACTCTCAATGAAACGAAAACAATAGGGGTAGAAATACCGTTTGTTACTACATGTAAAAATGAAATTCCTTAAAAATGCATTCACAATGTACAACAGATATCGTCTCAATCTCATCTTACCCTTAGTACCTTATACACTTATTTTTTACTTTAATTGTTAATTCCAATGAGATATTAGCAGTACATTTACTATCATTAAGGCATGTTTCAGCAAAAGCCTTCGTTTATCAACTAATGGATACCATGATCAATGGGGGGAAAAAGTTTTCACCTCCAAAGCGAAGTACAGTAGAACATGGATATAACGAACTATATACAAGGGACCGGAGAAATCAGTTCGTTATATACGTTGGTCGTTATAAACGTTTTCGCTGGGAAATGTCCGCCGTCTTGGCCAAAACAAAACACAATACACATGCACGTTTATACACGTTTCCTCCCGCATCTACCGGTGATTCAGTTTAAAAGTACCAAATGATACAACTTCAAGAAAAATTAATGCAATGGTCGGAAGAAATTGTATCTGAAATTAGTATTTTATCAGAATAATATATTCCAATATCACCGAAATTAATGTAAACATTATTGAATGCCATTTGTTTTACAGAATAGATGAGTCCAATCACATGGACAGGTAAGATCAACATAATGCAAGTTTAACAAGGTTGACTCGTCACCAGCAATTGTGTTGATTCGCCGCCATTGTGTTGATTCGCGTCTGATTGCCTACAGCCAATTGTCAGTGACGCTTGACACTGAGTGAGATTTCTCAGTTCGCTATACACGTCAAAAGTTCGTGGTAGATGGGCTTGTCGTGGTAGATAGGTTGCATAAAGCTTCCCAACAACAATTAGTTTCAGTTTCACAGTTGCAGTTTGCACTCCAAGCGAGCAACACCTCCCAAGCCAGCACAGAGCATTGCCTGATAGCCAGCCAAGGAGAAATCCATCATCGGTAATTATCACGTTATCCTTTCAGCCCTATTCACATACTCTTAAAATCACTCTCATCGTTTGTTTGTTTGTTGTTTAACGCCGAACCTAGCAATATTCCAGCTATAGGACAGCGGTCTGTAAATAATCGAGTCTTGGCCAAGCGAGCAACACTTCCCAAGCCAGCACAGAGCATTGCCTGATAGCCAGCCAAGGAAACTCCATCATCGGTAATTATCACGTTATCATTTCATCCTTATTCACCTACATCACTCTCACCGAATTAATCACAAAACCCCTAAATCCTTAAAAACAACAACACTCAACTCTTATAAGTAACCAACACCTTATCCTCCCCCATATCCCTAACACAGCTCGCACTCAATTCTACTCGCTACCCACGCCCACCACTCAAACACACCCTTTGACCCAACTCCTAAAAACAAAAAAAACAGCTAATCCCCCCTTCTTCTTAACACAACGCACGCTCTTTCCTACTCACCACCCACGCCCACCACTCACATACCTCCATTCCTTCGACTAAATATCTCCTAATCCCCGCTTTCATCTTGTCTCACCTAATCCCAGCCTTCCAGCAACAAAATAAATCTTTAATAATTAATCCATTTCACAAACCCTCCTACTAAAACCAACAACAAATAACCACCGCAACCTCCTCCGCCTCCTAAACACAACTCACCAAGTAAAAACAACAAACCAACTCACCTCCCCAAAACACTACTCCCACTCCACCACCACTCACCACAACACACGCTCTCCAACTCTCCAACACAACATCCAAACAACATGACTGACACCCGCAACGCCACACTCGCAGACATTCCAGCTCCTTACTCACCCACGCCTGCGGAAGCGCACAACACTTCCGGGAGGTCACTCGAAAACATCGTCCCGACCGAGTATGGCGAAAACACGACACACACCGCCCCCACCAAACCAGCTAACTCGCCACCTCAAAACACCAAAAAACGCAAACTTGACACATCCACTCCACCTCCATCGCCCACACCCTCCCCGGCCACCTTCCTCACCACCTTCGTCCTCTACTTCTTCTCAGCAGGCTCAGGCACCACTAGAACTTTCGGCAGATAAAATAGGACTTTGGTTTAAAAGAGAAAAAATAAATTACAACAATATTAAAAAAGCCATCAAAAGGATACCAGATAATCTTCCCTAACCGAGAATCTTACAACGCAGCAAATAAAATAACTCAAATATTCCACGTCACGGTAATCAAACAAACACCTAATTGGCAACAATATACACGAGGCGTAATTAGGGTTAACCCAAGGGAAACAAATGAGGACTTACAATTATACTCTCTAGAAGCTAACATAAACCAAGACCAAAACCCTCAACCCCTAATCACCAGCACGCGTAGAATAACCTCAACTAGAAACGGAAAAACGGTCCCAACCTCCATTGTCATAATCAACTTAAAAAGACCGCTAAATTCCCTGAAGCCCCCAAACACATATCCTTCGGAGCCCACACCAACTTAGAAGTCAAACCCTATATAAAGCAGGTTAAGCAATGTACAAAGTGCCTCAAATACAACCACACTGCCTCCCAATGCACATACCGTAAAACTAAATGTAAAAAATGCACACAAACAGCCTGCCCAGGCACATGCACACCCTGGTGCATCCACTGCAAATCCACCCAACACACTTCACTTTCAAACCAATGCCCATACAGACACACACTCACCCAGCAGGCCAACAAACACATAAACATAGACACGGCTAAAATCCAAACACGAAAATTTGCTACACCTGCATCTAAACCACTCCTCCCTACAGGGGGCACGGGTGGCCCAGTCGTCTAAGGCGCCGCGATTCGCTGTGCAGGGTTGCGTCCCTTGGGCACGCCAGAAATCTATGATTGTGGGTTCGAATCCCGGTTCTCCTCGATTATGTTTCTAGGTTTGTCAGCACCATACCCGTGCTCGTGGGTTTCACCGAAGTGGTAAACGTCTCAGACCTGCATCACTTCGGGCTTTCCTCCCACATTAAGCTGACACGCCGCAATATAACTGTAATACTGTTAAAAGCGGCGTTAAACCCAACTCACTCACTCACTCACTCACTCCTCCCTACACCACACCCAAACACCGTCCCACAAACAAACACCACATCCATAACCGACAGCTCTGTCTGGGCCCCCTACCGAGAAACCGCACCCACCTCACACACACAGGCAGCCACTCAACCAACCACGAACCCTCCCACATCTCACATAGCCAAAACATCAACCCCCGCATGCAAAACAAACCTCAAAATGACCACCACAACACGACCCTCATCCAAGCACCCTACAGCCCATATGGTAACAACACTCTCCCACAAGCAAGCACAACAACAAAACACAAACACTAAGAAATCATCAGCTACACCCATCCCACAAACACCTTCACAATCCTCCACATCACATGCCTCCCCCATGGAAACTCAATCAGCTAAACCTAATCTAACCGATGACGAAGATTTCTCCATTACTGAGGAAACAATAGACACTACTCCAACTAAAACAAACCAAACTCCCCAACCAGCCAACACCCAAAACCTAAATAACCTCACCTTACTCCTAGCATACATGCATAGTCAAAACTCACCAAAAGCTAGCATGAAATCCTTCCACAAAGTAGCTTTCAATCTAAAATTAACCGATCTTCCCTTCTTCCTCTTTAACCTCCATCTAAAAGAACTCACCGAATAAAATAAAAAATAAAAAATAAATCACCAATCACCCGAACCCAATATTCGAAGGACTAAATATTTTTCAGTGGAACGCCAACGGACTCACCTCCCACGGCCATGAACTAAAAACTAAATTTAAACTAAATAAAGGCCCTCACATTGCTTGTATACAGGAAACCAAATTCTCAAAAAAATCCAAATTCACACTATCTAACTACAACTCAGTTAGAACTGACAGAGCTAAACCGAAAACAAGAAGAGCCGCAGGAGGACTAATCATATTTATCAGGGAAGAAATAAATTACGAAGAAATAAAAATAGACACGCCAAACCTAGAAGCCAACGGCATTAAAATCACATTAAATAACCGAAACATAAACATCATAAATATTTACCACTGGGCGGAACAAAAAGTCCAACCTGAGGATCTAAACAAACTACTCCAAATAAGCGATAAATCTACTATATTCCTAGGAGACTTTAACGCTCACCATCCTACATGGAGCATAGATGATAAAATAGATAATCATGGCAAATTAATCTCCGAATGGATAGAAACAAACGACCTAGTACTCCTTAATAGCAACCAACCCACGAGGTACGATAAGATAAACCAAAAAATGTCGGCTATCGACCTAACCATATGCACCGCAGATCTAGCCCAAAGTACTCAATGGGAAGTGCACGACGTCCCGCTAGGTAGTGACCACTTCCCCATAAACATAACCATAGGAAATACAAACGTACCAATCCAAACAGAAAACCAAGAACCAAAATTCCATTATAATAAAGCTAACTGGGACCAATTCCAAGATATCTGCAACGAAGCTAACTTAAACGAAATAGAAAATAATGATCCAGAAACCTATTGTAAAAACAGACTATATAATACACGCAGCCAAAACCTCCATCTCCTTCAAAACATCTAAGACAGGCAAACCGACGGTACCATGGTGGAATGAGGAAATAGAACAGACTAGACGAAAACATAAATAAGCCTTCAATAAAGCAAAACGCGACTACAAATATTTAAACATAGCCCGCGAACTAAACCACCAGGTTCAAAAACTAGTCCAAATAGCCAAAAGTAGAGACTGGAAAAAATTCTGCGAAGGTATAAATAACCGTACAGATGCCAGAATGGTCTGGCGCAAAATCCACGCCATCAGAGGCTTAAAACGACATAAAAAAAACCCTAACATTGACAACTCAACCAACCCCGCCCAAAAAGCAAATAATCTCGCCAACCACTTTTCGGCCGTTAGCAGTAACACCAACTTCAGTCAAAAATTCCAAGATAAACTTAAAACAGAAAACAAACCCACAAAAGAACCAAACAATAACAATCTAGAAATAAATCAACCCTACACAATGGAGGAGCTCCTCTACGTAATCCAAAACAGGAAAAAGGGCACAGCCCCAGGATTAGACCTAACTTCTTACCAAATAATTAAAAAACTCCCCCTAAAACTACTCCAGGCACTACTCAAACTATACAATCTCATCTACCTAAACGGACAGGTTCCTACTCCCTGGAAACAGGCCCTAGTCATACCAATCCCTAACCTAATAAACCAGCTAATCAAGCTAACTCATATAGGCCAATATCCCTAACTTCAAACGTATGTAAAGTAATGGAATCAATGGCTAAAAATAGATTACAACATTACTTAACCCAAAATAACATCATAAACCCAGATCAAAGCGGTTTCACTCCTGACCGCTCAACCCTAGATAACCTCGCCCGACTAGAACAAGATATTAAGACAGGACAACTAAATAAACAATATACCACAGGCATCTTCTTAGACTTCTCTAAAGCTTTCGACATGGTATGGCACGATGGGCTTATACAAAAACTTAAAAAAATAGGACTCAAAGGTCAGATAATAAACTACATCCAGGACTTCCTAAACAATCGTAAAATAACCGTGGGTATAGACCAAACTCTATCGGACCAATGTCCCCTAGAAAATGGTACTCCACAGGGCAGTATCCTCAGCCCCACCCTCTTCAATATAATGATAAACGATCTATTCGAGGGCCTATCCCCTAAAGTAAACACATCAAAATTCGCGGATGATGGAGCCATCTGGATCCGCACTAAAAGCATGAACATGGTCCCAAATACTCCAAAAATCTCTTAATAAAATACAACAATGGGCTGACAAATGGGGCTTCTCCCTTAACTCAGAAAAAACAACAGGAATAGTATTCAAACATAAAAACATGAAACCCGCCTCCCCAATCCTCCAGCTAAACAATCAAACAATCAAATTTAAAAAACAAACCAAATTCTTAGGACTTATTTTCGATGAACATCTCACCTGGGATGCTCACATCCAAAACCTAACAACTAAATGCAGTAAAGACCTAAACACCTAAGATGCCTAACTGGCTCTAACTGGGGAGCATCCAAAGATGCCCTCCTCTCTCTCTACATATCACTAATTAGATCAAAACTAGACTACGGCTGCGCCATATACAACACCCTAAACAACTCTCTATCTAATATCTAAAAAAACTTGACTCAATACAATATCAGGCTCTCAAACTAATTACACGCACCCAACATGGCACCTCCTACACCTCACTTCAGGCCTTAACAGGAGAAATGCCACTAAGTCTATGCAGGGAACAGCTAAGCTTAAATTTCTGGGCCGCGTCCCAATCAAACCCTCTCATCCAAAACTTAATAAACCAAAACATCAGCCCCAAAAACCAAGCTCTAGCGCGTAAACACCCCTTACTTACCCCAATATCCCAAAGAATAACAAACTACCTGAATTAAACACCAAATTAAAAATCGTAAACAAAACTGCAAACAATCAAATATCTTCACCCCTAAACTTAAAATACCCAAACTAGACACAGCACTAGCTAGCCAAATAAATAAACAAACCGACCCAAACATAGCTAAAACTACCACACTAGCATACATACACGAAAATTGGCCAAATTGGTGTCACATTTACACGGACGGATCCTCAGATCCGACCTCCAAACACACAGGTTTCGGAGTCCATACCACACAACCAACTAAAACCACACAATCCTTCCGACTCCCAAACAACCAATCAATATTCACAGCAGAACTAATGGGCATGGCCTCAGCCCTCCATAATCAAGAATCCAAAAAACACAAAAAAATCCTAATACTTACCGACTCCCTAAGTGGACTGCAAGCCCTCCAAAACAAAAATACCAAAAACCGACCTAAATTAATACTTAAAAGCTCCAACGACCTAACTAAGGCAGGCAAAAAAAATAACCTTCTTGTGGATACCCGCCCACGTAGGAATATACGGTAATGAAAACGCCGATAAAGCAGCTAAACTATCCCTCAAAATCCCAGAAATAAGCTGAAACTTACCCATCTCAAAATCAGAAATTAAAAGTGTAAACAAGCAAAAATCACAAAAAATGGCATAACCTATATCTAAACTCAAATAGCCAAATCAAAAAAGTGCTCAGCAAACCACTAGCCAAACCAAAAATTCTCCATCCATCCAAAAAAATCACAGAGTAATCACTAAACTCCAGGACACACCAACCTAAATAACCACCTAAAAAAAATTAAAAAAACACACTACAGGTAACTGCCCACACGGCAAACAACCAGAAACCCCAGAACACGCACTCATCCACTGCACACACTATCTAACACATCGAACCGCATTACAAACCACCCTCAATCTAAACAAGCCTCTAACTCTAGAAGCAATACTAAACCCACAAAATAAACTAGTAAACTTCAAGGCCTTAGGCGTATTCTTAATAAAAACGGAACTAATAAAACGCATCTAAAAACACAATAACCTACCAAATCAAAATCACATAAACAAACAAACATCCACCATACCCAGCTCCCTTAGTTCTCCTCCCCAATCCCATCAGCATCTATTCCAAATCTCAAAATTCCCAAATTCTATATAAGCAACCCCTAAAGCCCCCTCTTGGGTTGCACAGACCACCTTCGCCCCTTTCGGAAACACATTAAATGGCCTGGCCAGGCCCGTGTGCGAAATACGCATCAGTCGGAAAGCGCACGTTAAATCTCCAAAGTAAGTAAGTAAGTAAGTAAGTAAGAGAGTTCGTTACGTACGTAAACTTTATATGACAATAAAACAGTTAACAATTAAACAGTTCGTTGTATCCGTTTGTTCGCTCTAACCGTGTTCGTTATATCCCTGTTCTACTGTCTACTGTATGTCGCTTCACAGGAAGTTTTCAAATTAGTTTAATTCTAAGGTTTCACGCAAGTAATATTTTCATTGCAGTCTGTCATTAATTGGCTAGATTTGTCAATACACATGCCTCTGAAATATTGCGCAGATGAAAAATTAGTGTCTTTGGGTATTTCATAATTGATACTGAACACGTCTCCATGCCCCATCCTTTGGTGACATTGTAGACTAAACAACGCACATACTCATGTGTTAGAAGGTCTACATTTCCTGATATAATGCAAATGACATTAAACATTAGTGATATGATAATATGTTTTCTTTAACTGATATTCCATACATATGGTATCATGCAAATCAACCTTCGAGAGATATGACAATCAGTATTTGGGAGAAAGGTGCAGATAATCGACGTGAAAAATGTGAGAATATCCGGGAAATACCAAACTTAACCTCCTGTTCGTGACATGGACTTGTTCAACATTATACAACAAATGTTATATTTGGGATAACACTTTCTCATTAAAGTACAGATTCTCGTACTTTTGGGGTTCCGTCCAGGATTCGAATCCACATTGGCATTGTGTGTCAATTGTTCAACATTGCCTAGGTCGGTCTGTATTCTGGGAGTCATCATTATTTAAATACTGGTGTATAGTTTTAAAGCTTGTACATTTTATTAATATCCTTAAAGAGGCTGTAGATAATACTGATATCTCATATAAGAAATACACTACTCTTGGTTGTTGTTAATCGTACAAAAAAACCTGCAGGGAGGAATAAACCATTCAGGGCTCCACGGCCCCATGGCCCCACATGGTTTATTCTCCCTGCAGTGTTGTTTGATAAACAATGACCACAGGTCATTTATTTATTCAATATGCATGATGCAGATCCTTTATAGAAACATACCTTGCTTGTGAAGGGTAGGGTTCCATACAGCATGAGTGTCGTTTACAACAGCGGAGGCTATTTCACTTCCATACTGCAGGGACATTATCCTGTCATTCTCCACCCAGTACAGACCACTAGAAAATAACAAATGCCAGTTAGTTCTAAAACTGCATAAACTATGTCACAGTCAAAAATACATAGGAATACATCCACTTGTGATCGCGTGAGATTGCACCAGTTTGCAGGGATTGCAACTTTTGCTTTTGATATATCAGTTCATAGTGAAATCACATGGAAACGTTACCTATGCTATACAAGGGCTGGCAAAAAGTTCTAAGACTAACAAACAAAACCAACGATTGTTAAAGTGTTTTTAATCTTATTTTTCAACATAATCTCCCTGTTTTTCAATACACTTCTCATATTGATAGGGAAGCTTTTCAATTCCAGTCAGGACGCAGTTTTCTGAAGCCACCCTGAAATACCCATTCACTTGCTTTGAGGTCATCGTTGTTATCATAGCGCTTTCTACAAGGCGTTCTTTCCGTTTAGGAAACAGATGGAAATCAATTCGTGTAAGGTTTGGCGAGTGGGGGGGGGTGGGGGGGGGGTGGGAGGAAGCTCTTCGAATTCGCATTGTCGCACAGCAGCCTTTGCAAGTCGAGAGAGGTGAGAAGAGGCATTGTCATGAAGTAGTAGAACTCCAACAGTCAGCATTCCTCAACGCTTTGCTTTGATAACATTTCTAAAGGCGATGAAGCAAATCAGCATAGTAGGCACCGGTAAACGTCTGTTTGGTTTTCTAAGTAATCAACAAGCATCACACGCTTCGCATCGCAGAATACAGTGGCCATAACTTTCTTCACTGATCTTGGAGAGTTGAATTGCTTTGGTGCCAGAGAAGTGGAATGGAGCCATTCTATGTATTGATGTTTTGACTGGGGATCATAGTGGTAGACCCATGTTTCATCACCCGTTACTTATCTCTTCTCGGAATATGACGAAATCCTCATCAAGTAGCTCTTAAATTTCTCTGGCAATGTCAGTTCTTTTTTCCTTAAGATCAGAATTTACAAACTTTGGCACCCAACGAGTAGATATCTTATTCATCTGTAAATGTTCATGAATAATAGTTTCAATGGACCCATGGCTTAGACCTGTGTCTTCCTCAAGTTCAGCAATGGTAACACGTCTATAGGACAGTATAAGTTTTTTCTATCTCCTTGACTGAATCTTCATTGATGGAAGTTGAGGGGCGTCCAGATCTAGGGTCATCACCAAGGCTTGTTCTCCCAGCCTTAAACATAGCCGCCCAATGTGTAACAATGGAATAGCTATGGCACTTATCCCCATACACTTGTGGTCATTTCTTGGGGAGAACATTTCTCTAAAGTAAAAAACTTGATGACTGCTCGGTACACTTTCTTTTCCATTTCTGTGTCCATTTGGATCCCTATCATGTTTAACTGGCTGTTACTAATGTACAAACGTTGACAACAGACTAAATACACTTGCATGAACTACTCAAACAATGTACTACATTGACTAGTTCACTTTGTTATGGCCCATAATTGAACGTTAGTAAGGCTTAGAATTGTTTTACCAGCCCTCGTATGCTGTCACAGACATGGAATGTTTTATCTGAATTTCTGCACAATCATTTCCTGACACTAGCCAAAGGCTACTTCACCACATGGTCGGAATATAACTAGAAAAAATAATGCAAAAGCCTAACAAATCCTTCACTGCCATTTCCTCAAGGCCTTAGAAATTAGAACAAACCATCATGCAGTTCCAGTTTGATATAACAACCTTTGGTTTTGTTCTGAGTAAACACATAACTTGAAATCTGAAAGTCCCATGCCAATCGCTACTGATGTGGACACTGTTTTTCAGGACTAGTTCGCATTAAGTGACCTCAACCTTTTGTGTCAACTAACTGGCTGTCAGGAAAATTGGGGGTCAGGACGGAGGAATATGTTGGAGGTCTGGTCTGTATGTAGTAGAACAGTGGTATCCCTAGCAGAATAAGGTGAAGAACCCCCAACCACAAACCAATCTATATAAGCCATGATATTCATTGCATGCTTGTTAAAGCCATCTATCCTTCTGATCTTCATCATTGGAATAGACACATAGAGGTCTGGAGCTCGTAACAACTTGTAAAATTCCTCATCGATGGTAGGTGGTTAAGTTGTCCACTTCAGCGGAGGTACATATGGAGGCAACTTCTCGTCAGAACGCAACTTGGCCAATCCCTGGCTGAACCATAGCTGGGCCAAGGAAGTGAAAGATGTTTATGAAAGGAAGATGCCAGCCCATGGCAACCAGCGTTGCAACCTCATCTTGCACGGTAGGCTGCAGGCGTGGTATAAGATGATATAGCTTCTCGATTAGATCTTTAAATGAGTGACCTGGCTCGTAATCCACCACTGGAGGTGAAGGCCATGAGTCAACCACCGCCAATTCAGAAGTATTGTCACCATCTGGCCGATCTGGATTGTAGACAACGAAGTTGCTTGCCATTTCAGCATCCTGGTTGTGAAACGGTAGACTGATCTGATCTGACCGCTACCATCTGTTTTCTGTTAAATAATGAATGCTCTGTACAGTATGTGCAATTAAGAGGGCATAGCCGTCTGGTATCCTCGGCATTCTGGGTCACTGGGTGAATGGAAGATGGATCCGAATCCGACATTAACTCCACGTCGGCCACTTTGACTTCCTCCGTGCGGCTGGGTGAACTGTTCCATCGAACGTTATATTGCCCATGGTGGTGGAGAGAGGGTAGGCTCGATCCGTTTGTCTGTCTGTCGTGGTCTGCATTGATATTTCGTGGTTCTTTTGTCGATCATCGCCTGAATAGTGTGTTGTTGTTGGTTGATAAGTTGTGTCAACAGGCTCATGGCCCCCATCTGGGATGGACTCTACAGGAGTCTTTGGAGTGTAGACTGACAAGGTAGGGGTCTCACTCACTGGCCTCTTAGCAGCTTTCCCCCGTTTGGACCTCTTCCAGGATTCCATGAGTTTAAGGAAGACCTCTGACGGAAGAGGGAAACACTGCTGACAACAATCCTCACCCATACAGACTGTAGTATGACATGTCCAGCAAGATGAGTTGGGTCACCCAATGTCATCAATTGACCACATACCCAAGTATGGGTAGAGGACGCCATCTTGTCTCTCAAACATGATCACTACCTTAACCATTCCTGAGAAACAGATGTACTACAACTATACTGATATAATAAAAGGTTAGCTTATAACTACTACATAATGTGAAATTAATTTAGATTTAGAACAGTGCGAAAAACAAAACAAAATAAATTGTGCTTGGGGCATACTAAGCGTATATAATATGTGTTGTCTATATGGAAAAGAAGTGATATTTCTGCCTTGAGCATGAGATGTAGAAGGGTCTAGCGCCTTCTCTATGTACAATAGCCAAGTGGATGAAGATAGTACAGATGCGCATAGATGATTTAGATCATTTCTGGAGTCATTTTCATAGGTTAGACTTTGCGGGTCAGACAGTTTTAAGAACTGAGGGAGTGGGTAAGCCATGGACTTGAATGCTGGCAAGATAGACATCTAATGCTGTGACATTTACTCTAGGGTCTGACATAGTAAGATAGAAGACTCAAGGAACAAACACCACTTCACAAGACAAGTAACTGTCAACACAGGAGTTACCAAGGAAACATGTGTATAACAAGGTTGGTAACATTCTTGTGCAAACTGCCATGTGGCAGTGCTACACAGCAAAATATTATCTGGTCTTTGATCAAGACATACGTACCGGAATTTCCCATAGGGAAATGATGCAACATAAGTTATGAGGTTGTATGTCCACAATAATTCTCAATAGAGAGATTTGAAGTTGATAAAGAAATGAAACTCACAAGTCTTGGTTCACTTGAAGTCCTCGTGGTTTGGTCAGGTTAGATAGCAGGACCAGTTCAGCACCAGATGTGGTGTGAAGGGTAGAGAGTATACCCGACGAAGTTGTGTAGAACAAGAGGTCAGAGGCAATGTCTATGTCTAGGCCTGTCAGCACGATCCCTGGTGGACATACATGTAGAACAGGGTTATTGACATTGATGCTATACTTGGACACAACATAGTACACAGCTTCCAGGACGGGCTCCAAATAACAACACCTCTCAACTACGACAAGTACTATTTTCAAAGATGCGACCAATTAGGCATAACATGAATAAATGTACCAACATGTTCCTGTTCCTGTTCATGTTCATGTTATAGATAGAGCCAGTGCCAGTACCTTATTGGGAGAACTTTGCCTCACGACAGTATGTTTTATCTCCCCAAAAAGTACTGGCACAAGTTCTCTGTCATAGAGCAAAGGCAAATACCCGAGCTCCATGAGTGAGTGAGTTTTTGACAGTATTCCAGTTATACCACGGCGTGTCAGCTTAATGTGGGAGGTAAGCCCGAAGTGATGCAGGTCTCCGATGTTGACTACCTCGGTGAAACCCCCGAACACGGGTATGGTGCTGACAAACCTAGAAACATCATCGGGATGTACCGGCATTCGAACACACAATCATAGGTTTCGGGCGTACCCAAGGGACGCAACTCTCCACAGCGAATCGCGGCGCCTTAGACGACTCGGCCAACCGTGCACCATATTATGCATAAAACCACAATTGTCATACAGAATGTGTAAGGAGAGAGGTTCAGATAGTCATCGAGTTGCCTCCAACTGAAAAGTGAATAAGTATTGTTTGAAACACATGGGAATGCTATATACGGAAAGTCATTGGGAAGAATCTCAAAGAGTTTTCTTTAGCTATTGAAACACATCTGTGATTTTTCAAGGTATGCTGGCCTGAGGCATACATTTCACTGATCATTACGTCCTTAGAAACCACAAAAACAACATTAAGGCACAATTATTTTGATTTACCTCACGAAACATCGCTCCTTGACATCCTTCCATGTAATGTTTTTGTGCATGATTTAATGTCATAGTGTGATCTAATCTGAACATGGTTTAATCTTTCATTGTCACTTGATTAGGATGTTTCAAGCCCCTTTCTCCCCGCAGGTTTTTTCATATTGCTTAAAAATGCAACATGGCCCTCTTGAATTATTTATTAGTAAACATATAATTAGAATATTTTGACAGTGTGTAAACAATTTCTCAATTAACGTTTTAAGGTGGGTGCGGGTTTGTCTCTACACTTGTGGAATTAAGTTATTCATCCTGCATTGAGCTTTTGAGATACTCCCTATTGTTACATTCCAGAATTTCCTTTTGGGACCATATAAGACGATAAGAACAAAAGGTTACTGGCAACAAGAAAACAAGGCTGATACCGTTAATTAATAACTAGACAACAATAATTAGCTACCAGAGAACTAGTGACCCCTCATTAAAGAACCATTTAGAAAGACAACTAGAAACAAGGTATATAACAACTTTTGAAATGACAACAAGAAGCCAACTAGAAACTGCTTTTTCTCAGAAACCCTTGTTGATATACCTTCGGGGAATTTGAAGAGCAATTCCTGTCCAACGCCATCCACCTTGACTCTCCCGATTGTGGTTGGGATCTGTGTGGTGAAGTAAACGAACTGATCCCTCTGATTGTACACGAGAAGATCAACAGTTCCAAAGTACCTCTCCACACTCACTGTACCTATTGTCATGCTGTGAAGGTTAAGGATTCCAAACTCGGAGTCACCCACACCAAACAGCAGTTTTAACTCTGACGTGTTTGTGTCTGAAATGGAGATAAATATAAATATGGCATGCTTGATTCAGGTAGGTCCTTCAGTAGCAATAACAGCTTATTGAGAGTAGGAATTGAAATAAAAATATCAAGTGTCAAAAAAGATGCTCTATGAAGTTGCAGGGAGACTTGTGTAAGTATTAGTAAAACATCTTCTTTACTGATGTTGCCGACCCGTGAAGATCCAGGTTAGAATAGGTCTTCAGCAACCCATACTTGCCCTAACAGGGTACTATGCTTGTCGTAAGATGCGACCAATGGGATCGGGTGGTCAGACTCGCTGACTTGGTTCATGCATGTCATCGTATCCCAATAGCGTGGATCGATGCTTATGATATCACTCACTGTATTGTCTGGTCCAGATTTAATTACTTACAGATCGCTGTCATATAGAGGAAATATTGCTCAGTGCAGCATGAACAAACAAACTTATGCTGCCTTACAGCGCTGTTGAAAAATTCCAGTAAGAAAGAATTAACCAGCCAGATTACACTTCAGTGAATAAAAGTGGCCAAAACATTTCCAAAATCATAAGGAAACTCTGTTAAAAGCCGAGTCCATTGTACGATTCCGACCATAGGATAAGCATGTGCTTATGGATCACTATCAAATTGTGATTATACCAGTTGTTCATGAAAAGGTGAGTGTATCCTGCCCCTCCGGTGACATCCATCAAAACTCATGCAAAGGCAAGTCAATTATGGTAGTACATTGCATCGGACATCTTTGGCACTGAGGCGTCAAAATTGGAAATGTCCTCCACATGTTTCCATAAAACTGTTTGAAAGTTCTACTGAGGCCTTGAATGTTGTAGCCCTGATCGAGCAAGTTGTTTAGCAAGAGTCGGATGATACTCTTTTTACATCTTCGAAGAAAGAACGTGCTCAGTTGTACCTAAAAAGTTAGTAGTGACCGATTGAGTACAGTTTTACGCTGCTTTAACAAATATTTTAGCAATATCACGGCGGGGGACACCAGAAATAGGCTTCACACATTGTACCCATGTCAGGAAGGAAACACGGGGCTTCGGCATGACAAGCGAAGGCTTTAACCACTAGGCTACCACACCTCCTCTAAAATGTTAGTAAAGAAAGAGGTAAATCATAGATCTTTCAAAAACATTCAATTCTGTCAATAGAGAATAGCTCTGGTATGTATTTCAAATAGCGATATTACAACTAAGATGGATGAAGGATTGAAATCTGTATATCAAAATGTCAACGCTTGTTGTGCATATCCAAAATGGTAAATAATGATGTCTTTGACTGTCCCCTAGCTTGTTTTCTTTGTTCATCTTTGTTTCCAGTTTTCATAAATTAATTAGTCAATGAAATATCTTAAACATGTTCTCAAATGGCAGATCAGATTCATGCACGTGAATCACTTGCATACATGTCATACTATCAAATATTCCCTCATTCGCTACTGCACTCTGAATGTTGTAATTAAAACAAACGCGAAATCATAATGATAGCTGTATCACTTGCATACATGCCATACTATCAAATATTCCCTCATTCGCTACTGCACTCTGAATGTTGTAATTAAAACAAACGCGAGATCATAATGATAGCTGTATTGGTAACATTTTTCACAAGTGTTGAATTGTTAAAAATTGGTTTCTATTCAGGCACAGGCAGACATTTGATCTGTGTAAAAATGATTACATGAATTTAAATCAATTTTAAGACAATTGAGAAAAAGTAAGGTTGATTGACTGTATGTCAGGTTGATCTGGGCAAAGTCAACAAAGCGATCTAAACATAATGACTCCGATACCCTTGCATAAAGTATGATGGTCATGGCGCTAAGACGCTTTGAGGAACGAGGCTCTGTACCATAATGCTATGTTTCACCTGTGCACTGCTTGACATCGGGGCTTCCCTTGAGCTCCGTAGTCTTGAATCCAGGACATGAGTGGCAAAATGACATTCCTGGTTTGTCCTGGTAGAACCCATGTTCACACGCCTTGCATTGTTGAGTGTCAAACATCTTTCCAGGAGGGCACTTGACTAAATACACATATGGGTATGAAGTAGTTTGTTGTACATTAAAATTGATATATTTGAACCATTATTAAAACAACGATGATAACATGTGCTACAAAACAAAATTCTACCATGAATTTGGAAAACACTCAAAGTTAATTGACCAAACAGATGTTTCAAATCAAAATATCCCACCATACTCAGATTGAAACAGCTGAATTGATCGTTGCATCATGACAAAAAGGTCGAAAGGCATAATTAGTCCCATTCCAAAGTGCTCAACCCTGGACCCTAGAGACCCCCTCGCATACAGGGGTATCACACTGACTACGTCCATCTATAAACTGTATTGTAGTATCCTTAACAGAAGACAACAACTGTGGACAGAAGCTAACGACGTACTCCATGATTCACAGAACGGATTCAGACAAAAAAGATCTACTATCGATCACGTCCAAACGCTAACAGCAATTATAGAAAACAGAAAAGTAAAAAAGAAATCTACATTTGTTGCATTCATAGATTTTAAGCAAGCTTACGACTGTGTTAATAGAAACATTTTATGGGATAAACTTTCTCACCATGGTAATGGAGGCAAAATGTTACCTGCCTTGCAATCATTATACAAGGGTGTTAAATGCAGTGTTCGAGTGAATGGTTTCTTTACTTCCTGGTTCACGGTAAACCGTGGCTTAAAACATAGGTGTTTGTTATCTCCCTTGCTTTTTAACTTGTTCATAAATGATTTATTATATACTCTCAACAGTCTTAATATTGGTGTAACTGTAGACAATTTTAATATTGCAGCATTAGCATATGCAGATGATTTAGCATTGCTAGCTGAGAATGAAGCTGATCTCAGTCTACTGTTAGATGTTTTACATACTTGGTGTTGCACAAATAAGATAGAGATCAATAAGGAAAAGTCTAAAATTGTCCATTTTAGAAATCCGTCTGTCATACAGACGAAGCATGTTCTTAATGTCGGAAATATGATTTTAGACATTGCTGCTAAGTATAATTATCTTGGTCTACTGTTCACAGACCAATTAGACTTTACTGCAATGGCACGTGCAGCAGCGAAGTCTGCTAATAGGGCTTTGGGCCTCTTGATATCCAAAGTTAAGACAATAGGCGGTATGCATTTCCAAACCTATTCCAAATTGTACGATAGTATGGTGTGGTCTGTTCTTGACTATCTGGGGTAATTATGATGTGTCAGCAATAAATGCTGTACACCATAGCGCCATTAGATTTTATTTGGGACTCGGCAAATACGCCCCTAACGTCGCTATAAATGGGGACATGGGATGGATACCGCCTGTTGTCAGACAGTGGAAAAGTGTAGCAAGACAATGGTGTCGCCTTAAGAATATGTCTAGTAGGTTAAACAAACACGTGTTTAACTGGGCTGATAGATACGATGTAAATGGTTGTAAAAATTGGAATGGTAGGGTAAGAAAGAAGTTTACTAATATGGATTTAGGACATCTATTAAACGCTACAGGTTTTATTGATAAATTTTCTGTTTGTACACAGGTGGAACAATGGTGTAAAAATTAATATGTTACCCGTTGGAGTGATATGTTAAGAAATGGGACAGAATACTATGTTTCAAATGAGATGCCCAGAAACTATAGATCGGCACTAGCCAAGTTTAGATGTGGAGTGGCTCCTATTCGAGTGGAAACCGGTCGATACGAAGGTGTCAATAATAGAAAATGTTTTCACTGTAATGACAGCGTAGAAGACGAGGTCCATGTTTTGTTTCACTGCGCATTATATGATGACATCAGGGCAACTCTTTTTAATGAATGTATTGCTAAATCTTATAATTTTTTAGATATACCTGATATCGACAAACTTTGTTTTATTTTCAGTGACTCCAGGGTGTGTTTTATACTTGCCAAAGTCTGCTTTTTAATTCTTAATCGTAGAAAACATCTTTTATATGGATAACTTTTTACTATATCATCTTTATATCATTTATGTATAAATTCTGTGATAATTCGTCTCTCATAATTCTATTGAATGGTTCTGTACATTTTATCTATGTCAGGTTGTATAAAGCTGTTTTGTGTATGTACAGGAGTGAGACGTTAATAAACTATTGTCTGTTTGTCTGACAGAAGCTAATGTTTATAAATACAGTCAAGTCATGTTAATCGGACATGGTTGGTTGCATATGATTATGTTGGATTATTAAGTATGAGAAATTAAGTAGTATCAACCTTTGTGATCGAAAATCGGACAACTATACGTTCCTGTTAGTTATTTCATTGGTCGGTCAAACTTTGAGAAAGGTCGTTTTGAAGTAATCTATAATGGGATGTTCATAGCAGTAGCGAGAACTTGTATCTGATTTCAGTTGTAATATGCAGCTACCAGCTGACTCATATCGTATCAAAACACGGGCTTTGTACTCGCGGGCAGAATACCACGGAGTATGCTGATCACTGTTGAATTAACGAGACTGATTAATGAGTGATTTTGGCAATTCCTTGCAAATTAGGTGTGTTGAAGTTGGGATGCAAGACTGAGGGGTTAACAGGTCCAAATAGCACTGAGTTAATCAGTTCCCAATTTTAGTGTCGGATAAGGCCGATTGTCGGATTTACGTGTGTCTGATTAACAAGACTTGACTGATGTACTTCTTTCTCAGTCAGTGTTGGTAGGCTCAATAATGATATGTACTCTAACAGCAAAGTCACAAAAAAACTGATGTAGTTACTAAAATATTCAAAGTGTGTGTGGCAATACATTAGGGGCAGAAACCATTATAGGAATTGACTGAGAGAGAGAGCATTTTCATTTCTTGGGATGGGGGAAGCTGGAAAACTGGTGCGTTTCTATCTTGATCTGACAATAATGGATGCAGTGATGACATAACAGCTTTGTTCAACTTAAAACTAAACCTTGCAAGGTCCTCTCCTTTTCTTCAGGTGAGTCCACTTTCTTACAAAGTAGCTGTGCTTAATCCTTTCAATGCCTGTCATTTATGCGAATAAAAATCACTAAAGAAAAACACAATGTTTGAGTACAAACAGTAACACACCATTATTTCCTTAATTTGCAACCTACATGAAACATTGGACGCAAACCATGCCACTTCAGTCCTGGGACTACTTACTACAGAACACGCCGCCTTGGATGGCACCAGTGGGGCATGTCATGATCTGTACAGCTGACATGAAGGTGGGTTGTAAGGGGTTTTGCTGGTCCAGTTTCATGTTGAAGTCTGTGTAGTTCTCATGCCTCACCTCCCAGTTCGTGTCATCCAGGAAGTGCCAAGTTCTCAGGATGTTGCCAAACTGACCTGGAACTGCAATATTTATTAAATAGAATTAAACTTTGCAGTTATCCTCTTGATTTTTTATAAACTACATGCGAAACACCTGTATGATAACAAATGCCCCGGCAATGGGACTCCATCAACTTGCCATCAACACCTTACTACATAAAAGAGCATCTCTTGTTGCCAGGAAATGTATCACCTTCGATCCTATGACCTATATAGCTCTAAATTTGTATAAATGAACCACATACGACAGTTTATGTAACAGGGGTATCAAACATTTCGGAATTCTTGACCTCTTCATGCTCTCATGTTTTGAGAAGAAAATATCATGTAAAAACTTGTGGTCTAATGATATCTCTCCAAATTGCAAACAGTTCATATCAATATCTATTACTTGCCCGTGAAGAGATCACCCGTTTAATAAACATACAGCTGTATTACACATTGTGTAATACCAAAACGCGTGCTTATGTACTCTCGGAACACGTTTTACGAACAAATATTGAAAGCTCTCGACATCCCTTGGCTTACTCAATGACATTGCGTGTGGAGATGATAGATCACTGAGAGGAGCTTATGCACACTCGATGACCCCAGCAACCATGTTGCTAGGCTGACGTCACATGGCATCGTTTCGCCGATGGATCTTGCAACAAAATTCCACAAATGATGTCATCGGGTACTGTGACGTGATTGTAAACTTTGAGGTGCAAGGCCCCGTTCCACAAGGCAGGTACTGTAGCGCAACGACAGTCGTTGGTCTAAGTTAAAGTATGTGAGTTGCGATAACCTTAACGCTACGATAATTTTGTGGAACGGACGCCTGAATTCTAAAGGTGGACCGTTGTATGGTATTACATTCATACGTTTCAACTTTTGACGTGTTTGAAGTATTACTGTGTTAAACTCAGTTGGATTATGTCGTGGATCGTGTAGGTGTCAGCCTATTCACACTCAACAGTATAATTCTAAAAACGTTATAAATGGCCAGTAATAAATAAAATACCTAACTCGCTCCCGTGTAAAACCAATTTTATGAAACTCGCGAATAGTTGTGGTATCTGACTCGCTTTCGCTCGTCAGATACTACAACTATTCACTCGTTTCATAAAATTGGTATTACACGGGAGCTCGTTTATTATTCTATATTTATCTAAACGTAAATAAATGACAAATTTTAATCACTGAACAGATCAAACCGAAGTTTTTCCCGATGCGTGACTCACTGTCAGCAGCATTCCTGAGTGAACCTGGAAACCTGATGCTACTCGGGTGCATCCAAACACAGGTCTTCGAACAGATGGAATTGAAAGCTTTGCAGAGATGAATAGATGGTCTACAGATTGGATGCTAACAGATTGATGGATTGATGGATGATAGACAGGCATATTAGAATGATGGATGATAGTCAGATTGGATGATTACATATTGATGGATGGATGGATGGATGATAGTCAGATTGGATAATTACAGATTGATGGATGGATGGATGATAGTCGGATTGAAAAATTAAAGATTGGTGGAAGGATGGGTGATAGTTAGATTGGATAATTATAGATTGATGGATTGATGATAGTTAGATTGGATAATTACAGATTGATGGATTGATCGATGATAGACAGGCATATTAGATGGATGGATGATAGTGAGATTGAATAATTACAGATTGATGGATGGATGGATGGATGATAGTGAGATTGGATAATTACAGATTGATGGGTGGATGGATGATAGTGAGATTGGATAATTACAGATGGATGGATGGATGGATGATAGTTAGATTGGATAATTACAGATTGATGGATGGATGATAGTGAGATTGGATAATTACAGATTGATGGATGGATGATAGTCAGATTGATGGAGGATAGATGGATGGACGATAGACAGGCTGAATGCCAAGAGATGGATGAATGATAGCCAGGCACGCATGATATCTACAAAGAAGACTTCATGAAGCACACATCATCATAGGTTTAATGGTTCCTGAAAGTTGTTCACAGATGACCATGTTGCATGAGAACAGACAACTAGGCAACGCCATAAGCTCACTTGATTGTTAGTCATGTGAGCTAAGATAATAATGAAGACTTACCAGTATTTTCCCTACAATGATACATATCAATATAATATGATGTATCTTGTCTGTAAAATGAAAACAAGATCCACTTGTAAATTTAGTTCTCTCGCTTGCACAATTCATACTATTTTACTGGTGTGGATTTTGTAGTGGTAAAGATATTTTTGTGTGATATTACTGAGCATGTCTAGTATAACGCACCTTCAAATGCCAATGATGGATGATCATATGGATTCACTATTAGTGAGTCGTTGACAACAGACAATTCCAGTGCTCTATGTTCAATCATTGTTGGTTCATCACTTGTGTGGGTGAAAACGTTCCATGTTGCAAACAGCGGTTCTAAGTAAGTCATCACTGCAAAGGAAAGCAAAATATACAAGATGGTACCAGATAGTACAGGTTCTGGTTATTCCTAATGGATATCCATATATTCTTTGTAGAGATAATGGGGACTAACTGCTAATAATACTGACAACTTTGAAAATGCGAACAGTTTCATCAGGATGTTTTTTTACATATGTAACAAATATTAATAAACAAATGAACACTGTAAATGCAACAGAAGGACATTTGTTGGGCCATGTTGTCTGAGTTCTGTTCCTGTTTGGTGTTTCTAAAAGTGGGCAAGATCACGAAAACACATCTTCACTCAATAAAATTGCCAGAGTCAACTGTTCTTCAAAGTACAGAGTCGGAAGAATAAAAAGGCATGGGCATCAAGAGGACAGCAGCGATTTGGAACGATGTCACTATTGAGTTAACAAAAAGAGAGAGTGTGCTCTTGGGCTGCTAAGGCAGGAACTTCACAGACAGCAGATACTGATGAGGAAGTAAAATCAATATCCAGAATGTGAAACGTGGCCTCGATTCATTGTTGCCTAGTCAAGGGAGGAAACAATTGAAGGCATGTAAATGTTAAATAGTTCCCCAAGTTAGATCTTTTGCAATTCTGATATAATGTTTTAGGAGAAACCTGGAAGCTAATCTCATGGAAGGGAATTGTCTTGCAAATATTCTACTCAATATACTGGTGAATCCGTCGAATTCGGTGTGACTATCGTCGCCGGCCTGAATGGTCCATGCAGCTTTGTCAGTTGCATCGTAATAATAATCTGCGAGATAGTCTCAAGCCAGGACGTCGTCTTGATCCTCTTTTGCATCGCCATGGATACAAACTCCTCGTACAGCACTTCCTCCACTGAACCATCCATTGCGTTTGAGATTCCACATTGTAAGAATGACCCACTTTCGTTCACCCTCTTTGCCACTTCTGTGAGTGGAGCTCTTCACATGGCATCTGTCTTTGTGAACGTGTGTTCTCTGTAAAGTTTCCACTCTGACCACTGCTCTCGGACGTTGGGCTTGAAAGGCTTGTCTAAACACACATCAAGTGGCTGAAGCAAATGGGTAGAGCCGCCTGGGATCACTGCCTGGTGGATCTTCTTCCCTGTTAGTGAATTCTTGACAGTCCGACATAAGTGCGCCCTAAACATGTCCCACCTGAGAAGCGACATGCATCATCTCAAGCCACCGGCCACTTCATCTTCTTGGGCTTTTATAGATGGTCAGCGCTCGATGTCCAATCCTTCAGTTAAACGTATGGCGATACTGTAAACCGTCTGGAATTTCATCATTTTCAACATTTCTATGAGTGACTTCTTTGCTTTTCTCCAATTTTGGGACTTATTTTTCATTAATGCCAACTCTCGTGCAGTCGCACTGTTGTTTGTTGTCTCTGTTAGAGTGACAACTCACAGTTTAAAGTCAGCATCGTAAGTGTGGTGTTTTCTTTTCAAACACATGATGAGACTGTCAGTCCCTAAAAACATATCAACTTTAATACTCCTATACAGTAACTAATGTTTCTCAATACTACATCTCATCAAACATTGCCGCCATTATTGTATGTTCGTCCATCATAATTACATAAACTATGTGAACATTGAATGACCATCACTTACTCACAGGCTTTCCCAGTTTATGAAAATAATCTCTCGAAAACAAACACAACACACTCCTAATACAACCGCTACGCACAACTTGAAAAGTGTTTGTGGAAACAACATGACAATACCAATCAGCCCCATAATTATCAGTGCTCGTTTCCTTGTGTACCGCTTGTGTTACTTTCTTAACAAGAGGAAACAATCACAGTCTTCACCATTTGTGACGTCACAGGAAACAGCTGCTCTCAATAATTAATGTCTTTTGCAAATGGTGAACGGAATAACTCGCCATTTCAGTTGTATATTTGCCACGTTAATAAGGTAACGTTTGTAATAGCTATTTGCGATTTCATCTGTGGATGTTGTTACATGCAAAGATCGTTGCGTTTACAAAGAAAACTTATTTGAAAACTTTTTTCGGCTATTTAGAAATAAAATTATTGGTGTATAATATGTATTTTCCCTTACATAAGCCAAACCCTTTGTATAGAATCATTTCTGGTCCTCAATATACATTTTATCTATGGTCATATACAGAAAATCTTTTTGCAAGTTGGCAATTGTTCCCAATCCTTGAATGTGCTTTAACTTGGCCCTGGGCAAGGAACATTCACTGGCATGTCTCGAAGGAACATAACTCCAGGTCCCGACTATTGACTGGTGGTACTCTTCACTTCTGACTTGCTCGTGAAAATGATCCCACAAATGATGGATGGGGCCAGGAGAACATGCAGGCCATGGCAAACATTAATGTTCATGTTGTTTCATCCCCAAACCTGTGTGCAGTAATGTTGCCTTGAATGATAAATAACCTTGTCTTCACGTCTCCATAGATTCCTCCCCAGACCATGACACCACTACCTACAAATGGTCCAACTTCCTGGATACAGTTTGAGGCTAGGCATTCACTTGGTGTCTGTAAACACTCTGTTGACCATCAGCTTGAACAAAGCAAACCCTGCTCTCAGAAGAAAACAGGAGTCTTGAGCCTCCAAACGCCGAACATGCCTGGCCCAAACACGAATATAATGTTCTATTTATTACCGAAGAAGATGTCTACATACAGGAACTTATTTTAGTGTTTACCTATAAGGACAGCAGGTGGCAACAGCAGCGGAACCACAATTTATCGAATGACGTCAACAATCTTCAACAGTGACGCCATTTCTAGTGTGACGTCATTCCGACCTTACGTCACAAAAAGAATGGAATGTGGTCAACAATGACGTCTGGATGACGGAAACAATACACTGTTGTCTCGAGACATGATATGACCCTAGGACACATATGATTTTTATGAACCCGATATGTTTGCCCTCGTAGGTAAAATATATAAATGCACAAAATCCTTAAAGAAATGCATGCAATGATGATAATGTTGACAAAATAATGTCCTACCTTTCTTGTTCTTCTGAATCTTTGATACATTTATTTGTCCTTGTGGTACATCTCTTCTGACAATGAGAGAACCGTAGTGCTGACCATCAACTTTATTGCAGTTTGTAATACTCTCATGGCATACAGAAGACCCAATTTGAATGGAACAATGATTACTTCTGACACAATTGAAACTGCTTCCCACAGAGTGCAACTTGGAGCTGATGAGGCCAGGTTTTATGACAGAGTTGCCGAATACCACAGTGTAGTTGATGCCAGCTGAGAGTGGAGTCACCGGGTCTGTGAAGTAAATCATAACATTAGTGCACAGTACTGTAGCTCACCTGGTTATATATGACAGCTTTAAACAGCCACTTAAAAGTTCAATATTTTCAATATAAAATGAAAACAATACGCAAGTTGTTAAATTTAAAAGGGACGAATGAGTACAATGCGTGAATATATGGCTGGAATAATATGGATTGAATTTTGCTCAACGTACTTTCCAGAAAAGCACTACCTTGTCCGCAATTACCAGAAGTGTCAGATACCATTGTGTCACACAAAATATATCAACTAGAATGGTGTTTACATTACATGCAAAAACAGAAGCAACCTCATCCCCCATCACCTACTGAATGCCCCCAAACTTTCCAACCAGAAACATGTATCATGTACCATCAAGCAGGGTTTACAATGAAATGGTGCTGTTGCAGATTATTAACATTAATCTCCTGCATAAGATTCATCATGAGAAGACTTTTGAAAAATATGAATACAATTCTGAAAATATTTCTCAAATCATCGAACCCTGAAATTGTCACATGTATTGGCTCATTACAATATTTCTAATAATTACTTATTCAAAGATATTGCAAGTGATTTTAGGATAACTTTTACTATAAATATATTCTACTCTTGCCAATGGCAATTAGAAGCTACTGCTGGGAGACTTCAGTCTGTTTGACTCCAAATGAGACCGATGAATAGCAAAATAACTAAAAGTCGGGAATAGTCTATTAAATGTCAGTGTGTTACACGGCAATGAAACGCTGTACCCAAAAAGATCTGCTGTTTGTTATTTCTATTCCCATCACTGGAAAAAAGTTCTTTAAGAAACTATCATGTTGTTATGTGTACAGGATCACATCTTGAATGGAGGGGGCACAACGTTAGGATGAACTGCGCACACATGTACTGCACGTGCATAGAGAATACTACACACATTCTCGTTAGATACCATTTTTACGAAACGAGTGGACTTTCTAGGGGATCTGTCCGAACGAAAGCGAGGTCAAATACCATAGAAAGTTTGCGAGTTTCGTAAAAATGGTATCTAACGAGCATGAATGTGGTATTTTTATTATTACCCACGTTAAATATATTAAAGTGTAAATACATAACAACTTTCGTTCGTTGACAGACCAAACTGAAACCGGTTTCAAAATCTGGTTGCGCATGAATATGGATATATGCCTAAATATGGGCATTGTTGACATCGTTGTGTTTTCAAACATAACAGCACCGACGCTATATATCCTTTTTGAAAAATTTCTTCAATTTATGGTTATTCAAGCGCATTGTTGTTAGTACATAGGACACCCATAAGAAAATGTTAAAAGTCACATTCGCGCGCGCTTTGAATATCGGACCAACGGTCGCTCGCTCGCTCGCTAAATTTATATCCTGTCCGTACCATTTTGGAAGAGGGAAATCAGAGTGTTCGCCAAAGACATTCATGTTAATTGTATCACCCTATACTGAAGATGTGAAAATCAACAAACGCAAGTCTGCTTGCATGTCAGTGACAGCTTCGAACGAAGGACAGGGTCACCACCGGAATAAGAAAACACAACCGTGATCTACTCACAGCGTTTTACGCTGCACATAGGGAATGTTATTGTACACATTTGGAATGTTTTGGGTCATATAATCAGAAGTCAGGCAGACTTCTACGGAGTTTTCGAACGATTTGAAACGGACATTATCGCTCATGAACAAACACCTTCGGAAGCAATACGCATCGAATGGCGACACTGATGGCACAACCGGAGCATCGAACGTAAGTCTACATATGTGTCCAGATAGTTTAAACTGACCTAATTTCACCACGCTTAACCTTTTACGTTTGAAATTGAAAGTCGCGAAAGTGGTCGGGTGCCTTACGCTCATTGGGACCCTTGATCCATCGGTAGACATTGCATATGGGTATGGCTCGATTATATAATGTATGCAGTTGCTTTATGCATAACTAATATAGAATGCAAAGCGAATTTATTGCGTGTGACGATCTTGTTTGGTTTAATAAAGAGTGTGTTATTGTCTCTCGCTTTCGTGAGATTCCTTTAGTTCTACCTTGTAGTTGAGGAAGCGAATGACATCTCGCGATTTTTTTATGAATGAAAAAAATAATTCCGGTGTGACAGAGGTCACCACGGTGGTAATAATATATAGTATACAACATTCGCTACTCTATTGATTTTTAAGGTGCGTGAACACCAATCAAACAAACAAAAACATATCTACAAAATGTTTTCCCGGTATCTAAAATGGACAATCACTGAAATGATGTATATAGAATCTAATGGTTGGATGTGATTTGCACCACCACCACCACCCCCACCACCACCCCCGACTGAATGTCATATACTGTGTGAGGTGGATCAGATCCGAATCACCAGGCCATGATATTTCCTTCCCCACCCACCACACGTGGCCACCCAACAGTGGGAGCTTTCTAAGCCTGCTTCAGGAGGGTGTGTGGGGTGTGTGTGTGTGTGTGTGTGTGGGGGGGGGGGGGGTGGGTGTTTGTGATTGCATCCAGACGCTTGTCCAGCATGTCCTGCAGTAAGCCTCAGGGACAGCTGAAGCATGGCATCGGCTTGGGGTGGAGAAATCATCATGGGTGCCAGAGAGGCACACTGGGTGTACCTGGAATCCTTTATCTATTATTTGGTATCGATAATCCTGAAATCACCTCACTAGTGCCAAGGATGTATGCAAATATGAGTTAAAGTTCTATTGAATCTACGCCCAATTCCCTATTTTTTTCAAGTTTGAACAGAATCCACACTTCCAAAAGGTAACAAGTGGGCCTTGAAATGCCATACATGTGTAGGAGACGCCACTTTGGAACATATTTTGGAATATTTGTTATTTGTTTTTGTGTTGACAGTAGGAAACACAGGAAGGAGTGAATACTTGGGAAGGGAGATACTATCAAAAGACAGAGAAGAAGACCTCATATTATAGGAATATACCTCAATACCATATTATGCAAAGTGAACAACACTTGAACAAAGCAAAACAAACCCACCTGTGCATGAGACAGTTTGCCTTGTTGGTGTCCATATACCGTGGCCACACGTGTAGACAAAAGGCTTCTCGGGAAACACCAAGCCGTGCTTGCATTTGACTTGACATGTTATCGACGTCTTCTGTATGTCACAAGTTTTAATTATACCTTTCCCAACTACTAGATCATCCGTGTTGCATTCTGGAAAAAGAATTCAAGTTATATACATATACCACATATAATTATCTCAGTTTAAAAAGTGTATAGCATGTCACAATTAGTTGCATTAGATATACAATCGGACCCTAGTATCTCGAACCAAGCAGGACCGTGTCGTAACAGAGATATCCGGACATTCAACATAGCGAGTCAAGGACAGTATGATAGATCCATTACTATTTGAACAGTGTGAATTACCCAATCCCAAGGTAAAAGCATTGTAACATTATCTGAAATGCAGAGTGTTTCAAGCAGAAATAGTTCACAAAAAGAGACACTATTCTGTAGCTCACCTTTTTTGTCTGTAATATTTGCAGCCTCAGATTGTAAAGATTACCGAGAAGAATAAACCCCAAAAATGAAAATATGTAACTTTTTGAACAGTTGACATCGTAACTGTCTGTAGATTGAAATTCATTGATAAATGAATGATTTTGGGTAGAGGGCTCAGCTTACAATTTCAACAGGGCAGCCACCATAATACATGAAGATACATGTAGAAATTGCTCAGTGATAAGCAATAAAAGTGTTTTAATATGCCTGGCAAGGTGGCAACATGTAAAATTGGAATACCAGGAGAATGTTTTAAGATCATTCATGCAAGCCTCTAAGCTTCATGGGCCTTGTGCAGATGTTGAAAATGGAAAGTTACAACCACTAAGCACAACGGATTCGTTGGCAGAACAACATTCCAACTTAAACTTCCAGGTATGCTTCGTGTTAGTTGTAGCAAACAATCTTGTGCTAGAGTTGTTCCATGAGATGTTCAAAGCCATCTTCTGTGTCATTTCGTGACTTTGAGCATGCTGAGGCCGGGGGTAATTTTGTTATTGTAATCTTGTAACAGGTGCCGTTCTCATGGATTGGGAATGCTGATTCATACAATGTTTTCATTTGCGATACATGCTACAGGCATGAGCGAATTTTCACTCCCTGAAGCAGTTACCATTGTTGAATCTCCTACAGATGCCATCTGCCGTAAAGGCTTCCTTGAACGCTGAACATATGTATGAGCATGGTAGTTTAGAGTGGTATTGTCCATATGGCAGAGCATTTTTGCAGTGGATGAATTAGATTTAGGAACCTGGAATCAACAAATGTCTTATAGGGGAGTTTTCTAAAAAAACTTTTCTAGCATTGTCATTCTATCTTGTCTATAGATTCCTATTTTTTTGCAATCGGTAGCGTATATAACAGAAAAGAATATTGTTGAAATAACTCAAATTATTGAACTTTTCATTGTCAACACCCCCATCTCAAACACGTGTTGCTTGTTGTGCCATGTACAGCCCTCAATAATGATCATCCTCAGAAAGTATATTGAGCTGACTGACTAATAATGTCTGATCATGTTTACAAAATGATAAATAAAGCATGAATGTTAGGGTAGCACTGCATATATGGTGAATTTCTTTAAAGTACAGCAAGACAACACACTGGCCATTTCACTGTATGAACCCTTCAGCAGAACTTTCAAAGTAGGTAGAAAATGCTTACATCATATGCCAAATGTGAAGTTTTAGTTGAACATTCATAATCTTTAACCATGAACACATGAAGACAAAGGCGAACTTGAAGGCGTTTGATGTCTATCACATTTAATTTATACCTTTCTTAGTGTTCGATAATATTTACATTGTTGCTTTTTTGCTCTTCATCACAAAAATAGTTAAAGACTAACACAGTGTCAATACTGTCGTTGTGTATCACAATAAGTATCCATTCCCAAATAAATTCCTTGATATATCTGGTATTACTGGCACACAGGTTGTTTACATAGATATGTAATTAGTTCAGGTCAGCAGTGAAAAAATAAACATCATTCTCAATCATTTTTTCAACTTTCTATATAAGGTTGGCAGATCAGTAAATAAAGAAATATATTAAAGTCTGTCCTTTTGTGTATAGTCAGAAGAATAACCACTTTACCTGGGCATGTCTGTCTCTGACAAAATATTGTCTGTTGTTTGTCACCAGGACACGTCTTGCCATTTCTATCTGGTGGTGGATTAGTACAGAAACGATGTCTTCTCCTTGTTCCATTTCCACAGCTTACCGAGCAAGCACTCCATTCCATCCACTTACTCCACCCTCCATCAGCTATAACATTGTACAAAACATCATGTATACATAAGATATACATGTATTGTATAAAAGAAATGAATGACATCAGTCATGGTCTTGGTATATCATCACTCCTAGTGCATGTAAATGCAACACCAAATACTGAAAATCTGGAACGTTTTGCAAGCAGGAAAGTATAGTATTTCACGACACAGCTTTGATCTTTGGTAATCTCAACAGGGTGTCGCAAAACTTTCCACGCGTAGTTAAAGGGAATCAACACTCCAACTTTGAAAGTACTCAAAATATGGATCAGCATTTTCTTTGCAGATTCAAATTTTGCTTAATATGGACTAAAATCTCGACTAGTTCAGCTTGTGTTCAGCACTGTTCTCGTTGCTCTTCGTGAAGTGACATCTAGCAGAGGATCAAAGAATGAGAAGCTGTATATATAGTGACAAAGGATATAAAGATACAGCCAAACTGACATGTGTTTTTGTTGCTGATGAAGGTATAGGACTTGAAAGGGTGAAGCTATTGGTCAACGTCATAGTATGCACAGTAAAAAACTACATAGTATCCCTTTAGAGAATTCAGGTAAGGGAACAGTTGATAACAAACTTGGTCAATAAAAATGTGAAATTTGAGATATATTATCACTACACATCATGATGAATTCCCATTTATTTCCCAGAAATATAGATTACCAAGTGTATTTTCTTGCAAACTAAGTCAGAAATAACAATCAGCCGTTTCCCAAAAATGTTTACCAATTTAATGGTGATATGGTTAAAAAATAAATAATGATACAAGTTCAAAGAATTTTGAAGCAATGATTAGATGAATTGTATCTTAACTATTATTTTATAAGAAATTATATATTCCAATATTGCGTTATTTTAGTTGCACCTTTTACTTTATATAATCAAAATAATAATAACCAAAAGCGTAGCATTTAGTAACAACTGAGTGCTATTGCCGGATACATATAATTGGACAATTTGATGAGTCACCGTTCAGGCCTCCCATGTTCTTGCTACAGCAAATGAATGAAAGCAAAATGCAAACATCATAATTACAACTGACAAAAGTTACATCTATAATTTCAAATAGTTACCTTGTTTAAGTAATATATCTGTCAATATCCACGTAAAGGAGCAATATCCTATACATCTAACAAAAAAACGATAGAAAAAAACTTGTTCGACGTCACGTGTCCTTTTAACACTCTAATATTTTAAAATATGTAGTGTTTCTGGATATTATTACCCGTGTCCGCCTCACAACTGATGATATAAATTTGTCTTATTGGTCAGCGGAGAGCACACGTAACAATGAGCCATCATTCAACGTTTTATTTGCTAATCATTTGAACCAAGTACATGTATGTTGTTTTGCATAGACACTTCATGCCCAGTTATGGGTGTATTCTGTCTGCTTTAGTAAACCTACATATATAAAGACTTACCTTTGACAAATCCACGATGCAAGATTACAGTAATTAATCAATCGACGTATCATCGGATCAATGTTTTCTGCAACTCATCTGACAACTCTCTTGTTGCGCTGTCATGTGCATATTACATAACATGTAATACATTCACCACAATAGACCTGGATTAATCACCCAATCTGAGATTAAATAATAACCCCAGATAGGAGAAATGCCATATGCGAACCACTGATTGATATATGTCCTTGATACCCTCAGAAGCAGGGGTTAACGTTATTGAGTTACTTTGCAGAGTCTTTGTCAAGTAATCGGAGAAGTTCTAGCACTAATTATACTTGTGATAAAGTCATCAACTGAGTATCAAGTGAATGATGACAAATACAGAGGTGTAGGGTTTCTGCCATGAAACATAACAAGAAGGGGGTAGTAATTGTTGTATTATATGCAATTTCCATGAAAAAATAAGGCTCGTTGCTGTTTTGTGTAGATAAACTGAACTTCATTGTAGCAAAAAAAAATGTGTACATGTATTTGCCGTTTACCAAACTACATAGTTGTGCATACACATGTACTCACGCAGACGAATTTGCATGGTCAAAGGTTGTATAAAGCATAATTCAATCAAATGTGAGGATTCAAGGGGATTCCCCTCTCTGTCAAGGGGGTCCTCCCTCGCTAGTCCAAAGCCCATTTTGTTGGAACACTGATGCTAATTGGCATCTGGTGATTACACAGGATAATTGAAACTGTGCAGGCTAGAAAACGGAGAGTTTGAATGTTGTTTCCCTTCCAAGTCACTGTCATGGTCACACAATAATTTCATGGTGCAAAACTTTCCACATTCACAGTATATTCTCATCACGGATCACGTACCTATTTCCACCTCACAGAGTTCTCCTCTATAGCCTGGAGCACAGTCACATTGATATCCCCCTCCCGATAACAAGCATGTGGCATTATTTCTACAAATATTGTCTTTACACAAATCTGGGGGCACGTCACATTTTTCCCCAGTGTAACCTCCTCTGCAAACACATTTGAAACCTTTGCGGGTTGGAATGCAGATATTGTCTCCACACGGATCAGAAGCACAAACATCAGGCTCTGTTGAAAAAGAATATTTGTTCAGTTAATGCAAAACAGAGTTTCAGAGGTACAGAAGCTCACCTTTATTTGGAAAGATATAACTGAGAGGTTAGAATATGCTTTTGTTTGTTTGTTGTTTAACGCCGCACTCAGCAATATCCCAACTATATGATGGGTTACAATATGATAAACTGATGTTTTGCTTCTTTTTCATTCAATGTAATAAACTGTTAATTTACTTTTCAATATTAGTGATGGGAATTGTTGCAGGACCTATGATAGAATATATATAATGGGCATTCATTAATAGCACAATGGAGAAGTGTTAGCTGTTAAAAAAGAACAGAAACATACACCGTGTTGTGTTGAAAATACCCAATTTTGTCTGGGGTTATTTTTCATCTTTTTACATTATCTGAAATTATGGGGGTATAAAGATAATGTAGAAGCATATGAAAACAATTATTATTCACAGCAATGAAATGAGGCATAACTTGTATCCCATGTATACACAGAATATTACAAAAAAAACTATCTCCAAATTGTATTTCTAAATTCTATTCTTAAAGTATTTTGCTCTTGTCGAGTCATTTGGTTAAAGTAACAACTTACATGGATACTGTCTTGTATAATCTAACATGAACATCTATAATATTTTTTATCAATGCCATAGGCTGTCCATGTGACCCAGTGTCTCTTACTGTGTATTTTAGTTGTTGGAATTTTCGGAATTAATTAGGATACAAAATAATACTGAACCAAACTTGCTGTCATCAATGATATTCAAATATTTCTGACAAATATTTCTCATATATTGATATATTCTCATATATCTATAACAATCCAATATGCAAACAAAGGAATCCTTGTGTGAGAATGAGACAGGGTACTCCCATGGAAAATATTCTTTCAAATGTTGTTTTTTTTAAATATGTGTATAAAAAATGCCTGCTCAAAATGCAACTTTCTATTAAGGGCTGCTAAATTAAATACTGATTCATTTTAATATCAAGATTTAGTCAAAACAGTGATTTGGTTGCAATGTTTCAAAAATTAGTACAATTGGACTGTATCCCATCTGGATACAAGTATATATACTGATAGAAAAAATAAGGGAACAATGAAAAATATAGGTGTCTTCGTGTGCATTGTTTCCAACTCATATTTGGTAGACAAGGCTGGGAACCCATGATAGCGTTTCATTTTACTGTGTCTAAAACTAAGTGTTCCCGTATTCATTACCATCAGTATATATAGTAAACTGTGTGAAATGTCAACAACGACTGCCACATAACTTCACTTCATTTTGTTCAACTGTTTCCAAAAGATAAACTTTCACTTTTACCTCAAAGTGATGGCAAACATCCACCCATTGTTTCCAAATATTAACCTTTTAAGAAGGAATGACTTTCTGTCATCTGTGCTTAAAAGGCTCATTAAATAGTTCAATTGGACTATTCTAGCAGTTGAACGAAAGACAACTGTATATGTGGATACTCACTGAGACAGGTGCTTGGAACAACTTTATACACTCTGGCAAGAGCATGCATGTTGATCTGTTCAGAAGAAAAGATGGTGTCATTGCGACGAGAGTCGCAGGAAGTACTGAGACTCCTGATGACATCAGCCTTATCCAGAGGCCAGAAATTGAGGTCCCGAATGTACATGTCTAAAAAGGAAGCATCGATAAATAATATACTGTTCATTGTTGTCCATTATATTTGATATTTCATCCAACTTTTTCTATGAGGATAACAAAAAAAAAAAAACATAAGGCAATGTCTTTATTAAATATTGATCCACTCACCCTTATAATGAATAGTACCCCATCCCACCCCTAAAAAATTTCATTCTGTCAAATGCAAATTAAAGTATTCACCTATTGTTTTCTAGCAGATGAGTCAATATTCATCACGTGACTGGTCAATACTGATCATGTGATAAGTCCATATTCGAGGTCAGTGTCAGTCACTTGATTTCGTGGTCTACAGTGAAATGTATTGTTATACCTCTATTAAGAATCTTGCAGTTCCATTGGTTAATCAATACCACCTGACGAAACAATACATTTCAATTAAGACCCTAAAATGTAACTGACACTGGCCTCGAATATTGACTCGGCGGTCTGAATTCCACGGGTCCTTGTTTTCGCATATTGGCCTCATCAAGAGTAATTATTTGTATATTGTTTCGTCATGTGGATTAACCAATGGAATTGCAAGATTCTTAATAGAGGTATAACAATCTTACATGTTTACCTGGCTTAGAAGGCCAGAATTTCATTCTTATCATGACTGCAATGACACACTTTGTAACTACAGAGGTACATGTGCATCAATGTCAAAGGTTGAACAAAAACAACAAAACCATTTTAAATTTACTATAAATCTCTGCTAAAAGCAGATTCCATTGTTCGATTCCAACATGTTTATAAATCACTATCAAATTGTGATGGTACCAGTTGTTCGTGAAAACGTGCCCAAACCCGTGCCTCCCACCACAAACACATGCAGTCAATTGTTTATCTTAAAAAAAGCGGGAACATATGCTACAAGTCTAAACAGCGAATTGCATCTGACATCATTTTTGTCACTGATGTATCAAATTTGGAAATGTCATCCGCAAGCTTTTGAAAGCTGTTGTAACCTTGATCAAACAACTGAGCAAGAGTTGAATGACACTTTTAAAAGTCCTGGTAGAAAGGGCATGCTTGATTGTACCTCAAAAGCTGTAAAATGCACACACCTGAGGCTGGAACTGATGGAATATTGCTCTATATAAAGGGAAAACAATCTGATTCTTTACGCATTGATCCATCAGTGGAAGGGAATAGCCTATTTGACCTTTTATTAAATTTATATCAGATCATTGATATACCTGAAGCTTAGCTTAAACTTCTTGGCCGAATGGCCTTGGTCTGAGCAGATTCAAATGCATTAAGAAACAGATCAGCAAGAAGGTGTCCATGAGGATGCCTACTTTATGCTAAGTGTCTTACCCAAAATTTGATATACATGTAGATGTAATCGATGAGGAAGTCGAGCATTTCACATATTGTATTCTCAGTAAACTTCAGATGACATTTGCTTTTATGGCTGACAAAATTGCCCTGAACCTCTGAAGATAGATTTGTCACTATATCTGTGGTCACCTGGCGCAGTAACAAATGCACCATGGATCAAAGATGAAGTTTGTCATTTGGGATAGTGGTATACAAAGTTAAAAAATCAAATGTTTTGACAGAATTGAACTTGGTTCTTGTCTGAGACTGCACAATTTCAAGCAAATCCTTTGCGTTTTGGATAATTGACATGGTTTTAATTCAACTTGTCTCAAATACTTTCTGTGAACATAACGAAAACCCCTCCTTTATGTTATGGTTATGGTTAGTCATGCCAAATATCAATATTAAATTATAAATTTAACTGTTGTGGGACACACCACATTCTTAATGCACATTTTTCATTATGGTAGAATTTTAATAACATCATAGATGTAAACACAATGCATTTGCAATAAATACTCACACGCAAAAGAAACGCTAGTCGAGTTTGCAGTATACATAGAGAATCTCACCCTCGTGTCTTTTGAATTCAAATATATCAACACGAGTTGATAAAAGTGGAAAAATTCCGAGGCTTGCCGAGGATCTTTGCCGATTTTATCAACGAGTGTTGATATATTTGATATCAAAAGACACGAGGGTGAGATTTTATTTATCATCCAACATCATGCGTCCAACATTTTCAATTTGTAGACAGTAATTAGCAGTGTCTTCAGTGTACAAATTACTGCTAACAGCTTCAGTTGCAGAGCCATTAGTGACGTCATTTGATTGTGACGTCATGGTAACCAATGACGTCACAATGGTCTGCAAAGCATTGTGATGTAATTTCATTGCAGCGATATCTACAGTGTAGATATCGCTTGATCTTATCCAAGCGATATCTCCTGTGGGAGCCAGTTTTGGATGATAAATGTTATTTATTTTCAACAGTAAAGACAAGAAATACTAATAGGGAAAGATTGACAAAAAATTGACTGAAGACAGTTTAATGGATTAAAAGGCAGATGACATAATTGGTTTTTTTCAAATGTTAAGGGCTTACACAGTTTCGGGTCAATACCAAAAATATGTCAGTCAATACCTGGTGTGACCACCATTAGCATTGATCACTGCCTCACATCTCCTGTACATTGAGTGGATCAGACGATTTGTGAAGGCCCTAGGGACCCTCCTGCACACATCCAGAGCAGCTGTGCGTAGTTCATCGGCAGCTGTAGGGACTGGGCGCACAATGTGCAGACGTCTTTGAGCCTCATCCCACAAGTGTTCGATGGGGGTTCAGATCAGGGCTGAGGGCTGGACACGGTAGAACACGGATGTTTTGTTGTTGCAGAAAGGCCATGGTAGCTCTGGCAACATGGGGACGAGCGTTTTCCTGCTGGAAAATGTGTTGTTGATGTTGTGCAAAAAATAGAACAACGTGGGGTCTGATCACTTGGTCGATATACCGCTGAGCAGTGACGACGTGTCCCCGACCTTGACAAACATTCAGGAAGCACATGGGTCCAAGTCTCGCATTAAGTCCAATCCCTGCCCATATCATGACGCTAGGTCCACCCCATAGATCCCTTTCCACAACATTTCTGTCAGCGAAACTATCACATCGACGCCGCCAAATTCTGACTCTTCCGTCTGCATGGGAGACACAAAAGCGACTTTCATCAGAGAAGATGACACGCCTCCACTCACGATGACGCCAATTGTGTTGACCCTGTGCCCACTGAAGTCGTGCTTGTCGATGCCGTGGTTGGAGAACAGGATGACGTGCTGGTCGGCGACATCTGAGGTTGTTGGAATGGAGACGTCGGATCACAGTGTCCCGGCTAAGGTGTTCCTATGGTCTGTCGAGCACTTTCGCTTGCAGTTAGGAACGGATGTCGCTGGTGTTGACAGGTAATCTGCCGATCTTGTCGAGGTTTGGTGACCCTAGGACGACCGCTCCGAGGAAGGTCATCTGTGGTCTGTGTAGCATTGTATCGATGCAGGAGACGGTAAATTGTGGTTATGTTAACATTGAAATGACGGGCAACATCTTGGACAGACTCTCCAGCTTCCAAACGTCCGATAGCCTGGTTTCTCTGAATTTGAGTTAGGCGTGGCATTGTTGACCAAGGAGTGGTAGGCCCAAGAATCGGCCACAGTTTTATACCCTATACTGTTCGTGACAGTTCGTGCATTTCCGATTTCGCGAGAAATAGGTGCATGATACCCACATATTCATTAAAATGGTGCCTTTTGGCGATTCGTTTTTTATGTCGCGTTTTTACTCGGGGCTTCCAAAATGCAACCAAAAATATTGATAACACCATCAGGCTTCACTACATGCTAAAACTTATGGTTCCGTGTTTGTTACCTATTTGCTTAAAACCACTTGCGTTTCTTTTGCGTGTGAGTATATCTGTTAATATTACTGAATGTGATATCATTCAGTGATATATAATGATTAATTTAATAATAATCTTAACATTGTAATATTACAAAATAGCAACGTGAATCTACTTGTCTACTTTGTTTCCTGCTCTGTCATTTTGACTTTTTCAATTGCGACTGCTATTCTATAGTCTACCACCTATTCTACGAAAAAACAATTTTAAAGTTAATAGTAACAGCCTCATGTTTTCAGAGGAAACTTGGAAAAAGTAACACTTACGAAGGACAGGCAATGCTCACCATGACATAAGCTAACTTGAACTTAAGGTACTACAGATACAAAAGCTTACTTTTATTCAGTGATATCAAACAATAGTTATTATTGTTAATAATTCAAAGAATACTACCTCTGTTACATCAACGTCATAAATCATGTATTTTGGCTTTCATCCCACAATATAAATCTTATAAATATAATTATGTTTCTAGGTTTGTCAGCACCATACCCGTGCTCGTGGGTTTCACCGAAGTGGTAAACATCTTAGACCTGCATCACTTCGGGCTTTCCTCCCACATTAAGCTGACGCGCCATGATATAACTGGAATAATGTTAAAAGCGGCGTTAAACCCAACTCACTCACTCACTCACTCACTCACTATAAATATAAATTTTCAAGAGAAGTCCGCTTCACTGTCAACTATCCATAATTAGTTGTGCTACTCATACTATCTCCCCTTTGCAGAAATGCCGTATTCAAATACCTTATTTTAACAAAACTGCATCATCTCATTTTTTCAATACCTGATATCATAAACCATTGGACCCTATGTACAAGACAAATGGAAAGCGACTCACATGCATGATCCCTGATAGCTATTGACATAACTGATGTTGTTGGCGAAGGACACCTGGGTGCACTTTCATGATGGCTTTCTGCCACAGCCTTCCCTCTGACATACACAGTGATTCGCTGTCTGGACCATACCACAGCAACATGAGTCCAGGTGTCGTCCATGATGTCCTCCACAATTAGTTCATATCTGGAGAATGACAATAACATAGAACATAAGAAAAGTACTAGTCATATAAGGAGAGTGAAGTCAAGTCTTTGGGGGTTTTGAATTTCATTTACTGATCAACTAGTACCTTGGGCTCTGCAAGAGCCTATTTCATGCCATGTAATAATGGCTCATGATGTCACAATAATACCAAGAATGGTACTGTAAATGTTGGTGCTTTCCACTTTTGAATTTAAGGAAGGCAATTTATATCCTTCTTTTCGTTTTCAACTTTTATTTATGAAAATTGATTAATGATGAAAATCATACTAGTTGAATCTATGAACAATGGCAAAATCATCAGCATGTTCTGTTCCATCTGAAATTCAAACCACAAAACAATACATGTACTGGGATAAAGTGCAGAAGTCCCAAGATGTATGGATTAAACTAGCAGTACAGACGAAGGGCCTGAAAGATTTCAGAAGAAAAGTCTGACTATCTAACTATTTTGCTGATAATGAAGATCATGATGACTGTAAAAGAACCAAGGAACATTGTTCAGGGAGCTTGGTGAGCCACAAATTCAGAGTTACCACTAAAACTGGAAGAAAAAAATATTTAGTTGTCTTTGTTGAAGCTATGCTATGATTCGACAGAATGTATCTAAATGGCCATGGGTAAAACATTATCTTGATAAAAAATTATGGATAACTCTGATATTATCATAAAAGAAGGGACAAACAGGGCTTCATAAGGACAAAATGCTTTTCATGCTAGAAGATCACGAATCACGGCCCATCTTGTGAAAATAAAGAAAAACTGGTAAAACGTAAATGAAGGTGCTGTTGGATAAAGATGATCTTGAAATCAGTGAAGCTGAAAGTGACTATCTAAGACTCTAAAACTGAATACAGTGCTTTTTTGGTCTCCCCAAGATACATAAGAGCAGAACTATTCATGCAGATATTAAAGGAAGATGTCGTTGATCTATTAACAACCTTCTTGATCTTAAGGTCTGACCTATAGTTGGCGGATCGAGACAAACTCCTCCAAGAGAGCAGAAGGTAGGTGGTTCGATCCCCGGACATTTCATACCAAAGGACATTAAAAGATTATACTTGTACTTACCCTGCCTGGTGCCTGGCATTAAGGGGATAAAACAAGGACTAGTCGGCTCAGAGTAAATATACTGTGTCTGAGTGGGGTATTTATGTTAAACTGCGGCATGGTATATCTGTGGGCTAGCACTATAAAATCGGCATCAGTCCGACTTGTACAAGCAGCCAGATACACAAACACACGTCGCTGTATAAGTGCAACAATCTTGGACGCGAAGTTAACCCATTTTCACCTCACTTCAACCTCACCTGACCTATATTGCATTGGAAAATTATCAGCCGATGGATTAGTACTCCACTCAACCATGACCTATGGGATTATAAGCTGTATGACAAGTGGCGGGTCTGACAAATGGGGAGACACCATTAATGTCACATCTCCCATCTTTCTTCAGTTTTGTCAGTAAACTGTAATAGTACTTTGCTTTATTATGACATCTTCTTTTGCAATGCACAGAAAAGCTTTATGAGGAATTAAACAGTGTCATTCCAATCTCATTAAAATCAGATCTTCGTTCTCGCTACCGCTAAACAAAGTCCGAGGACATCCCATTACGGGTCACATCAAACCGATCTTTCCAAACTTTGACCGACCAATGGAATGACTGACAACAAGTCAACATTAGTCAATCAGAAAGCAGCTTTCTCGTGCTTTACGGCACTAGTTTCAAACTGCTGACTACGCTTTGAAACATATTTCGACAAATTCTCATTTAAACATTTGAAACTGAACAAAAGAACATTCTGGAATGGCGAAAAGATGTCCTAGATTGTGTGGATTTAGTCATAAAGCCCGTAACTGTTGTTCGGAAACCCTGTGTTAAAGTTTTCGAAGTTACATGATACAAAAACAAATTCCAACTGTCACTATTATAATCTAGTAAGCGACGCTCTGATAAGTCGGATGAAAGGTAATTCTGACATGACCCGTAATGCAATGTTCCCAGATCTTTGTTCAGTGGTAGCAAGAACTAAGATATGATTTTAATTAGTTTGGTGTCTTACACACTGGTATTTTCATGCTGAGTAGGCGAATGAGAAAAAGACCCCAAACAACTAAATTAGCTTTGGTTGAGGACACAAGTTGTTTGATGAAATTGGATACAAACCCTGGACACTAAAAGAATGTACCTGTTACTCAGGATCACTTTGATGTCTGAAGAGATGGACACTTCAATCCCAGTTTTTGTTATAGGACTGTAGATCTGGAATTTTATACCACCATAGTCTGGGTCTTCAACTTTAATCCACAGAGAAATTGTAAAGTCACAAATTGAGGATTGAACGCTGCCTTCTACTGGAATTGTAACAGGTCCTTGAAACAGGATATCATAGGCTGAAAATATATATTTCATACATAAGTGGATTAACAATTAAGACAATATTTAAATTAGAAGATTCATATCTCATAATGGTGTCAATATATAGGTGATATCTTCACTGCATTGACTTACCAATTTAAAAACCTAAAACCACAAGGCCATGTAGCTCCCTTAATGTTTTATCAACAGAAAAGTCATACAAGGTCAAAGATGGAAGGCAAAAGAAATAACAGATGTCTCTTTTAAAGAGCCATCCTCACAGCATGTTCATTAAATTATACATAACTATGCAGAAGGCCGAATTACATGTATGACGCATGTATGAGGAATTCTGTGAACAGATTTTACAGAAATAACTGCTAGGATCAGAAACATTATATTTCAGCATCATCAGAGGTTTAAGAGGAAATTTAAAAAAACATCACTTATAATGTTATATTCCGCATGCCACATACATGTACTTACTGCATAAGAAATTTCATAATGATACATGCCAAAAAGGCTGAGTAATGGGCAAACTAACATTTTTCATAAAGCTGAAATTATGTGAGCACTTATTCCAGACACCAAAGCTGTACCAACATTCACATTGTTAGGTAAAAGTATCTTGCCTCAAGCTAACATGATGAAGAGCCTTAAAGCATTTCTGCTCTAATCACTTTTCATTCCATTCTAATGATATCATTTCTGGTTGGGAAAAGACATACCCTATGCAGTACAATTCTAAACCCACTATAATCTTTGTTCTTCTATGTGACTCCCTGAGAGAAATGACACTGCAGCAATACTGAAGTGACAATCTACATGAAAAAGATGCTTCACACAGTGTTTTTTATGAAAACTAATTCAGAAACCAATCTAAAAGACAAAAACATTGCAATGACAGAGAATTGTACAAAGCAGTATGTCTCAAATAATACTACAATGATTGCATATGTTGATTCTGTTCAGTATGTCTCACCAATGCAGAGTGATGATGAAGAAGCACCTTCATCCAATGTTGTTTTGCCAGGGGGACATATGAAACACTCCACCATATTATGGCGATCTTGATAGGTACCACGTGGGCACTGAGTACAAGGAACTACACCATCCTTAGAGTACGTGCCAGCCACGCACATAACTGAAACGATAGTACAAGAAAGGTAAAACATTCATACACATAGTAGGTGGACCAAATGTTGCAATCTTTAATCCTGTTTCATCTCCTCGAGGCTAAGGGAGTTAACTGACTCTAAATTTCCAGTTTGTGGTTCGTGTACACATTTCTTTTGGACACACGTGTAATTGTTGACTTTGATAATCTGTTTGACCCCCCTTTCTAGGAGATAAACCCACGATTATGATGTTTTGTTAAATCCGTCATGATGATCCCATGATCCACTCATCACCAACATGTATATTTCACAATAAAACATTGTCCTGTCATGATGTCATTTCTGGAGATTTGAACATGTGCTCGCATGATGCCCTTTCTAAACTGGATGATGCTAATTTTGATAGGGAAGAGTCTAGTGAATTGTTCCCCATAGATGAAGTTCTGCAGATAATTGACGTGTGAAAATTGTGATAATACCAAACTAACCTCCCCCCCTCATACAATTGACTTGTCCCACATTACCGAGGTTGGTTTGTATTCAGGAAGTCATCCTGATGGGTAAATGTTTTTTAAGCCTCCACATTTTATTCACATCATTGAAAACAATTTACAAAATGTTGATATCTCATGCAAGAAATTAACGACAAGTGGAAGTTGTTATTTTCTTAAATCAAAAAATATTTTGGGAATCCGAACATCTGTGCGTGTTTTATTTATCACACCTACCTTTGCAAGATGATTTGTCTTGATTAGCAAGAGTTAAGGTGGTCTGTCCTTCTGGACACATTGAACATGTGACTTGACCCTGAAGTTCTTGATATTGTCCATAGGTGCATGCCATGCACTCGTCTCTGGTAGAATTGTAGTAGGACCCCTTTGGACAAGGTACTGAATGAGAGAGTGGTTGTATTAATCTAAATGATAATGACCCACCACTGGTTAGACTCAGTCATCAGAAAAGAAAGCCATATACTGTAAATCTTGAAATTAACACACGCATTTATGTCTCTAATATGACTATTGATATTGAGTCGCATTTTGGGCTAGGGATCAGCAGTTGTATTAATTTGGAGACGCATTAGGTCCAAGATTTACAGTATATATTACAAACAGGAGACCACATTTTTTCCAGTTGTATCACAGGTCCCGGTTCGCTCACCAGCTTAAACTGCACGGTCGTCAATCACCCAAGCCCCTGGGACTGACAAATATGAACCTGGAAATGGAGATGGCGGACTTATATCCACAAATTACAATTGCTGAGAGTCCGCCCAACTCTCAAGAGAACCAGCCCAGTTCTCGAAAGGGTCGGCCCAATCAAAATGAAGGGAATCCCTTCACTCTGGTCACCAGAAAAAAACTGCCCCAAAAAACAGCCAACATGACTTATAGTCAAGCCGCACTAAATGTCCCTGGACGTTTTCAGGACAGATTCACCTTCTCAAGAACTAAAAAAGAAAGTCCAGGCCAAACGCAGTCAACAATATTCTATACGAATATACAAAACTGTCGGACCACGGGCAACAGGTGGAGCTGTGTTGGATCCCCTCTCACATAGATATTCATGGAAATGAAAAAGCAGACTCACTGGCGAAGCTAGCGCTAGACAAAGCGGATATACAACCTATTCCCTTTAATAAACTAGGGATAAAAAGCAAAATCAAAGCCACTATAGCAGAAAGATGGCAAGTCCAATGGGACTCAAGTAAGATCGGCAGATGGCTATACAAAATTCAACCCAAGATACGACAAAAGCCAAAAGAAAAATTGAAATTGTCATCTCATGCCTCAAACTCGGTCACAAAAAGCACTAAGACAAGGTTTGTTCATCTTGTAATCAGGCTGAATCCATTGCTCACGTGTTACTAGAATGTCAAGATCATGCCCCTGCAGGCTCGGTTAAAACAAGAATTGCAGTTAGATCCGCTATCTGTCATAGATCTCCTAAAGCCAAGAGATGCAATAGCGAAGGCCAAACTAACTCTATTTCAGAGAGATGGTAGCTACTCATACATATATAAACAGAGCACCAAGGATAAAAATGAAATTATATTAATATAAGAAAATATAAATCATATCAATGCAAAAACCGAAATTATGCGAATACCAAACTCACAAAATATATGTGTAGCCAACTAACACCCGTGAGTCCCAAAGAGGGACAGGTCAGCCGAAATTGCTTCGGCAGAAGGCGACCTCTTAAACACTTGCAACAACAATAACACATATTTTTACTATCTCCAGTGATGACCAATCATGACACATTGAACAAATCTGAAACTGTGCCATTTGGAACATTGATGGATTTAACTCTAACTTGAAAAGTAGCAAGGATGTGACTAAACTTCATTTTTGTTTTCAAAACTTTATGTCATTGCATAAGACCTTTTAGGTATGAAAATCTAAAAATTGATTTGGAAAAATACTGAGTAAGAGTGTTGGGCATTGTTTCCGACAATCAAATTCACTCTGCTATGGCAATGTATCTCACCTTGATACGAAACTAACCTTTAAAATGTCAACAAATAGAGCCAAAATGCAAAACAAGGTCCAAATTTAAAATATTGCAAAAATAGAATGTGTTGAGCCTCACTCACAAGAAGGATGACTGACAATGTGCCATGACATGAGCTCACTTGAACCTGACTTAATTGTCCTTATGGCCCCAATAGATGCCTGTCAAGGTCCAGTAATGCAAATCTGATAGAATCAAAAGTTTTCTCAGTCATGACAAGAACCTAGTTGGGAAAGGCAAGATCAAACTCTCATCATGTGGGTGGTCAGTTATGCTCAGTTAGTTCAAATTCATGTAGTTTTGGCCAGAGCTGTCAATACCCATTGACTAGTGATAGGACAATGTTAGGAGCTAGTGTGATGTTACCAGATACCTTTAGTGGTAACAGAGTGGAGGAAATGTGAAAAGTGAAAAGAAGGAGTTGAGGTTCAAGTTAAGGCATCAGAAATTTGAAAGCCTGGAAGATGCTTCCTGTAGGGAGTGGAAGGCCATTGAACTAGTCAATGGAAAAGAAAGGAAGTTGATATATGGGTCTGTTGGTCACCAAGTCATAGTGCTCAGGGGCCAGATGGATAGGCAGGCAAGGAGAAGAAAGCATCTTTACATTCCGAGATCAACGACCTTAAAACCAAGTTGTCAGAACTCAGGACTTTGCAGGTTACGCCTGCACAATCAGAAAGAACTAATCAGTAGAGGTGCGAATATTGTAAACAAAGTGGACAGGAAGCAAACAAAAGAAGGAGGGTTGCTGGGTTTGTGGATGAATGGGACATATTTCTCTGGTATGTAAACAGAAATGTCGGTCTCAATCACAGTAAACAGGATATTCCCAGATGTTTAGGAGCTTAAAATAGGCTAAGTTTTCAACTCAGGATCATGGATCATACAACAACAGGCTGTGTCTCAAAATGCTGTGGATTCCAGGGGTCAGGGAAGTTTATAAATACAGAGTTAGTTATCCCAGATACGTCAGAAACATGTGGATTGTCTGTTGGGGAGCAGCATGATCCATGTCTATCCATCTGCTCCCAAATGTTCGGCTAACTGTTGAGCCAACCTCGCCTACCCTCCACCCAAGCCTTAATACTATGCAGTGGCTGCTTTGTATTTGTCATGCAAATAACAATCTCCAATGCACTAAACTGATGATTAAGTGATCTATTAAGCGGTCAACTTATATGACACATGGCTCTCTGCTTTCGCAACTACCCTCCATTGACGACAACTTTTATAGTCTAGTCAGGTTGTCAATGAATAGAATCAGTGTCTCTATGGCAAAGTTCCAGGACTTTGAATCAGTAAATCATCTGACCATAAAAGATCTTACTTTTCTGTTTGATCCTGGAGAGCCCACTGAACATGAAAGAAATCCTGCTCTTGAAACTCAAATGTTACCACTGGTTTTCGTACTGATATCTGGAGCAGATCTAGTATATTGGGTTTTACGAAAGTAACGACAGATTAGACGACGTTAACACTGTATGTAACGTCAAAGCATATGGTGTCAATGGAAGTGGAAGGAAATCACTTATAGAAATGGAAGTGACATCACAACCGGAAGTGATGTCATTGACCGGAAGTGACATCATGAAGATGCCAAACATCACGGTATTTACAGTGAAAGTATCAAGGGATATATATCCATAAATATAGACATGGGTTGCCAAAACGAAAGCTGCCTAAACTAAGTAAAATACTCATATATCCCAGCTTATAGGTTTTCGAACCCTAAGAAGTATTTCTGATTACTTGTCCTATAATAATCCCAAAACTCCCAATAAATTAAGTCTTACCTTTGAGAATATATATTTCTGTTAAGATTTGGACCGTCAAATGACCATGTCTTGTCAATTTTAAAATGATAATGCCTTGCTGAGCTTTAATAAAATGATTGTCAATGTGATTGACAACTATAGTGAGCTCCTATTGAAATGTGTAAATATTGGTTCATTATTGTATATGTATGACAGGGGCAGTAATGAAGCCACAATATTGTAACAACCTCCAGCTGTTAATGAGAAAAGGTGGTATATGGAAGGGTGCCCATATTACCCAGAAATAAAAACTACGTTCTGTGACCCGATTGGTGTGGAGGGAGCATGGGCTGCACAGCGGCAGTATATTGTATATCTCACTACAAATAAACAATGTGAGAACTTGACCATGGTGTTTTCCTTTGCTTTGAACATATATAGACCCAGATTCAGACGGCTCTTATGTTTAAATATATGACCCTACGGAACCAGCGTTACACAATTATATGTCAGACATATTCCCCAGGGATATGTAGGAAGCAGAGCAGGTATGATGTCTCTAATATCTGTAAAAAGCGCATTGTTTTCCAACTGTGGTAGCAGCAATGGCAGTCAAATATGAGCTTACTCATTTTGAAGACTTCTGTGAGTGTGTAGGAGGGTTGATTAACAATTGCTACATGTACCATGATCTAACACATTTTGTAAGTACCGATACTCACCACATGAATCTTTGTAGAAGAACCCAATTTTATGTCCTGGTTTACAAACAGGAATTACATCTCTCACTCGAACTTTTGAGGCCTTGATAAGCCGCCCACCAGCATGAAAACTTGATTTTGCTATTCTTACTGCAATGGACTTCAATTTTGAAGAATAGAGTCTCTTGTTTTCAGAAAAAGATTTTGACAACACTTGAGATCGGAGTACAATTTTAAAAGAAATGTAATTAGATGTTTTTCTCTGACTACGACTTCTACCACTGCGTGTTGCACGTTTTCGGCGAAAGTCCAACAAGTCATCATCAACTTCATCCCCACATTTGATCTTGACATTGTCAATATGACAATATTTCTCTAAGCAAGCATTTATTGTTTTCATAGCATTCAGGAAGTTGTTCCGGATTTCCTCCTTCATAACATCACATCTTCCAGTGAAGTAGTATATTTCATCCATACGATACCCTTCACTTTCTTCACGGTCTGAAATGTAACAATTTTGCATATGATTAAGTACATAGCAAATAAATGACATTTAAATTATATTCAGCTTATAATTTTAAAACACACTAGGCTGCTGTTTTGTGGACTTTAGGGCCAAGGTAAATCCTGCCATTTCTATGCATGAACCTGATGAGTGAAATCCATGCAGGAAAACTGAAGCTAATCAGATATAGAGGCATGTGCTAGAGTGCAACAGAGTGGGTGTTTGTTGTATTCAAGAAATAAACGAGTGGGAGTTGTTTATCTCCCTGCAGTGTCTTATTGCACGATAAACAACGACAACAAGTCATTTATTTCTTATATGAGATATCATCATTTTGTACAGACTCTTTTAAGGTTGTCAATAAATTGTACAAGCTTTAAAACATTTTTCCGTTTTTTAAATAATGATGACACCATTGATATATTTCAATTTCGGCAATGTTGGACAACTCCATTTAATTTACAAAGGAGGTAGGTTCGGTATTCTCACAATTTTCACATCAATTATCTACACCTTTTATCACTTTTGGGTGCGATCGTTTGGTCATATCGTTCATCTACACTGCCCAGCTACATCTACAGAGAACAACTCACCAGACACTCCCCTCTAAAAAATAATGTCGTCCAATTTACAACGTCATCAAGTTGCGAGCACATGTTCAATCCCCCAGCAATGATGTCATGATCGAGAAATGTTTTATCGTGAAATATAAGCTTCGTTCTTTAACTGTCTTTGCGATTTATTGCGTAGCTATCTTATATACAACAGTAATGTGGCAAATTCAATGTTCAAAGTAAAAGAATATATAAGCCTATTGTATCTAAATAGATCAATTATTTTATCCATTAACATCAAATCTTATTTATTTATTTGATCTTGATTATAGAGAAGATTACGTCTATAAGGTTTGGTCCATTACCACAACAGATAAATCTTGTATGTGTTGACTAGCCATTTCCACTCCAGATGCGATGGCATTCAAAGGACAGACAGTTTTGCAACATAACAAATAATAGTTCAAACAAGATATATGTTAGCATGTTATCTAATTTTTTTGTATGATAACATCACAAGAGTTACTTAATTAAGTGGAAAATAGCAAGACAAAATTCAGATTTTTGGGATGTTTACGATAACATAATGGGATACAAATATTTCTCTGTTCTTTAAAAAACAGGCATGTAATGAAAATCATCACCGATGTTTCTTGTATCCCATAAAGGACGTAGTTTATTTGTTAATGGTATTTTGTTCCATCTGCCTTTTTCATTTGAAAGTTGATGATTTGAAGTTAAAAAAATGAGATATTGGTATTCTATATGTAATCCAAAAATGTAGGATATGGTTTAAAATTTAAATTTGAATAGCTTATATGAAGTACATTTTGAAGAATTTAATATTTTGTTTCTCCATACTTGTTGATAATGATCATGTTATCTTGTGGAAATAACATTATTTGGCGAGACGGTAGTAAAACCATCAACAGCTGGGGTATGTGACAAATGGGGTATGACCACATATAATTATGTTGAGTTCCACTTCTGACAAGAGACAAACACACGAACAACCCCTCTAAACGAAAACAAAACTCTTCCCACTCAAAATATCCTCTCTTCAGTGCGTTCCAATAATCTTCACAGCAATTATCAATAAATATTTTATCAAAAATGATAATCTCACAGTCAAATTTTAGACCATCCCAAAACAGTCTGCCCTCAGCCAATGCTTAATATCAACAATCTTACATTTTGGTTCGGGATTTAAATTCTCAGACCCTTAAATGACCTATTGAATGAAGATTTTACTGACGCTTTAGGCAATATTCGATTTTCATCATGACGTATTAGTGCAAAATAAAAACAGTTTATATTGTATTTACTCGCATGAAGCTGGGTATAAGACAGTTATACCCACACAGGTTCTACTAAGAAAACTGTAGGAATATTGACTGATACACCCCAGAAAACGTGGTTATAACTTTACGAGGACCTTCTGTCCTGAATGAATGAATGCTTGGATGAATACATACATCACGTATATCAGAAACAAGGCTATCTATGTACTTTGTTGATTTTTATAGTAATCAAGTAATCCTTTTTCCCGAACTGACAAACTATCAATATGATATCAAATAAGATCCACTATTCCATGACATACGAGTATGTGGCATAAAAAAGAGTATATATGTGTGATATATGTTGCTGTTACTTACTGGTTTTTACACGGTGGATATCTCGGCTCTAGAATTGCTTGACAACCGAGATGGAGATGCTGGTAATTGACCACACTTTTGACAAATGAACAAACGGAGCCCATGAAACTATACACCTGATACCACAGTATTTGGAAATGTATGACCTTGTGTCACTTGACTACATGGCACCTAACACACTAATAGAAACTAAGGAAGAGTAACTAACACTTACATGCACAGTTGGGTACAATACTATTACTCCATATGCCTGTATCAAGTGTACACAGATACAGCTTCTGTAGGGAGACAGAGTCCGGAATGTCATATTCGTCATTACACTGTAGCTGACATTGGCTACCCCGTGTCCAAGTGTCACAGGCCATGGCCCCATTGTTTGGAGCAGGTAGATCTGGGCAGCTGTGAACTGAAAAAATAAACAGGTTGTAATGCAGGAGCAATACTAGAAAATGTTTTTTAGCCCATGCAGTCCAAGGAAATAAATACATCTACCTGTGTCAATATGGATTTGATAAAAAACAATACTCTTACTATTTCCAAAAAAATAAGGGTGAATGCAGTTACTTTTATTTGGAACATGTTGTTAAAATATGGAACGGTAAACCACGTTTATAACGAACACGCTTATAACAAATTTGCTGATATAACTGAATGTTTTTTGTCACAGACATTTGCTGTGTATATGTTGTATATATGCTTATAACGAACAACGGTTATAAGGAATAAAATTAGTGGTCTCTGAGTTTTTATAACCGTAGTTTACTGTATATAATTTGATTTTTACACCAATCATGCAAGATATTACGTTACCCAATTGATTTTCATTTATTCTTAGTATTTGAGTCATATCTCAGTTGGCCGAAAGACCAGCTCAGTAATTGTAAATATATCTTCTGTGTTCGTCTGTGTGCTTCCTACAATTGTTGTCTAGTCTACTGTATAACATGTTCCCGAGGCAAGGGAATTAATTGACTACATAGGCCAGTTTCCACCCTTGCCGAACTAGGCTGGAATTTTTTGGCTCGATCGTAGCGTCACCAGTGGATATTACTATGTCCCTTCTATGTGCCTCCTACTGATCAATCAGATTCCACCTCTCACTTGCATATCCTTCAAACAAAATAGCAGCTCCCAGTCAAGACTATCTTATCGATAATCAAAATCTATATTGTGATAAAATTGGTCTTATTCCCGAAGTGCATCAAATCACGTGAGCACCTTGTTTAAAAACATGAAAAGATTTGTAAAATATCTGTTTACGCAGGGTTGGCAGTACACATCCTTTGCACATTCTGCAATCGACAATCTACATGATAGTTTACAAACCAGCTATTGATTTCTCGATTGGACGATGCATAGACTCGTTAGTCCAGCCAAAATATAACCCTTTATAATCTGTTAACTCCCTTGCCTCAGGAAGATGACTGAATCATTTCTGCTTAGAAAACCAAGAGTTTCCTACTTTCAAAACACAAACAATGAAACCTCGAAAACACGTAACAAACATAGCAATTACTGATTATGACCTCTGACATTGTCGATAGCAGATTATAGCATTACAAACATTCTATACAAAATGGTCTGCAAAACGACATACCATTGTCATATAGTTCAGTTGAAACACTGGCAGTGTGTCTGCATGGTATCACTTTTACTGGGAAGGGTATTTAATCAAAACTAAACTGAGGGTCAAAAGAAAGTATACTGAGTTTTTTTATGCTATTGAAACCTGAAAGAACTGTTGTTAAATATTATCATGTCTATATAACAATCACTCATTCCTGTAACAGTTTGTAAAAAGAAATCTGTGGCTGTGTAAATTTGTGTAAAAATAAATTCGTTTAATGAAAACTGGGGTAAGAGATGAATTTGCCAGTATATGACCCAAAAAATGTTTGAAAAATTATAAATTTAAAGTTTATTGAGTTCAAGTATAAGATGTCCAATATACCCATCAGCAGTTGCGTAATACAAATTACGTTTTAAAAGTTTAAAAATATATATATATTTTAACCACGTGGGTTTCTGACGCACATTTTCATAATATCTTGTAGAATATTACATTTCCTATCTGATGGTGTAAATGTAACTTCATCATTAAACCATTTTGAGAAAAGACACAAAGTGATGTCTTACATCAAACTGTCTCCACTTTCTATCGTACGCTGATAAAAGTACTGTAGGTTGTTTTGGGTTTTTTATTTTACAGCTTTATGGAAACTGTGTGTAAACAAAATACTGCCCAACATCCGAATGACATAAACACATATCAAATGGTTTTGTATGCTTATATATAACGTTATACATTCTAGGATGCTTCGCTGAAAGATTGAAGGCGCCGACTGGTGTTCCCTTGCGTTGGTGCCCTAGGAATTATGTAAGTCTCTCTGTACAGAGGAATGAGCAATCCTTGAAAAGTTTCATAACCTGCTACTCAGCGTACGGCATTTACCAATATAACACAGTTAAAACAAAACGTCCGCCTTTGCTCTTCCAACGCCATGTTCGTCCCATGGCAACACAATATCTCCCCCAAGGCCGTTGATTCACGTCACTGACGGTATCATGCAGCGCAACCAGCTCCGTAAGCCTTCTATTTCAATGGCTTGCAGTTGCTACAGTCTGCGAACATTAGTGGGGGCAGCCAAGCTGCAACTTGTACAACAGATATACCTCAACTCACAATATCCAGCCACACCAAACTTCGGCTAAGTTGACATGTGTTAGCCCAGACCCAAAATGCACTTGTGGAAAGTTTCGAGTTTGAAGCAAATTAATATACAAAAATAAAACTCCTACATATTGCTGCATGGGTTTATGGAAAATCACACACTGAACAGCTAATGAAATTAGATGTATTTAAATAATAAACAACACGTTTTAGTGTTTCTGTATTATGTTTAAAATGTAAATATGTCTTTTAACATACGGGTACAGGCAATCAAGTGGAACAGCCCTTCAATAACCCCTATTTGGATTTTTAAATAATACGTCACAGGTCATTATATATTTGATTTTGGAACCAAGCTCCAATAAAACATAAGGTTAATCTTAAATTCAGCATCTTAGAAAGCCAATTAAACGGTATTTGAAGGTTTTTTTAAATTTACATTTTAAATGTGCATTTTGCTGAGCACAGCATTCATTGTAACATCTAATTTATTTCATTTGATGTATTCTTGACACTTTCTTTTGTCATTAGATTCTGACATGTATCAGGAATTCAAGGATGTATGAATTGCAGCTGACATTGAAATATACATGATGTAAAAGGTAAATTGTATTCTATTCAATTTTAAATATCATCATGCCTCGCGCAAACCAAAGAGTCCAAAGAGTGAATACACTTTTATGGCAAATGCATCTTACCTTTGCAATAAGAGTTATTGCTACTTGGGTTATCGTATGTGCCATACACCCAATGACCACTCATTTCGTTTGTCTCCTTCTTGCAAGTGATGTATTTCTCTCCTACCAATTTTATAGCCATGTCACATTCCAGTTTGCATGAGGCCCCCTCACGAAAGTTGAGGCAGCCTGGCGTATCCATGTACTCATCATCAAACCTTGGAGGATCACACGTGACAGCTATAAATGAAAGATTAATCAAACAGTATCCACATCAACGAACCTGCAGATTTGACACTACTGATATTTAGAAAAAAATGTTTTCTAGCATGTTAATTCAGCGTCACGTCATGCCAAATGAAATCGATTCAAATGATACATTTCACAGCAGTGGTTTCTAGTTGTCAAATTTCTTTCCTAATGGTCCTATATATAACAAGAAGACAATTAGAAGATAATTCTAACTGGAAGGGTGTTTGAACTGTAGGACCTTCCACACCTTTTCCCCGAATGCCTGGTAACTTTCCCACTAGAAACATCGTGAACCATTTTGACTTTACAAAATCACAGTCCATTTGGCTCTAAATGAGAACGATGAATTGCAAAATAACTCAAAATCGGGACTAGTGTATTAAATGTCAATACGGTAAGAAACAGTCCACCTATAGTTGTGACCATCAGCGGTGACACAAGCAGTTCCGATGACGGGGTCTGTGATTGTGTCAGATTGAGATGACAAGTATCAGGAGATGACACCTCTTATGCTGTCATGCCCTGTACTTTTGTGTAGCACATGCAGTGCGTGTTTGCGCTGTTCCTCCTACCGTTGTACCCCTTCCATTCAAGATGTCAACTTGTACACGTACAAATATGATAGTTTCCTAAACAACTATTTCATGTGATGGGAATAAAAATAAAAATTTGCAGATATTGTTTGGTACAGTATATTAGTTACTGTGTGGGGGCACGGATGGCCCAGTCGTCTAAGGCGCCGCAATTCGCTGTGCAGAGTTGAGTCCCTTGGGCACGCCAGAAATCTATGATTGTGGGTTCGAATCCCGGTTCGCCCTGATTATGTTTGTAGGTTTGTCAGCACCATACCCGTGCTCGTGGGTTTCACCAACAAGGTAAACGTCTAAGGCCTGCATCACTTTGGGCTTTCCTCCCACATTAAGCTGCCACGCTGTGAAAAACTGGAATACTGTTTAAAGCGGCGTTAAACCCAACTCACTCACTCACTCACTCTGTTCTGTGTACCGTATTGACATTTAATAGACTATTCCCGATTTTGAGTTATTTGGCAATTCATCATTCTCATTTGGAGCCAAACGGACTGTAACCATTCTATGACTTATGTTTTTCTCAATGTATTGACTCGTCAAAAATGAAAAAGATGAAAACTATATGCCATATCTTGAATGGACTATGTAAGATGTGACGAATCGTCACATGGCACTGGCTTATGGCAAAGGTACTATTCTGGCTGCATGGAACTCTGGGTAGGAGAGTATCTTTCCAAAATGCCGCCATTTTGTGCAGGTGTGATGTCGACCATTTGTGTTGAGATGGTTTCAAGGAAGAGATTTGTTTGTTTGTTGTTTAACGCCGCACTCGGAAATATTCCAGCTATATATCTGTAGATAATCAAGTTTGACCAGACAATCCAGTGATTGATATTATATAAGCATCGATCCACGCAATTGGGATACGATATCATGATCAATGAAGTCATAAAGCCTGACCACCAAATCCCATAAGTTGCCTCTTACGACAAGCAAGGGTTCATGAAAACCCATTCTAACTCAGATCTTAACAGGTCTCCATGAAAGAGAAATGGTACAGTGTCTTGATGCATTTTGACTCAGATGATGCTGAGAAGAAAAAGGAGAAAAATATTGATTTTGCTGCATGTTACTGTAAAAGTCCTGTATTCAAGTCGGGTCAGATTTGATAAACAGGTATTTGAGTCAATTCTATTCTACAAATCAGAGCCCTATAATGGACCATTGAACATGATCTTAATTTAAACAGACATCAGGTCATACTTTAAACAGCACACCTGGAATTGTTGTTGCATGTAAATCTTGTTCTTGTGGTTAATGAGTGAGTGAGTAATGTTTTACACCGCTTTTAGCAAATTGAATATTCCAGCAATATCACGGTGGGAGCCACCAGAAATGGTACCCATTGTACCCATGTGAAGAATCAAACATGGGTCTTCTACGCTTTAACCACTAGGCTACCTCACCGCCCCTCTTGTGGTTAATGACAAGTATTGTTTGCCGACAGTTACTTACACTGTACTTTGACGAGGAAGAAACATGGCTCGGCTTTGTTGTTAGATGAGTCTGTTGCTGTGAAACTAACTATGTGTGTTCCCACAGAAAACGATCCACCATTTTTGATTGCAGATGAACTTCTTAAAGGGATAGTTTCCTTCGAGTTGTCAGACACAGTGATGTCTGGCCAAATAACATGAGTAGTTGGAGCATTTGGGTCAGCCGTCTTCATGATTGTTGTCGCAGGACAATTGTTGATTTGTGGTGGCTGGGTATCTGCATGAAAACAATTGTATCAGTTTGCAAGAAAACACATTAATCTAAGTTGGTACATGTTATCTTTAAGGCAGAATATCTTGAAGTTATCATGTTTACCATGATCACAAGGGATATCATTTATGAAAGCATCATGGAAACTGAAGTAACACTTTTCAACTGGCAAATGTGACATAATGATGAAAGATTATACATTTAGTCATTCACAAACACTTGCTAAACTGGAATTCTCTCTGACAGTTTGTATACACAACGATATAGTTCTCAATAGGCGCAAAATGAATGACACACAAGTGGTCCGAGTCTTCCAGATCAGAGGGTAACTAACTAACCAAGGTAGAACAAAATAGAGTTTTGTTCAATGTATGCACATGACCATGATGGAAATAAGCACTGAAGAAATATATTCAGCAATGATCAACATATATAGGACTTCCCAAGGCTGAGCATGTTACTTTGAAGGTGTGAACAGTCTTTTCCGTCTTCTTCTGGGCCGATATTTAAATCAACTTACATTTTTTGTATGCCATTGGTGTTGGCAAGGTGACCAATTCTTGAAGGTAAGAACAAGTCTTTTCACTCTTCTTCTTGACTGATATTAAAACCAAGATCAAAAGGTGCCGACTTACATCATGATGGGCCGAGATCATGTCGCTGTTGCCCCCCCCCCCCCCCCCCCCGACCTAAAGTATCCTTGGTAACTTCGTTTTGTCATTAGTGTTAATCATGATGGCGCGTCCGTATCAATTATCGATAGTTTCTTAGCAGGGAACTAGAATATCCCAATGAATTATATCGGTCTCTAGCTACTGGAATGATAAATCCTTGGAACGTTTCATATCCACAGTCAAACAAAATGAACCCTGTTGCTCTTCTCCACCTTCTTCCTTCCACAGTGATACCATTTAACATGTCTACAGTTGCCACAGGCCAAGAGTCATGGCTCAAGCATATCATAAACTGATAACAAACAGTCAGTGTAGTTTCTTGATGAATTTAATGTAAATCTTAAGCTTAAAACTTGAAGGTGGCAAGACAAGACAAGACAAGAAGTTTATTGTATGAAAGGCCTCCGGCCTATATACAAATACACACAATGTATACATACTTTCAACATATATGTGCGTTCTAGGAGACATTTGTATTTACAAGTTCTTGCCGAATATTGAGTGCTTGATGGAGAAATTGAGCTAGACAGTAGATTACACCAGAAGATTGATTAGACATAAGTGATATAACGTTTTCGGATATCTTGGTAAAACTCACAGATAAAAGTACATGAAATTCGTCCTCAACACCCATATCACACAATGGACACAAACGCATAGATTTTAACGTATTTTGTCTTCTTCCGGTATTTACTCTAATATCACTCAGTCCCATACGAAAACGCGTGAATGTTGAACGAAGATTTAAATTACAAAAAACACTTAAATATTTTTCAGGCTCCAGTAAGGAGTTGAACGATCTATACACATCATATCTGCTACTTGCATTTAAAGTAGACATCCATGTTTGATAAAAGGTATTTACAATTCTTTCTTTGAACATATTTACAAACATACAGGTGTTACCAACTCCTTGATAAATCCAAGCATAGCCAAAGCCATTTGAGAACAAAAGAACCCGAATAATTGATGCCCAAGTTGTGTAACCCAGATTATCATAGTTGTATAACATATTGTAAGCTTTCCTTGGCAGTCGCTGTTTGTGCATAGTAAGTATTTTTAGCCAATATCTGATACAACGAATATATGAATTAACGTACAGAGTACATCTACCGCACTCTCCGTAAACAATATTATTAGGGGAGTTGACTCCAGTCATTAAACATTTTTTACAAGCAAGAAGATGTACTTTTTCGATTGTATTAAAATGTTTAAAACCCCATAATTCAGAGCCATACAAAAGTATTGGTTGTATCTGTGTGTCAAACAATTTAAAGAATATACTTGGTGATAGAGGCTGGAGTTTAGATAAAGTTGACAATAACATGACCATGGCTTTTTTACCCCTGACAGATAAATCCTTAACAAGATTAGCCATACTTAAACTTGCTAACAACTTTAACTCTCGAACCCTTATATAACCATTTTTCGACTGCAGCTAATGGGTCACCTCTTCTAAAAACGACTATGTTTTTCTTTTCTAAGTTTACAGTGAACTTCCAATCATCAGTGTAATCAGTCAAAATGTTTAATTGGTTCTGAAGACCCGAGACTGAGTGTGATATAAGAATAACATCATCAGCAAACAATAATAAGAACAATTCTAAAATATCCGGACATAATTGGACCCCGTGTTTGCCACTGTTCAATATTTCTATACACAATTCGTTAATAAAGAATGAAAATAGAATGAGACTTAATACGCATCCTTGTTTCAAGCCAAGCGGACAATCAAAAAAGTCAGTGAAATCACCTTTACAACGCACACACGCCCTGACATTAGAGTACATACTTTTAAGAATCAGGTACATTTTGCCCCGTAATCCAGCTCTCCTAAGGCACACCCACAGTTTATGACGATTTACAGAATCAAAAGCCTTCCGGAAATCAACAAAAGCTACATACAGTTTTCTCCCACGTTTCATCAAATATTTTTCTATAATTGCATTTAATGTAAAAATATGATCTGTAGTCGAATAGTGTTTTCTAAACCCGGCCTGATATTCTGGAATTCTATCCCTCATATTTGCCCATAACGTTAGTCTGTTGTTTAATATACTCGAAAATACTTTCCCCAAAATACTGTTTAATGTTATACCTCTATAAGTATCTGCATTGCTAGCATCTCCTTTCTTATGAATAGGTATAACAATGCCCTTCGACCACGAACTTGGAAATACGCCTGAACGAAAAATCATATTAAACAATTCTGTAAGATAGGGCAAAATTATCTCCCTTGATGATTGCAGCATTTCAGCAAGAATATTATCCAGTCCCGGGGATTTACGTTTTTTAAGTGACTGAATTGCTGTCAGTTTCTCATGAAGTTGAATATCAGATTCAAGGATTTCCCGATCTATTTCAGAAAAGAAATCATCTTCATTTATAGGACCATATATGTCATCAAAAAGCGTATGATCAAATACGTCATTTGTTGAAAATACTTCTTTAAAATGAATTGCCCATTCAGCTTTTGAAATGCTACAAGCAGGGATGTTTTTCATGTTAATGGATCGAACCTCTTTCCAAAATTTCTTAGCATTACCCATTGCATTACATGGCTGTCTAATTCTATTGTGTCGTATCTTGTTCTTATATAACCTGATTTCGTACTTATATCGATTTCTTAAGGAACAGTAACTCTTTCTGCTATCAGCAGACTTGTTACTTCTAAATTTCCGTAGTGCTCGCCTCGTAGCACGTTTTGCCTGCATACATTCAATGCTATAACGTCTGTTAATCATGTAGCCATTCTTAGAGCATAAGACTTTCTTCATGCAGCTGGCGGAATTCAGTAAATAGTCCACGAAGCTAGTGGCTGGTGTCCTACAAGGCCTGTGTTATTCCCAAATCATAACTGTACTATAGCTCTCGTTCTTTTTAACCATCAATATTATAATACAAAGGGATATCAGAAAAAATTGAGCCTGGTATATTTTAGTGGCTTGTTGGTATCTCTACATGGGACATTTATTAGTATTGATCTGTGTAAGTTGAGTCAGCTTTCATGATTTGATGTGCTTCAGTCCAGACTTCGACTCTGAGATACCATACTCTACGTGGGCCACCATCTCTTATGGCCTGTTAACTAAATATAATCACAAACAGAAGAATTTCTTTCTAGTCTCGACGCAGGAGATCAGAACAGGATCCATAACTTTTATCCAGAGAGCCAACAAGAATCCAAGTAAACCAAGAAGTCTGAAAGCAACACCTTCTTTTTGGACAGCAAAGGCAAAACACATATCAAACTATTTATCATGGGGAACAACTATGAAAGGTGGAGTTGAAACTAACTGGAAAGATGGTGTTTGTCTATCAAAGAGAAGCGATGCAGCAAACTTTGACAAGATGACCTGCTTCATCATGTTGCCATTGCTGCTATACTGGGGATGTAGATATGAGCTTCTGCCCTATAAAACTCATTCATCAGATCTGGCCCACAGTCACTACCACCTGTTTTCATATTGGACAAATCACTTGCGTGGTCAGAGATTTCACGTATAGAAGTGTTGTGTGTTCTATGGTTATCTACGAGTGTATCAAGGCATATGATGTCAAACTTCTGTGTGGTCCTGATTGATGTCTCAACATACTCAAATAGTGGAAATGCCATCTTCCCAAGGCAAGACTGTTCACTAGCCTGTATCAAAGACAAGTTTCCACTAGACTTTGAAAAGTAGGCTGGTGGACGCTCTTGCCTCTGGAAGATTGGAAAGTCAAACCTCTGCTCACACGTAAACACTGTTATAGATGCTAGACATATGGTAGACCTGATTGGCGAGTGGGTACAATAGTCGAAGACGAAACTAGTTATGGGAATCAAGAACCTGTATTTTAATGTAATGAATGTCTCACCTTCACACATCATGTCATATGTTGTCCATGTTTTGTCTTTGGTACACATTGTCCATTGTCCCCTGACCGGTGCATAGCCATTCTCCTCATCACAAGTCAACCAACAAATGCTCTTAAAAATCTTCCCATTGGTACAGCGGAAGCTCTTGCCATGCTTTGGTAGTGTTAGTTCTGTACATTCAGTTGCTAAAAATAAAACAGAGTAGGTCAGTCATCAAACAGGGTTTTTTTAAAAAAGATATAAAACACCATTTGGCAGTGACAGAGCTTTTTTTTTTATCTCTTGATAATAGAACAATTTCATGAAAAACATGCTGCCAGCGGGATTCGAACCCACAAAGTCTGCACCGAAATAGTCTTCTGCCACGGCGACATGGAAGAAACATTATGAAATTAACTAAATATTTACTTACTAATAGTTTCTCCGTCTGGGAAATATGTGTTTTATGTTATCCTGTGCATTGTACGTTTGTGTGTTTTGGTAGCTCTTTGTTCAAGAAACGAACAGATAGAAAAGACATAACTCTTATCTTGATAAGGTCTATGTCTGTTCATAATAGTGGCATCAACATGGGCTTGTAATATCTAGGTGGTTGATGTGATCGAGTTGGTCCTATATGAATTATATACTTGCCCCGGATATGAATGTCTCTACCCGAGTCTCGAAAGACCAAGGTGCTTGTTCAAAAGGCTCAGGGAACACATTTCAGGACTCACACAGTGTTCTCATAGTTGAGCATAAATTATATTAAAATATGGTTATCAAAACAATATTTAAACAGTTTAGGAGCTAGAGTTCTCTGAATGTTGGCCATGTTTTCAGTAGGTTAGTCCAAACAGACCATGGAGTCTAAACGACATCATCTGCATGCCAGAACTTCTACACCTAACAGCCCAGAAGACTGGACTTGAGGAGAAGTGGGTGAAACTCACATATGAATCAACAGTCACACGTGATCAAACAGGTTTTCGTTTCATCTTTGAGAGTCATTTAGAAGTTCTAGCAGTAATGTGTATCTACTATCTTTTGAAACAAAACATGATTTAATAATATGTAGAGATTGATAAAAATACAATAAGAAATTACATACATTTGTAGAAGCAAGGGATTAGGTATGCACTGGACCCTTTTGTTGTTTTAAGCTGCAGAAGTTTTGGCAGATATTCAGAAAGAAAAATAGTTTGAGGTCTAACCTTAGGTACAGCGCTGTCATCACACTATAAAATCATATATATTTTCAACAGATGTCCTCTTCACTGTCAGCTACTCCCAATTAGCCTTTAGGAAAACCTAATCCCACTACCAGTGCCACTAGCGTGCCTGGGGCGGGAAAATGACATTTCTTTCTTTCACATAACCAACATCACGTAGATGCAGATAAATTGGGGAGAAGGGTGGAAAGACCACTGATGCAATTGAGGTTGAGGTAGAATTATACACAGTGATAATGATTCCTTGGAATACCCTTCTCTTTTTTCATCATAGCCAGAATTAACCAAAGGGAAAGGTGGGATGTAGCTTCTTATAGCCCTGAACACCTGACAGCAATGAAATATACATACAGAAACAATAACAAAAAAGCACAATACTTGATTCTTCCTCTGAAAGTACCGTTACATTGGCATTTTTATGACGTCACTTTTGGTATTATGCCGCCACATCATGGTCATGTGACATCACTTCCTCTCTCATGACGTTACAACTATTTATGTGGGTGATCTCTTCCAGTTCCAATGATGCCACTTCCGGTTTTACTTAGGTCACTTCCTTTGATGACGTCACTTCCAGTTATCTGACATCATATCTAGCTTTGAGGAGACTCCAATATGGTGTCATTCCCTTGAACCATACAGCCCCTCAAGATGTTATAATATGAGTCCAGCCATTAACCTAAGATCTGTCACACCCTGGCCACAAATAATCAAAAGGCTAACTTACCTTCTAAGGTTGTAGTTGTTGGAATCTTCATACACAAATGACCTGAGAAACAAAAACCTGTGCTTCTACTGACGGTCCCAGTGAATATACCCCTCAAGATCAGGTTGGATATCATGCAAGTAGAGGTATTGTGGGGTTTCCACTGACAGCTTGATACGACTTGTCTGACAGAGACTGAGTTTCATGATGCTTAGCTGGTATTTCATGAGCCGTGCAGTTCTCAAACCTTGTGCATGGCAGTAGTTATCGGCTATAGTTGTCTTTAGCCATCCTGCAATATTAGCCTTTGTGAAGTCTTTTATCGAATTTTGACTTACAGGAGAAGAACAGTCATTGTATGTGTCTTCTAGGCATTTCAGATGCTGTTGGAGTATTCTAACTGTGAATAGGAGTCTGTCGGGATGATCCACAATGCTCAAATGGAATGGTGTTTATGTCCTATCAGTAGTCATGGCCGCAGTAACTACGGCTAGAAGGAAAGCTGTCTTCCTCGAAAAGTGTATATTGTCGTGCTTCCATTAAGGCCGACAGGATGTTGGATAAATCCCATTTTGAGAAAGTGTGTGGGGTTTTGATATCCTCTAGTAGTAGAGACTTCGATTGTGAAGTGTGAAGTTCAAAGCGTGCAGGTGAAGATTGTGGATGCTGCTGTAAAGTATGTGCGATCTGGGCTGGCACAGAAGGTGATCTTGTAGTTCTGGTTCTTCCAAGTGTAGAGGAAAAAGTCTGGGAAAACACTTTGGTCAAGTTGGGATTTGACGCCTTCTGTGTCCTCAACCTTCCTCAGACCTCGGTCTTTGACTCGGTGGGATGAACCAGGAATCCCAGGTAAGACAGCAACTGTATCAGAAAACTGTTATTTTTATAAAATTTGAGCTGGATTCTGAACTGCAGAGAGAAAGTCGTCGATGTTCGATGAAAGCCTGACTAGATGTAGATGTGCAAATCGAGGAGGTTATCAAAGGGAATAGGCGGAAATACTGGGACAACTTGGATGGACTTGGATGGGACATGAAGAAATTGAAGCTGATTAACCCATGAGTTCTGCGATTTTTGATCGATTCGAACTGAAACTTCGGCGGACCTACAGGATAATATTTGATGAGGAACTTCTAATCGATTATCATGCACATGTCTGACATAATATTTTTCAGCACTAGGGAGACTGGTAAATAACATTCCATGGAGGTGTCTGAACGTCCCAGTGCATGAATCACCCCTTTGACTAGTAGATTCCGTATGCCAGATATAATTAACTGACTAGAGTGTTTTGCAAGTGCTGGACGTTGGTTGAAATACCCTGTCCTCACAACTTTGATAAACCAGCGGTTGGTCGTAGTGAGGTCGTTGTTGGCATAATGTCAAGTAGGGTAGAGGCGTGCTCCTCCTTCCAAACCGGGGCACCAAACGAATCTCGTCCAGATGTGACATGTCTCCTTGAAGGTGAATCGTGAGGCGCTCTGAAAGACTCGGTGAGTCACTTATGAGTCTTTACCACCATGTTTACAGTGGAAACCTGAAAGCTTCCTTTGGTTTCCCAACGAGCCTCGTCCAATACCAAGTGAAGTTCCTTGTTAAAGAATTCAAGTTATGTGATTGGCTGAGAGGTATTGGCTTTCTGAACGGGCTCAGATATTCGAGAGTAAACCAATTTCATCTCGAATGGTGTATCGAGTCCAAAAAAACATGTGATGTACCCCTGCCGCAAACCAAACGATGTATGCTCCGAAATTCACCATTTGCCTGTTGACAGTATGTATCCTTGAACTTAGTCATCATCAGTGGAGGGCTGTTGAGAGAATGGCGACCCATGAGTCTCATACAATATTTTACCAATTTGTGGCATCCAACTAAATTTATTCATAATACCATAGCATGATACCTTCACCTTCAAGTCTGGGTTAGACACGGTGGCGGCAGGCTTTCCCATCCCAGAGCATGACACCTGCACCTTCAAGTCTGGGTTAGACACAGTGGCGGCAGGCTTTCCAACCCCAGAGCAAGACACCTTCACCTTCAAGTCTGGGTTAGACACAGTGGGGCAGGCTTTCCTATTCCAGAGCTTGACACCTGGGTTAGACACAGTGGCGGCAGGCTTTCCTACTCCAGAGCTTGACATTTGGATTTGACACGGTGACGGCAGGCTTTCCAACCCCAGAGCATGACACCTTCACCTTCAAGTCTGAGTTAGACTTGGAGGCGGCAGGTTTCCCACCCCAAAGCAAGACACCTTCACCTTCAAGTCTGAGTTAGACACGCTGGCGGCAGGCTTTCCCATTCCAGAGCTTGACACCTGGATTTGACATGGTGACGGCAGGCTTTCCAACCCCAGAGCATGACACCTTTACCTTCAAGTCTGGGGTTGACACGGTGGCGGCATGTTTCCCAGCCCAGAGCAAGACACCTTCACCTTCAAGTCCTGGTTAGACGTGGTGGCGGTAGGCTTTCTCACCCCAGAGCATGACACCTTCACCTTCAAGTCTGGGTTAGACATGGTGGCGGCAGGCTTTCCAACTCAAGAGCAAGACACCTTCACCTTCAAGTCTGGGTTAGACACAGTGGCGGCAGGCTTTCCTACTCCAGAGCTTGACACCTGGGTTAGACACAGTGGTGGCAGGCTTTCTACTCCTGAGCTTGACACCTGGATTTGACATGGTGACGGCAGGCTTTCCAACCCCAGAGCATGACACCTTTACCTTCAAGTCTGAGTTAGACACGGTGGCGGCAGGCTTTCCTACTCCAGAGCTTGACACCTGGGTTAGACACAGTGGCGGCAGGCTTTCTACTCCTGAGCTTGACACCTGGATTTGACATGGTGACGGCAGGCTTTCCAACCCCAGAGCATGACACCTTCACCTTCAAGTCTGGGTTAGACACAGTGGAGGCAGGCTTTCCTACTCCAGAGCATGACACTTGGATTTGACATGGTGACGGCAGGCTTTCCAACCCCAGAGCATGACACCTTCACCTTCAAGTCTGGGTTAGACATGGTGGCTGCAGGCTTTCCAACCCAAGAGCAAGACACCTTCACCTTCAAGTCTGGGTACGACACAGTGGCGGCTGGCTTTCCTACTCCAGAGCTTGACACCTGGATTTGACACGGTTGCGACAGGCTTTCAAACCCCAGAGCATGACACCTTCACCTTCAAGTCTGGGGTGGACACGGTGGCGGCATGTTTCCCAGCCCAGAGCAAGACACCTTCACCTTCAAGTCTGGGTTAGACGTGGTGGCGGTAGGCTTTCCCACCCCAGAGCATGACACCTTCACCTTCAAGTCTGGGTAAGACACGGTGGCGGCAGGCTTTCCCACCCCAGAGCATGACACCTTCACCTTCAAGTCTGGGTTAGACATGGTGGCGGCAGGCTTTCCTACTCCAGAGTTTGACACTTGGATTTGACACGGTGGCGGCAGACTTTCCAACCCCAGAGCAAGACACCTTCACCTTCAAGTCTGGGTTAGACATGGTGGCGGCAGGCTTTCAAACCCCAGAGGATGACACCTTCACCTTCAAGTCTTGGTTAGACACGGTGGCGGCAGACTTTCAAACCCGAGAGCAAGACATCTTCACCTTCAAGTCTGGGATAGATATGGTGGCGGCAGGCTTTCCAACCCGAGAGCATGACACCTTCACCTTCAAGTCTGGGTTAGACACGGTGGCGGTAGGCTTTCAAACCCAAGAGCAAGACACCTTTACCTTCCAGTCGGGGATAGACTTGGAGGCGGCAGGTTTCCCACCCCAGAGCATGACACCTTCACCTTCGAGTCTGAGTTAGACTTGGAGGCGGCAGGTTTCCCACCCCAGAGCAAGACACCTTCACCTTCAAGTCTGGGTTAGACGTGGTGGCGGTAGGCTTTCCCACCCCAGAGCATGACACCTTCACCTTCAAGTCTGGGTAAGACACGGTGGCGGCAGGCTTTCCCACCCCAGAGCATGACACCTTCACCTTCAAGTCTGGGTTAGACATGGTGGCGGCAGGCTTTCCTACTCCAGAGTTTGACACTTGGATTTGACACGGTGGCGGCAGACTTTCCAACCCCAGAGCAAGACACCTTCACCTTCAAGTCTGGGTTAGACATGGTGGCGGCAGGCTTTCAAACCCCAGAGGATGACACCTTCACCTTCAAGTCTTGGTTAGACACGGTGGCGGCAGACTTTCAAACCCGAGAGCAAGACATCTTCACCTTCAAGTCTGGGATAGATATGGTGGCGGCAGGCTTTCCAACCCGAGAGCATGACACCTTCACCTTCAAGTCTGGGTTAGACACGGTGGCGGTAGGCTTTCAAACCCAAGAGCAAGACACCTTTACCTTCCAGTCGGGGATAGACTTGGAGGCGGCAGGTTTCCCACCCCAGAGCATGACACCTTCACCTTCGAGTCTGAGTTAGACTTGGAGGCGGCAGGTTTCCCACCCCAGAGCAAGACACCTTCACCTTCAAGTCTGAGTTAGACATGGTGACGGCAGGCTTTCCAACCCCAGAGCATGACACCTTCACCTTCAAGTCTGGGTTAGACACAGTGGCGACAGGCTTTCCCACCCCAGAGCAAGACACCTTCACCTTCAAGTCTGGGTTAGACACGTTGGCGGCAGGCTTTCCTACTCCAGAGCTTGAGACCATGATTTGACACGGTTGCGACAGGCTTTCAAACCCCAGAGCATGACACCTTTACCTTCAAGTCTGGGGTGGACACGGTGGCGGCAGGTTTCCCAGCCCAGAGCAAGACACCTTCACCTTCAAGTCTGGGTTAGACATGGTGGCGGCAGGCTTTCCAACCCCAGAGCATGACAACTTCACCTTCAAGTCTGGGTTAGACACAGTGGCGGCAGGCTTTCCAACCCAAGAGCATGACACCTTCACCTTCAAGTGTGGGTTAGATATGGTGGCGGCAGGCTTTCCAACCCCAGAGCATGACACCTTCACCTTCAAGTCTGAGTTAGACTTGGAGGCAGCAGGTTTCCCACCCCAGAGCAATACACCTTCACCTTCAAGTCTGAGTTAGACACGGTGGTGGCAGGCTTTCCTATTCCAGAGCTTTACACCTGGGTTAGACACAGTGGCGGCAGGCTTTCCCAGCCCCGAGCTTGACACCTGCATTTGACAACGTGGCGGCAGGCATTCAAACCCCAGAGCAAGACATCTTCACCTTCAAGTCTGGGTTAGACACGGTGGCGGCTGGCTTTCAAACCCCAGAGGATGACACCTTCACCTTCAAGTCTGGGTTAGACATGGTGGCAGCAGGCTTTCGCACGCCAGAGCATGACACCTGGATTAGACATGGAGGCGGCAGGCTTTCCCACCCCGGAGCATGACACCTGCACCTTTAAATCTTCCTTGTCGATGTTGATCATGTGGCAGACTTCCAGGCATTCATTAATCTTGAAATGATGTAGGGGTGCAGAGGGCACATCTTGAACCTAGTTTGCATAATAAATCCCTGCACCTGTAACACGTTGGCCGAGTGAGTATCCAAGGCTTGCATCAAAGAGACTTAGAAGAGTCCATCTCCACAATATGCTCAACAAACAATCTACTTATGTGATTATCCTCTCTGAAGAAAAACCACATAAGTACTACATATGTACCATAAAGTGTCTATTTAAATGGAAAACCTTACATATTACAGTGTGGGCTAAACTCTCTGAAGATATATTCAGTGTGACAGGAACGAAATGGCATAGGGTTATCATAAAGACTAAATGGGAATAGCTAACATTGAAAAGGATGTCATATGAAAAGCATAAGGATTACATGTGATGACAGCCAAAATATGGGAAATTTGTGGCTATGAACTAATAGATGTATGGTGTTCAAAGGAATTCTGTGGTGCACAGCTGTAGCTATTTTAGTCCTATAAATTGTTCTTTCGGTGTACCTACCTTGACACTTAGGTATGTCAGAGCTCCATTTCTCGCTTACCAAGCAGTCGATTTGAGATGCCCCAACCAATTTGTAACCCTCTTCACATCCGAATGAACACGTTGCACCATAGACGTAGGGATAAAGATCACAATTAACATCCCCATTCCGTATATGATGAGGTGGACGGCATTCTTTCACTGAAAATATTCAAATCAATGAGTACTTTAATTACACTGATTTAAATTTAAGGTTTTCAACAACAAAAAGTACTATAAATTGGAGACTCTTATTGTTCCTATATTTGAAATTCAACAGCACCATAGAAAGGACAAATCATTTCTATGAATTTTAGGTATTCTTTGTCATAAACTTTGCAGGAAAAAAAGAATCCTGACAATAACATGGCATGGACCGTTGCTCATGCCATACACTGTTTTTGTTGTTTTCCAAATGAAGTTTTTTCTTCTGAAGCATTCAACTAGATATGTATTAAATACAGTCTATGATGGCCACAGCATTACTGCCTTGGGAATCAAGCTTAGTATGTGTCATTTGATAATCCATGGCTGGAATAGGTAGTTTTCCCTTTACTTCATAAATATGTTTCTCACGAATGGAGGTATATAGCTCATTTCTAAAAAAAGATTTTACCCATCTCTGAGATACTTCACCTGGGCTAGCAAATGTTCTTTATCCATTTTGTTTATATGTTCGAAATTGTAGAGAGTGAGTTGAGTTGTTTTGTATTTCAGTTATAACGTGGTGGATCATCTTAAGCAAATTGTAGTGCATCAGACAACTGGGACACCTGTATCCCTGGAAAGTATAAATACAGAGACACCTGGCTGGCTTTGAACATAACCTATGCCTTTTTATACATATGTTCTCAATTTCATACTCAAATTGTTTCCTAAAGTTGATTTCATCAAGTATTTTTTCCTAATGCCATGACCACCACTGTAGTTCTACATATCAAACCCAATAATCAGCTCTCTGATTCGGTTGGTTTCAAAGACGGTGATGCTTAAACATGTTCACGAAATGAAGACAAATTTTAAAAAAGGTTAACCTAACCTTTACAGGTCTTTAACATGAACAAAATCCAAGTTATATTATGGCCCAATACATCTTCATAGAGATTCAGGCCGTGTAATGTCTGGTGACCTCATAATTAGCAGTGTTCAATAAGCTCAAATATACAAATGTGTCTGGAGCCATCTAAATTTAGTTCTCATCCCTATCCTAGCTAACTAGTCTATTCTCCCTTGACTACACTATAATTGAAGACTCTCCGTATCCTCAATATAAATAGTCATCATACAGTAAGCAGATAGGCCTCCACTGTCCTCCCTTGATTACACTACAAGTGAAAACTCTCCGTACCCTCCAAATAAAAATTCATCATACAGTTAGCAGATAGGCCTCCACTGTCCTCTCTTGATTACACTATAAGTGAAGACTCTCCGTACCCTCCACATAAAAATTCATCATACAGTAAGCAGATAGGCCTCCACTGTCCGTCACTGTGTATGAAACAGAATGGCTTCCACGTCCAAACTTGGATCCTGACCCCTTGCCACTCTTCAGCACAGCTCTGCAAGGTCAAGTAAACAATCAGAAATATTCAAGTAATATATCATCAGCCTGTATATATTAAAATTGAGTCTGGCCCTGACATACCAAATGCTGATCGCATGAGCACAAATCCACTCTTTCTTGTCTACAACGTTAACATTGGTCAGTGACTTAAATTTAAAGCTGCTTTAATTACACCTCACAAGAAAATATCAATGTTCATTTCCTTAAGTAAGAAATGTGTTCTGAAACTATTTCATGTTACTATATAATAATTAATTGTAACCACTAGTTCCCCCACTGTCACAAATATTTGAATACACAATGTCATTTAGAAAGTGGTCAAATGTAACAAATGTTATATCTGGGATAACGCTTTCTTAGAAAAGTACAATTTGTAGTACTTTGCGGTTGAGTACCACTTGGGATTCGAACCCACACCCTCAGAGTGAGCCACCAATTCGCCACCACACACAGTCAGCGATCACCGAGCCTTCCAAAGGAATGACAACTGGTAGTCCAGATCACGTACATTGTGCATCCTTCTGATAAGTGTAGATTGCCATATAGAAAGTATTCAAATGTAACAAATGTTACAAATGTTACAGATTTAACAATAGTCAAATGTGCTAACACAGATTGTATTGGGTGTTTTTTCAAGCGAATCATCGGTAGATTGGGAGAAAACGTGTGTACAGCTGGTTGCTGTTTCCGGCTTTTACAGGCTGGTTGCCTTATAGGTGGATCGCGTTGAGAACATCGATATACGGTACTCACGTCAAGCTTGAATCATTGGGGTCACTGACTGTAGGTGTAGACCAGTGTACTGAAGTTGTCGTCTTTCTTTTGTCAGCAACCCAATTGCCTTTAATAGTTGGGCATTTTATGGAAGGTGGTTCATTTGTGGCTGAAAAAGATTTTATTGTTGGTGTAAATGTGTAGACAGAGGCCATTTTCACCAACATATTTTACATCTTCTCTCAAAATGCTGTTATATACCAATGAACTAAGAAAGAACTTGATCTAACATTACAACAGGGTACAAAATATTATAGGACTAGAATATCCATTTACACATCAATAATTCGCATTTCAAATAAGATAATAGTAATGATCTGGGTTTAACAAGTGCATTTATATATTTATATTACATTTACCACTGCATCAGGTATTTCGTCATGTATCTTTATGAAATTAACAAGTTTCTGTTGCATATTCCCGATCAGTATTTTCACATATTTTCACAAGTTTTAAACCTACGTTCTTCCCTCTTCCAAGTAAATTATTCCATTATCAGTGCATAGTTTAATGTATGCTGTAAAGATATCTATTATGCAGGAGCTGGTTACTAATTTCAACATTGTTTTTTTACCAATTGAAATCTAAAACAATTCAGGAATGCTACAGAGCCTTGTGGCTTGATTATTTTTTTTGCACAATCATGCAGCATTCTTGTTAAACCTAAAGATGTTATAATAAGGTCAAGATCACAATACAGTCAAACACCATTGTGTTGAACTTTGATGTGTCAAACGAACGGTTGTCTCAAAATGAAAGCTTGGTCCCTGTGTACTCCTTCTTTAGTTATTATTTTCGGATAACTTGAAGTTTTTTAAGTAGGTCCCTATAACTTTGACACAACAGTGTTTGACTTTACGTCAATAAGTGTTTTGCAAGGCACTGGTAACATCATTTAAATATATTTCCTTGGTGGCAACTAACGACCATTCTCATGACATCAGTATAGGGCTACTCAAAGAGTCACACGTGGAATTGCAGATGTACTCCCAAACTGGGTTTGACATCATCAGACCAGAAGTGCTTATACCTTTCTTCATCCATTATGCACTATTTGCACATGAGGTTGAATGCCCATTTTAATAATTTCATACATTGGGAAATATAACTTAAAATGTATCTATTATTTATGCACCATGACACAGAAATTGATTGTCCAAATGGTAGCCTGAAAATCAAGGAGGGCATGGACCATAGCCTGTAGTGCAGAAGGGCATGGACCATAATCTGTAGTGCAGAACGACATGGACCATAATATGTAGTGCAGAATGGCATGGACGCTAGTATGTAGTGCAGAAGGACATGGACCATAATCTGTAGTGCAAAACGGCATGTACCGTAATCTGTAGTGCAGAACGACATGGACCATAATATGTAGTGCAGAATGGCATGGACGGTAATATGTAGTGCAGAAGGACATGGACCATCATCTGTAGTGCAGAAGGACATGGACCATAATCTGTAGTGCAGAACGACATGGACCATAATATGTAGTGCAGAATGGCATGGACGGTAATATGTAGTGCAGTAGGGTATGGACCATAATCGGTAGTGCAGAAGGGTGTTGACCATAATCTGTAGTGCAGGAGGGCATGGACCATAATCTGTAGTGCAGAGGGGTGTGGACCATAATCTGAAGTGCAGAAGTGAGTGGACCATAATCTGTAGTGCAGGAGGGCATTGACCATAATCTATGTCCAGAAGGGCATGGACCATAATCTGAAGTGCAGAAGTGAGTGGACCATAATCTGTAGTGCAGAAGGGCATGGACCATAATCTATAGTGCAGAAGGGCATGGGCCATAATCTATAGTGCAGAACGGCATGGACCATAATCTGAAGTGCAGAAGGATGTGGATCATAATCTGTAGTACAGAAGAGTATGGACCATTATCTATAGTGCAGAAGGACATGGATCATAATCTGTACTACAGAAGAGTATGGACCATTATTTATAGTGCAGAAGGACATGGACCATAATCTGTAGTGCAGAAGGGAGTGGGCCATAATCTGAAGTGCAGAAAGACCAGAATCCTGGACCAACATGTTCACTTCAGAATTACTGGAACCTTATCTTCTAAATAAAATCACACACTTCCATGTGAGCTGCCATCCTAAATTGTGTTCATACTTTACATTCACAAGCAAATAAAGACAGTCAAAATATTCATATTCCTGACACATCAAAAAAAAATTAAAAAGGAAAAAGGCTGCAATTAACTTTACAAAGGTGATACTTCTCTGAATTGAATTATCCAGTTTGACATACAAGGAGGTCCATTTAGATGGGCTTTCAATTGGCTACACCAAGAATGAAATATATAACCTAAAGCACTGAACCAAAATTCTTCATGGCTTTTGCTTACTTAGCATTCAGACATTTATTAATTAGTCGTATTAAATCATTTCCTGTTTCTGAAAACATGCTTTCTTATGTTATGTTAAATCAGAAAGTGTAATTGTTGAAGCACTTTTTTAGAAAACATATAAGTACTTCCAGTTTGTATAATCTCACTAGAATGTTTGGAAAAGACATTCATGCTGCATAAGAATTTTAAACCAGAGGTCCCCAGGATTCTAGCTCAGATTATAACAAAGTTGTCAGCACTGCCAGTTTGTAACATGTCGCCTCTGGGTTTTGAAATCACTTCTTTCTGCATTTGAAACTTTTCATGAAAACTCCATGGTTCTGTTTACTCTTGTGACAAACATATGAGTCCACCTAGTTTGGATTACCTAACTTCCAGTTTCAGAAAACACATTCTTCGTGCCAGAATGTTCCATGGAACTAACTTGGAAGTGATGAAACTAGTATTATATGTCCAGTTGGTCACTAAAATAGGCAGCAACTTCTGTGTTAAAACTAAATCACATAAACAAATTGTGTTACAGTTACTTAATTTTCAATAAAGTTTGAGGCCTTGGAAAATTCCTTAAAAGCACTGGAAATAACTTTTAAAAATTCCTAAAGTGAAAAACGTACTAGTTCAATGCTAGATCTGGGAAAATATATCAGTGTATGGTCTCTGTCTAGCCTGATAGCTGGGCAAAGTTTGGGCACCAAAATTGAACCATATTTGGGTTATGCTCTGGAAACAAACCCTAACCTGATTGATTTAAATTGTTGTCATGGAAACTGAACAAATATGTTTCTATTATTCCTAAATAGAAAGGGTACAATTTCATGCCAAGAACGATGCAATGTTTGTTCCAGATTTATTGAACGGTCTTTGAGTAATACTCCCGAAGCAAAACATGACGGCAGGACAGCACCTATTCCACCCTCATTACATTTGATAATTTCCATTTTATTTTTTAAAAACCATTTACCCACTTCAGAAGAATTGCTTGAAAGATTGCACATGGATCTTGAATCGATGTAGAGACCATGAATGGAAGCTATTATCATATTATACTAACGCTTCTTAATATATCTTTATGATTCATCTTCCGTGCGAATTTTGACCTACCTTTAGTGCCACAGACTTTTTCAAACACGTCACAATTTCCTCTGACGTCATATGTGATATCTTGTTGCCAGGTGCACCGGCAAAACTATGCCCAATAACGTCAGCAGTCATCGAGTGTGCTTAAGCTCCTAGCTTTGGGCGACCTGTCATCTCTACACTCAATGTCATTGAATAAGCCAAGCGATGTTGCGAGTTTTTAATATCTTGTTTATTGAATATAGTCAAGCGGCAGCACATTTTATAACAGGCGACAGTTCATGAAAGCAGTTTATTTTCAGTATTCTATTTCAGTTTCGACTTATTTCATGTGGGTAAATGGATTATAAATAGGAAAAATTGGGTTGTTTTCGTTATTATGCACAAGACTGCATCCTCTTTATCTCCAGGGATAGCATGTCCCCCGTCTAACGCATTTTCAAGCATTCGAGTCGAAAACACGAAGCGTGCGAATAAATTCACTTGTCAGGGCATCTTCTAAAGTATTGTTTTGACATTTTCATGTCAAATGGTTTGGCTACAGGAAACTGTCATGGATTTTCAACCCAAACTACTTTCACATATTACACTGCGTCAGTAATGATTCAAAAGTCAGCGCAGTAAAATATGAAAACCAATAACAATATGCAGATTGTCGAATTGTTTCTCATGACGTACATGACACATTTGTATATGTTCTCTCCAAAACAAAATAGGGGGAAAGGACTATAGCTGTAACCTGGCAATGAACAGAACACGCTGGCGGTGTATTGTAAGCGTGAAAAAAGACGATATATAGGGGTGTCTGAGATGAACCATGCCTTGGTGGTCACACATTCGTATGTCTACGGCGAGACATGGTCCGAATCAATGACCAGAGACAACAAATAATGGTCAGGACTCATGGCTGACCATTGCATTCTGGTGACCTTTTGCTTCTTGAGTAACGATACGTACACGGTGGGCACTTGCCTTTTAATTCCGGGGTTACGTTTTGGCTGGACTATAAGTATATGCATAGTCTAATCAAAATCGAGGAAGGAAATAGACACCTGGTTCGAAAACAACATGGAATTCAATGTGCACATTTCAATTGATTGCAGGATTTGCAAAACATGTGTACCGTCAACAGGCGTCGACAGATATTTTCCAAATCTTTTCATATTTTTATCAAATGATTTGATACATTTCGCGAGGCAAGGACCCGTTTTGTTACAATATAGATCTTGATTATCGATCAGATCGTCTTGGCTGGGTGCTGCCATTTTGTTTGAAGCAAATGCAAGTAATGTGAGAGGTGGAATCTGATTGGTCAAACGGAGGGGCATAGAAAGGACGCCACGAAATATCAGGTGAAAAATTGACTTTTCTTGTCAGTTAACAACCTTGCCTCGGGATTACCGTCGGCGATGAACCAGTGGCGTCTAGTAAGAATGTGTCGATTAGTTAACGATGGTACAACACGTGGACGCTGAGCACGCAGACGATTTCTAAACGTCTGGCCTCTCACTTGAACTGTGACGGTCGATTTCTTAACTGGTGTTTCTGATTAATCGTTCCTGCACTTGTTGACCTCAGGAGCCCTGTGCGAGGCCGATCGTTAACATGTTGTGTCTGCAGAAACATGTTCCAAAATCTGCAAATCACAGTCACATTGAACATATTGGGTACTTCTCGCTAAGTTCTACCAGTTTGAACTGTGTCAATAGCCCTGTAGACAAAGCATTCCCAATCTGATCACAATACACTGCATGAAAGAACGAGTAGAGAGCTTACGTGTTATTGTGGATACTGAAAATCAACAATACAAATGGCTAAGAGTGATTTGACGACGTTCCAAAATCAAGACAGGTCCCCTCGCTCTGGTGGAATTGCACGGTCATAGTGTAATGTTTCGGGTGAATTGGTGAGTTTTTGTTCCGAAACCGTACTATCTCTGGCAGTCATTTTTCAAAACAGATCTTTCTTCTTCAGATTGATCTTTACATTTATAGTTAATGATTCCATACTGTTTTGGAGGGGATAATTGTGATAAACTGAAAAGGAAAAAAAAGATAGAAATATATAATAAATACTGCTTCACCACTCGTATGTCTAGTATTAATAATGCTACGATTAAAGCACCGGTACATCATTATTTATTATTATGGGTTTTGATATGGCAATATAATGTCGAATAATATCAGAACTTGTGAACTTTATATACATTACAGCTGTCACACATACAACAGTTGCTTGTCAAAATTGTGTTATGGGTCAGTGACCGCCATGAACTGAAAATATAGATTGATGTTAGCTGGTGGATACATAGTGCATACAGTTTTGTGCCAAGATGAGAAAGTAATTTTACCTGCTCCTCCGCCTCCATCGCCGCAGCTGATGCATATATCTATTCCTGAAATAAGACGTCATTCACGTGTTATTCACTGTATTCAATGACTACGTCAACATCACACAAAAATGTGACTGATAAGAAATGTGATCCCTATGTTAAAGGAAGTTCTACTTCCTTGCACATGTATAACATACATCACCATGTTTCCACATAGCAATAATCAAGCATGCTGAAATTGAAGGTCATGGACATTAAGTCAGAAGTGCATATACCACTAACCTCTTTGAGTGTCATTTATATGTTGGTGTGATGAACAAGTACTTATGCATAAACAATTTCTTTAGCTGTTCAGCGCTTTGTTAACGTTGACTTATGTTAGTTTGGGGGTTTTCTTATTAAAAGACATTTATCACTAATAAATATATGCATACATGAACATTGTGTGTAAATAAACGAAAGGAATCGTACAATATTCCATTGTCCTATTGTGCACAGTACCTAAAGAAAATGGCGGCATCAGAGATATTCACAATTTCTCCATTTTCCGCTAGAAATTACTCCATTAAAATATGAAACCAAGTTCTCACTTGATGGGGTCAATCGGAAGATTTACTTTATTTCTTTTTGTCATGGCATAATTTATTTCGTTATTTAGTTGGGTGTAGCATTTACCAAAATATTGTTGAATGAACAAAATATAAACTGTTTGGGCCGAGATAGTGAAACTGTCAACTCGAGTCAGCCTGCATAGACCGAGCATCAACAGAAATGTTTCCAATTGTATCAACCAACATTTCAGTTCTGAAAATCACTCCATCATTTGCATGAAAGTTGGGATATAAGAGAAAATATACCATCCATCTAATCGCCTTAAATGAAGTCGATCTTAAAGATTGTCCAGAGAAAAACATTGGATTCGACTGCTGTGTAAATGCAATGTTAGGTTGATGATATGACAAAATAAAAGACGTTGACAGTCTGTCTAGCCAACGAACTGCCAACTTCAATGTATTGACGAAGGCCAAATGATATCATTCAGTTGGACGATTTGTTGTCTCTCCTTCATGAACCATTAGGACGGCACAAAGTAAAGTGCATGACTATACTCTGTTTCAGACTCCAGCAACTGATGGGTGTGTCTACAAACAGCAAGAGCCCACAATATCGACTAGAGGGTTTAGATCTTGATATCGCTTTGAAACATTTGGCCAAACCAGAAACAGAAACCACTAAATCAGACAAAGACTGCATTTTCTTAATTTTGAAATTTGCAAACAAGGGAATTGATGTCTTTAATTTAATTCAATTTCTCAGACAACAATTAATTTCCCAGAACGTCCTACAATATTTCAAATTTCAGTAACCACTAACAATTTTATTTTCATATACGAACACCATTTCATCCAGGTTGTTCAATTATAGGATTTGTTTGTTGTTTTACGCCGCATTCAGCAATATTCCAGCCATTGGCGGTCTGTAAATAGTCGAGTGTGGACCAGACAATCCAGTGATTAATATCATGAGCATCGATCCACGCAATAAGGATACGATGACATGCATCAAACCAAGTCAGCGAGCCTGACCACCCGATCCCGTCAGTCGCCTCTTACGACAAGCATGGTCGCCTTTTACGGCAAGCATGGGTTGCTGAAGACCTATTCTAACCCGGATCTTCACGAGTGTATCAACATATTAGTATGGTGACAAGAATATGGTCGACATGGTCTGATGATGTTTCTGTGGTTGCTGACACCACATTTTAGTTAGAAAACAGAGTGTTAGTTTGGAAAGTTGTAAATTAACTGGTATGAAGGTAAATGTTAAAAAGACAAAGGTTCTAGTGTTTTAACAGTGGACCACTGCGACTGGTATCTCCATGATCAGAAGCTTTAGGTGGTGTCATTTTATAGATATTAAGGTTTAGTATTTACACCCAGACTATTTGGACTGAAGCGCGATCCTTTCTTGCATCACAAGCACATAGAGCCCTTATGGCAGTATACGGATATCAAAAATGAGCAGGTAATATTGACTGTACTGATCTTTTCACGATTTTTGATGCAGTGGTTACACCAATATTGTGCTATGGTCAGACATTTGGGGGAACAGTATATTGTAAAACAGCTAAAAATGTTCAGATAAAAATGTGCAAATATTTTCAGAACGTTAGTAAAACTACACACAATATTATGGTACTGGTAGAGCTTCAATTGTCAGAGGGGTACACAAAGTACGTGATCTAGGCTACCAGTTGTCGGACATTCATTTTGTGGAAGCCTCGGTGACTAAGTGGGTTAGAACACTGATTTTGTGTGCTGGCGATTCGGTGCCACACTCTGGCAGTGTGGGTTCGAAACCTGGATGGAACTGAACACCCAAACATACGAGAATTTGTACTTTCCTAAGAAAGTGTTATCTTTATAAGATATGTTACATCATTATTATTATGTACAGATTAAAATATAAACTGCAGCAAAGAGGGTTTGGATGATCCTGGCACAGTCAGGCTGGTTAGGCTCATCATCAGCTCAGGGCCATTACCCCCTGTACAAGCAGCCCAGACAGCGAATGGGACTTCTCCCAGGAAGCGCTGCCTATTCAAACCCACCCGGAACGTTTTGGAGAATGTGAAGACTCCCCAACACTGCAGCCTTCTGCATTACCCAGATTGTCAGAAAGGCTGTATTCCTGGTAGCAAAACTGGGTACTCTCCCAATGTCAGTCAACAGATTGGGAGGTACAAAACCTAAGGCACAGAGAACAATGGGGAATCGGACAACTTGGTACTTTGGGATTCAAGCGTCACATTTCGAAAGCGAGGTCTGCATATTTATACCATGGTTTCCCTAAATCTTGTCAATCACATCAGTGTCAAAAGGGACAGAAAATTCAATAATCTAAATGATTTATAACCAAGTCACCGGTAGATATGGGAGGAAATGTGTGTCCAGCTTATTGCTTTCTCCGGCTTAGTTTACAAGACAAGACAAGACAAATACAAATTAATATTGCATAGAAAACAGCAGAACAGGAAATACAACTGAAATGGTAAATCATCATGTCTAGTGATGTTTTGTCGTAAATTACACACCTTCATTGACCAAGTTTGTTAGCTTCTGTTCGTTGCCTTTAAGCTGAAAGATGTACTTTTTTTACCGCACTTAATACTCACAATATCTGCGTAATCTCAGCATGTGGGGATTAACGAAGGGAATTCACTCTCGACATTCAAACATTGGGTAAGGTTGTTTACAAGACTAAGCAAGGTTTCAGGTCAGAGCATCTGCGCATGTGTCGTGCATCTTAACCGCTGTCAGGAGAAAAAAAGAAGGCCTCCCCATGTATCAATTACACTCAAGGGCACGACAATGATAATCGACTGCTGAGGCCTGTCCCTCAGTATGAGGTCTCTGATTGTACATATTATTATTTTAAAATGCCTGAAAAAGACTATTTTAAAAATATTAGCTTCCTCGCTGGTGCAGCCGTCAAATCGGCTGTTCTATCAGAGGACGTTTATTGTTATTTGATAAGCTCTGATTGACCAATCAGAATCGCGTAATGTTCAAATGTCCATATCCATATAACACATTATACACACTGGAAATAAGTGATGGCAGTAACTATTGCTTGGGCTATCTGGACATGGAAGTGCAGGGTCTGCTTCTATTTAAGCAAGTGCATGCAAACACCTTTTAAGTTGTCACCGAGAAGTTCAGTATAAGATGTCATTAACATTTTACCATGACAATTTTCAACTGCACTCTTAAATCATTTGATAATACAATATCATGCATCCATTCTACAATATCATGCATCCATTCTACTCACCACATAATAGTACAAGGAGACATTGTAAGTACATCCTGGGGATGTTCTTTTCTGAAACATAAAGGAGGTTTGTAAAGGTAACAGAACATTGACCTGTATCTAAAAACAGTACTACTGGCTAGAGGCTAGATATATCGTCCACACGTGGTCGTAATTGCCTTTTCGTTTGCCCGTCTTCATTCCACTAGTTTGGAAAGAGAAGAAATACACCTGATAAGCACCTTGCTAGAAAATACTCTCAGAAAAGACACACAGTCACTCACATTTAAATATTTAGCTCAGCCCAAGTATGCTTAGTTTTCTACAACATGTCACAATCATTATTAACAACATGGGTTCCTGACAACACTTGCAAATACTGAAACTATAAACTTTAAATGCCACCGATGTAATACACCCAAACCAGAAAATTTCTACACAAGGAAATCTCACCTGTCCCAGTGGTTGCTGTTCGAGTTGTGTATCTGGAATGGTAGAGGTTCATTATATCTTATTGCGACCAGTATCAAATTTTGTTTCCAAGAATTGCATGCCGGACAAACAACATCTGGCTGTGGTTAGACTGATTAGATGATATGTCCATTTAACACTGATGATAACATGAAGCATCATATTTCACATGCCGCAAGAAAACAGGATGCACTTTTTTTGAAGTTATGGGTATTAATTTCATGTTGTTTGTATTTGATTCCTTTCCTCGGAAATGATGTAAATAAAAGGGAGTCCCCCGTTCCTATTTTCACACGACATTCACCTAAAACCTAAAGTACGATGTAGTCGACTATGTTCTGTTATTGAAAACAGATTACTTGTCACACTCTGAACAGAAGGTGTCCATTCTTCAGATAATTAGGTTGCTATCCAAGCCGATCCAGGCAAAGAGTCATAGGGCTGTGTAACAGTGCATATGTTTGTCTTTACTTTATATATATTCTTCTTTTTTATGATGTTACCGTGTGGAAATTATAAAAAGTAAAGACAAACATTTGCACTGTTACAAAGCTTGTTCCCCTGCTTGGCAACAGTATTTCTAGGCCTCCTTCCACTTGTAGAGGCATTAAGTTGTACACGATCAGTGACATTTACTGGCACATCCAAATAACCAGCATGATCTTCATGCAGTAACTGAGTCTCAAACAGCAAAGCTGGCCATTTCATTTTTATAACTGAAATGACAGGGGTTCCCTAAAATGTTGTTCCTAGTATATGATGAATTATCCTATGTCTTGTTGATGCATGACAAGAGACATGACTTGCTACTTGGTTTGTTCAACATGTTGACAGTTGCCTAGCATTGCAGCCATGTGTTCTGCTTTTATGCCTATATGTTACACTCACTCTGAGAAATACGATATGGCTGAAATATTGCCGATGTGACAAAAAATTTAACTCACTCACTCACACTGAGAAATAAGTCATTTCGTGAAAAGATTAACCTTTCAGTGAAAGGTGAGTGAGTAAACACATTAAGTTACATCGGCAACATTTCAACCATGTAATTACGAGAAGTATATATAGAATTATATTTAGTGGCGTCAACAGCATCTGTCTTAATATAAGCAGTAGAGGTGTTGTCAAGAAGTCTTTCTAGGTCTTCTTCGTTCATAGCCTGAGATATGTGGTTGAGTATATATGATTGACGTAATGTTTTTCATATCAGAGATAAAACTATTTGTGCCGCAATTGCATAAGCTCAACCTTTTGAAAATAATATACCATCAGAATGTTTGTGAAAAAAAGAGAAAACATAACTAGTTGTGACAAAGTCTTTAGTCATGCTTTGGGAATGATCAAAGGGAAACAGTGCATTTAAATGAAAAGTGAACTAGTGAACTTGTTTGCGTTGTCAAAACACCTCTCAAAGATGGAGAAACTAATTGAAACTAAATGTAATACAATGAACACCTTTTAAAAGGATAGCTTGTTTCATTCATTCGGGTAGATTGATATCAAAACAATAAACTGTATGTCAATTATACATAGCCCAACCCATTCTTGTAATAAAAGCCGTATCTTATTTGTGTTTTACAGTAGTTAAGAAACCATATAAATAGTAATTTAAGATTTAATGTTGATGCATCCGTGCGTGAAAACAATTCGCCCAGGAGATCATTGTAAAATAACTCGGTGAATAGATCCTTATGAAATAACTTTATCCTTTTGAGTTATCTGAGGATTTTAAAACTCATACACGTCAATGTCCATTGCATGCATTGGGCATGCTGTATTGCCCATTGCACGCATTGTTAAACGGCCTGCCCAATGCACGCAATGGGCAGCTGCACAGATTGGGTGTAACATTTACAATAATAATAAATACATGTAAACAATGTAAAAACTTGTCGGCAATGGACAACTTGAGAATCATACATTTGTATTTAAAACTAGTATGTAACTATAGAATATGACTATTCATAAGAATACCAAAGTTAGGCCACCATACCTGGGGAAGCATGCGGACTTACGTACGTCTCCTACTACACGGTTCCCAAGCAGGATTTGCACCATCCTTTCAGCCACTGGTGATTAATGACAAGTTTTTACCGGAGACTCAAACACACATATATTCTGCGATAAAACACTGAGGTAGGACAATAGTTTTTACTGATCCAGTTCCCCCAAGGTTACAGCCACTGACAACCTCAGTGAAGAATTATTTACCACCAATTCATAAAATACATTTGAGGACTGACTGTGATGTTTGTTTGTTGTTTAACGCCACACTCAGCAATATTCCAGCTCTATGACTGTGTATTTTTTTCGGTAGCTTGAGGTATGAATAAAAAAAGAATGATGTGCAAACTTTTGTAAGAATCCACTACGCCAATATAATGAAATTCGTTAATGAATACGTGTATTATATACAATAGTTTAAACGAAAACAAATTAAATACATCAAAGCAGACAAAAATGACGAGATTGATAAGGAATATATACTGAAGCGTGACATGAATCAGGTGATTGTTTTCTTTAAGCATAACTTGACACACCCACGAAGTCAGCAGCTAATCAACAAGAGTAGCATAAAACAAAGGTCCTAGGACCTGTCAATTAAGGCAAAAGTGGAGAAGAACTACAACTGTCAAACTGCCTGAACAAAAAAGTCAATGATTCAAATGACATGGTCAGTAACCGCCGGATTAAAACATTTGTTCCCTGAGAATGGGAAGGCACAGTTAGACAAATGCGAGTTGAAAATGAAACTCCGAAGACATGAAATCGATGGAACCCGGGCGAGCACGCCTGCACGTTTGATGTTTCCTTCTTTTTCGGTCGTCGGTCTGGAAGGGTGGTTTGGACGACGAATATGCAGGCATTTTGCCAAAACGTCCTGGACATGAGTGAGTGAGTTGGGTTTTACGCCACTTTTAACAGTATTCCAGTTATATCGCGGCGTGTCAGCTTAATGTGGGAGGAAAGCCCGAAGTGGTGCAGGTCTCAGACGTTTACCACTTCGAAACCCACGGGTATGGTGCTGACAAACCTAGAAACATAATCGGGGCGAACAGGTCTTCGAACCCACAATCATAGGTTTCTGGCGTGCCCAAGGGACGCAACTCTGCACAGCGAATCGAGGTGCCAAAGTTGGTACAAGTAAGCACAAAAAGAATTCTCTCATTTCAGGAAGTTACTTCAATTTGAGCGTCTGTTTTACATTATCTGACTGATACCATCAGTAAATAGCTTCATCCATTTCTCGGATCAAACGACACTCCCTAAGTACTTAAATTACTTAGTTATTGATTGTAAATTAGTCTGAATAGACCAATTTTCTCCTCCACTGTCATAAAAACAATCTGTGGTTTCCACTCACTTGAAATCACAAATACCTGTTGTATCAACCTCGCAACCTGTAAGATTCTCATCTATTCTGTAATAATACAACTCACACATGGCTTGGGGAAATGACCGAAAGTTTTAGTACTTTCACTTTGCACGAAGACTCTATATTGTTTAAGCTACAGCTTCAGAACCAGAATTTGTTTAAATTAAAACTATGAACCACAATACTGTTGTGTCAAAATAATCTCGCAACCATGTATTTTTTGTGGTAGACAAGTCTGAGGCATAATTATATTTTGAAGTACTTTCTTGGACAACTTAATTTTTTCGATAACAGGCCAACAGTATTGCTGTTGGCGCATTCCCAATCTGCGCGTGGTTCACTGCAGCCTTCGTCCTGGTTTTTTACACTTTCGCTTATCACAAATTGATGTATCTCGTTTACATCGCCACTAATCAGGCGCATCTGTAGTTACTTAATTAGAAAAGAATACAAGCCAGCGTTCAACTGCGTAATGACACATAAGGGTCATGCGCACCGATATGACATGCTGAGAACTCCCGAAGATTACCAAGAATGGCAATGATATGGGATTGAACATAAGGCTTTCAATGAAGAACATTTGATGCAATTGCCCCGCAATATTCGTTATTTCTGGCAATTTTTCAGTGTATTAGCTTTGTCGGGCCATATATTATTGTATATGTGTATCGTAAGGTTTGACATCAAAACTATAATAAAGGCACTTTGACAAAAATCGAGTGTACCATAAATCAAATTCAGGTAAATAGTTTTTCATCACTAAATGCATAATATAATTGGTACATCTTGGAGGCCACATGTTGTAATGTAAGACCAGGAACTGATACAAGTAATTGACGGGACAAATGATGTAATGTAAGGCCAGGAACTGATACAGCTAATTGACGGGCCAAATGATGTTATGTAAGGCCAGGAACTGATACAGGTAATTGACGGGACAAATGATGTAATGTAAGGCCAGGAACTGATACAGCTAATTGACGGGACAAATGATGTAATGTAAGGCCAGGAACTGATACAGCTAATTGACGGGACAAATGATGTTATGTAAGACCAGGAACTGATACAGCTAATTGACGGGCCAAATGATGTAATGTAAGGCCAGGAACTGATACAGGTAATTGAGGGGAAAAAAGATGTTGTGTAAGGTCAGGAAAAGACAAAAGTAATTGACGTGACAAATGATGTAATGTAAGATCAGGAACTGACACAGGTAATTGACGGGACAAATGATGTTATGTAAGGCAAGGAACTGACACAGATAATTGACGGGACAAATGATGTTATGTAAGGCTAGGAACCGATACAGGTAATTGACGGGACAAATGATGTTATATAAGGCCAGGAACCGACACAGGTAATTGACGGGACAAATGATGTAATGTAAGACCAGGAACTGACACAAGTAACTGACGGGACAAATGATGTTATGTAAGGCCAGGAACTGACACAGGTAATTGACGGGACAAATGATGTAATGTAAGGCCAGGAACCGACACAAGTAATTGACGGGACGAATGATGTTATGTAAGGCCAGGAACTGACACAAGTAATTGACGGGACAAATGATGTTAATGTAAGGCCAGGAAATGACACACAGGTAATTGACAGGGCAAGTGATGTGACGTAAGACCAGGAAAAGATACACACGTAATTGACGGGACGGGTGATGTAACGTTAAATCTGCAATCGAACCCTGGTTTGTGACAGGATTATCTACAGTCCAAGTGCTTCGGATACGATGGTACACCCACGCACGCAACCATAATCCAGATCCTATTGCGACTACCCGACCCCAGCTCCCACCAGTTAGCAATGAGAGCGTGTTTAAAGAAATTTAAAGATTCATTAAGTCTTATAAATACATATTTTATGATACGCGACACGCTTGCTTTTACTGAATACGCTAAACACACAAATATAATACCCAAGCTGCACACATAGCGTCATGACAACGTTTCGTCTCGACTGGCACTTGGCACACGATAGACAGATACTTTTATAGACCATGATAGTGGTGAAGACACACAATTTGAAAACTATTTAGAGGAATACTCGGGCTTGCAGTCGCCACGGGAGCAAAATGAAGGTCTTATTAACACTAATTAGTTTGATGGACACGGGATATGACGTGCATCCCAACAATAACAACACTCTTAATAGAAAGGGGACGACGAAGCTTTGGAGAAAGACTTGTACAATGTGGAGTGAACGGTATTCCAGGGTTTACTACCATACAAAAGTGCCAAGAATACCATAACGATGTTTTAGCACGCAGCGTTGAACTGGTGTACATTATCATACCATGCAAAATATTAATTAAGGCAATTATACACATACGTCTCACTTAACATTCTGATAGCTGTATCTTCTAGTTCACGCTAATTGTTTGCGAAACTGTTCGTAACAATGTAATATGATAACTATGTGATGTAGCAAGTAATTAAAGATAACTCCATACATGGTATTGTTCCTGACGTCAATGGCGGTTTAAGGTTACGTCGTTCCAATAACAAACCCACAAACCAAGTGTCTCTACTTGTGATAGGAAACAGGTCTAGTTGTACATGTATTGTGGGCCCAAGAGCTACTGAACTGACTCTTAGCAGATAATCCGCAGCTCCGTAGCTCTTAAAATATATTTTATTACCATTATTTCACTTAATCAAGGGGATCAAAATTCGTCCATAAATGTCAGCGGTTTTTTTCCTAAAAATCAAACTTTATCTGATACACTATTTCTTAATGTTGTTTCACCTACACAGCACAAGAAGCATGGACAGATAACTGTTAACACGGGTTGTATAACTGGACCAGTCTTTGTTTCCAAAATACATTTTACAAATAATGTAACAATTCCGGGATATATTTCCTCATGTCACTGGTGTGTTTCGAATGCATAAAACTACTCCCGGGAAATCTATGTTTAATCTATAGGTAGCGTGAAGCGTAATTTGCTTTTCGTGTGATGCTCACCTGGTCCGGTAGCTTAAAGGGGCACTGACCTAGAGCAATTCCCCGGGACTGGTTGTAGCCTTTGTTATTGTTTTTTCCCCGTGAGTAACCGGATGATGTAGCAGAAATCTAGACTAGTTAGCGACCTGTGCTGCGCCATTCGTAAGCGCATTTGTCGCTGTTATTGATAGAGTAAGGGCGTTTAGTCATAATGATCAACAAACTAAAATACAGTTTAGTCTTGAAAATAACAAGGAAAAGTAAGTATCTTTGCATCGGTAATGGTGACGTAGTTTTGATAAGTCACTTGCTTGGTATTGTGCGATTTTCGTTTACACTATTTTGACTTGCAACACAAAGTACATATTTCAACTGAGCATTGCTTATTTTATTGTCTGTATATTTTATAGTCATATAATATGTGTTTATAGTCAGTTTATATGTGTAACAGTTTCACTGAGGCAATTCATGAAACGCCTAAATATTCAGTCCTTGCAGAGAGTAGCCCAGTCTCTTGTCACGCTCAGTCGAAAGAACGACCTTTATCCAGTTGACTCCATATCTGACTATTCTCACGCCAGCCTCTATATACTTCAACCTGTTATTTCTGGTGTACCCCGTCGTGGTACTGCTGGGATATTGCGAAAAGCGGCGTAAAATCAAACTCACTCACTCACTCTTTGTTCTGTTATATTTCTGAAGCGGCAATATTTTTCAGAGGTTGGCTTCAGATCCAAGCTGAAGTCATCGATGAGTGGAATATACAGACTTGATTACTAAATTTTGTATATATATTGTATATATTTTGAAAAAATATGTTGGGTGAGATGATTAGAAAGAATGATAGATTTCGAGTGGCGACCTTTGAGGAAGTAGCGAAGAGCATACACACTCTGGTAGGAAATGTGTTATTCATGTGATATAACATTAATTTTGATATAACCCGATTTGAATGATAAATACAGCCGAAATACGATGAAATGTATCAACCAAGTCAGTGAGCCTGACACCCGATCCCGTTAGTCACCTCTTTGGACAAGCATTACCTACAAGCATTGGTTGTTGAAGACATATTCTAACCCGGACCTTCAAAAGGGGCGTCTTCAAAGGACACCTGTAGGACACCTGTCCGTACTTAACAACTAGTGTGGCCAGTCGATCCCCATCTAAAGAATTTTTAACATGTATATTGAATCAGTGAACTATTTCACTGTAGAATCACTTGGGACACATACAAAACAATCATGGTATAAAGTGTAATACAGTAACTCACCTTACGACGTATATTTACCTATTTACCTTTCACATGCGCATTGCCAAAAGATTAATGAACGATAAGGTCGAGGGAAATGCTTGCATGGAAATTATAAATACACCTTTGTGTGAACGATATATTGGTTTGCTATACTTTATGGCAGTTGTGCACAGAAACTAATCATTCGAAGATGGGTAATTATCGATACACATTGCATGTGTACAGGAAATCATGGAAGTTCAAAGATTACCCATACTGTAAGGATTCACGTGATCTTACACATGTATATACGTATATATTAGACGTCTTATTTCTTTCTACATATGAAAATGGTCGGTATAATCGCATGGCTGTTATTCCTCCAGGGTAAGAAACAGTTTCATAATATTTCCCCTTATATTTTTTAAGCATTGTTACTGGGAAATATCAGTTTTGCATTACGCTATTTGGCTTTGTTCAATGTACCATTGCCTTGGCTGTCATATCCTCATTGTCGCGTTTAGTTAAATCTGACACTGACATCAGTGGTATATTATGGGAAAAGGCTGAACAAGGCAAAAGGTGTTTATGTTTTTAAAGCTGCAACACGCATTCATGGATATATATCATTTCTATCAACTGCTACGCGAGGCTAGGGGCGCGTATGATTTGAATCTTGCTTCAGATGGTCAGAAGTACATATCATCTTAAATTTGTTAAAAGTGCCCATAATATTATGTGCTGGGCACCAAACGAAACTGGGGATATCATGTTGCTCCCTAGTATGTGTCAATGTAAAATGCTGGCTGTACGTGGGAAGAAGTTTGCATAATTTGATAACTGCTGAAGGTGGCCGCCACCATACCACCGTGTTATGGTCGTCATTGTGTGACCTTTGACCCCTTTTATATTGGTCAGAGTTAGCTACCAAAATTACCTGTCTATAGTTACAGTATGATTTACAAACAGATACTTATCATGATATCGTCCATGTCGATGCCATGCCATGTTGATCAAAACTGATTCTAATCCTTGGGTATTTATGCCACATATTATTGAACCCGTTTTCTTGCTATCGATCTGTACTTGTGTATTAAGACTTGACTTCCACTTTGTGTGAGTTCATTGGAGTATGAACCTTCATAGAGTGATAGCCAAACTGAACTCTATGAAGGTTCAAAATCCAATGAATTCACACGCACTGAAAATCAATTCTTATGTTTTTTTATATCATTATTTTTTACCCCGAAGGATGTAGTTTTAAAGACAGTTTTATTTAGTACGCATGATTCAAAACGAGAGGTGACAAGAGTGTATGTATGCTCAACATGCTCTCCAGGAACAACTTTTGAAGTTTCTTTAGAACAGATGTATTCAATTAATATCCTCATTAAATTAGAAAGGTCTGTTGAGAAACTACCTTAGTAAATCAGTCACAATGACAGCGCGTCGTAAGACATTTACATAGCGACGTAAACATGGCCGACACAGCGTGACGGGGGAGATTTCCGATTTTGTGATGTTTAAGGAGTGGTGCAACTTCGGTGCTATCTTCAAACAGTGAATGGGAGTAGGAGGTATTGTGAACTCTTTAACACTTTCATTGAATATTCCCCAGGGACATGAAAATTGAATCAGATCATACACTGAGACGTTGACACGGAAATTGTTAATGCACTTTAAGTGGACAATTTTAGTCTGTGGAGTCTTTGTGTTATCATAAATCAAAGAACATCTTAAAAGTTTGCAGGCGTTTGGCGTTCGTCATACTGACATGTGCCAATGATTTCTCTTGGACATATCCCCCAGAAATATAAGAATTCTCGGGGTTCGCGTAATAAACCTAAAACCACCTTTGGAGTGAATAAACACAATTTATCTTTACAAATAATAGATTTTTGTAACCAATACTTTAAATTAGATGATTAAAGGACTGTGCTCAAGGCAATTGGCAGTCCTTGAACGTTATTAAAACGGCACGCTTCTGCCTGTGATGTTTTTTAATGACGTGGACCAATGTAGTAATCAGGTTTTACCCGACTTATAGAGACAATACATCAGTGCTGCTCTACACTATCGATAGTATCGAGAGAAAAAACACAGTTTACCAGTTCTTGTTTTCCGTTCGTTGTGATTAGAAATACTCTTTAGTTGAAATGTGCATGTGGTATTCATTCAGAACGTTCATAAATTAGTATTTGATAATAATCAGAGATGCTTCTATCAAAGATAGTCATCGAGCCACACAAAAGGGCTGAAAGACCTAAAGTAACACATGGCCTAAATGCGTAACAATGGAATTCCATTACTGCACACGGCAGCAGTACAACGTCTTGATTAACGTATCTCTCAAACAAACAAGTATTTGAAATTGCCTGTGTTTTTGTCACACACACCTATACATTCAAGTTGTTTATGAATTGGTTGCTTGGTGACTATACGCCACACATGGTAATAATCACGTTTAGACCTAGTCTGGAAATGAACTCTAGACGTTTTTAGAATTACTACCACACGACAATACTAACCACTTCACGCTGTATACCGTTAGTTTCACATTTGGTTTAAATGAAATTTGAACAATGCGCAAGACATGCAATGATTGTAAAGCTTGTTTTGTTTTCATTTTCACTAGGACCAATCGCCAGTGTGACGGAAGAACTTTCAACTGTATATAACGAACGCGTCCTGGTTGCCGCAGCTAGTATAGAACTAAACAACAATGAGCAGCTGTTTGTATTTGACGTGAAGTCTTGTGATGACGTTACTCTATATCTCCAAGACGACATTCAGGAAGAATATCAAATCACCATCAGAGCAGGATCGGTCGTCTCGGAAATTGCAGCCTGTCGCGGAGGTCAGTGCCAGGTGGTGGTCAAACCTATGGTGGAGGAGGAATTCTGTTGGGGTCACGCATCCTTCTGGGTGAGCTCCCGTACACTCGACAAGATCCTAGAGTTCGGCAAGGGATGCGAGAAAGGGAATGTCGTGTTGGCATCACTCGACACAGGGAACGACTTCCGGATCACGAAGGTCCAAGTGTCTGCCAGATTGACAGGAAGCTGGAAGTTGGGGGGTGAGAATTTCAGGAACCGATGAAAATACACAACTGTTCAAGGCAAACCTTCCTTTGACTGCGATCGAGATGACGTTTGGTTTGAACAGTGGTGTATATGTGCGTGTATTAATGTATCTATGTCCACGTAATACTATTTCAAAGAAGAGATTGTCTGCAACGAAATTTTGAGAGGTTAAGAATGCGATTAGGAGTGGACGATTTGATTTCTCGCGGAGTATGGGAGGTGGGGGAAGACAGAAAATACACACCTTATAAATTTGTGTAAATAAAAAATCAGCCTCTGCTTGTTGAAAATATTATCACATCCACAAAAAGTCGTCAGCGTTTTATTGCCGCGCCCGGTAACTGTCATTCTGCTACAGCGTAAACTCCTTGCGACGTGGTCATGCGTTGCTCCTTGATGTTGCCTGCCAACAGCTTGTTTTCTGTGTTGTGTCGTTCATCTTAACATGTTATTTGTCTCTGTCAAACGGTGTTGTACGTTGACATGCTGTAAGTACAGCATGAGTTCCACTGATTTGGGTACCTCAGCACTGCATTACTCAGCCAATTGTTTTAGTTGTGTTTGAGCGATTGATTCTCAACCATTTTGTAACACTATACGGGGTTTGGAATGTCGTGTAAGTACTTTCTGACATTTTAGGGTGGTACGGGTGGCCCAGTCACATAAGGTGCCGCAACTTTCTGTGCAGAGTTGCGATCCTCAGGCGTGCCAGAATCCTATGAGCAGGGGTTCGTATTCCGGTTCACTCTGTTTGTGTTTGTAGGTTTGTCAGCATCACAGTTGTGAACATCTAAGACAGTCATTACTTCAGGCTTTGCTCACACTTCAAACTTATATAATTACACACTGTGACATAAAACTGAAATACTGTTTAAAGCGGCGTAAATACCAAACTCCAAAATTAGTGAATATCAGTAAATGAATGATATTTGGCGCAATAGTTAATGAGTGAGGTTCGCAATATGCCATGCTCGACATGATCGACAACTAGTTGGGTGAGCTACGCCCGAAGCTGTCCAGTACGACGACACTTTGACCAGCCCATAGCGCCAGCTGTCCAGTACGACACTTTGACCAGCCCATAGCGCCAGCTGTCCAGTACGACGACACTTTGACCAGCCCATAGCGCATCTATGTAAATGTGCACTAGTCTGGACATGTCTTGATTTGCACAACAGTCTTTGACGTTTCTATTTCTCAACATGACTCATATTCAACAATCAACTGAATATTAAAGAGAGTGTCTTATGAACAATCGAAATCACATCGAATTACGAGTTATCCATAGTGGGAAGCAAGCGGTGAGATTAGACCAAATTCGGTTAACAATTTGAAATGTATATTTAGTGTACTTCTAGAGATTGTGGTAGCGGTGGTGGTGGAATGGCCATCTGTACACAAATATACACCACCCCCACCTCCTTCCCCAGATCCGCATATTTCTTACATTGAGTTGTCCCATAAAATTTTAGTCTCTGGTTTTCTGGACTGGCTGGTAAAAGTTAACTTGCCAATCATTGCTGACGATGGTCCAACCTCACAAATATACTTTTTCAGACAGTTCCGTGTGTTACAACAGCAGCAGAAACACTTCCGACAACACCCCCCAAGCCTTGACAAATACAACCGATCTCCCACCGCAGTCTCCCGCAAACGGAAGCAGCCAATCTGTCGTGACAACACAACTCACCACCAAGATGCTGGGCTCCTCAGCCTCAGCTCCTACCGTTACAACCCTCAGCCTCCTGTCTGCTGTCGTCGTCATCGCCCGCCTGTACAGGTAGAGAACGTGGTATGACCTTCAAGATCTGCAGATAGCAATGCCTGTACAATGGATTTCTACATATCGAATGTTATCTAACTTTTATAAAAAAATAAAACGGCTGATCAAATTGTTTTAATGTTTTCTGTAATGTATGTGACCATGTTTGGAGGGACGCGAGGGTGAATAGGTATATTAAAGTACTTTTGCTACCTGCATTGGCCCCAGCCGGATTTACATCTTCCCTTCAGATGTACCCTACTCACAGTCGGGGTATAAATTTCATGTAGCCCCCTTATTAATAATCGGACGCATCTTAGGTAACTTGCGTATTTCGCATAGGTATCGATAACTTCTGTAATGAACCGTTGTTTATCGGAATGCATTGGGTAAAGGGAGGTAACTCGCTTCGTCTGCACCGAGTTTTGTGTAGAACCCGTGCAGTACAATGCCTCTAAGTAACCTAATAATAAATAATAAGGGGTTTTTCAGTTTAATGACATCACCTCCACTACACATCACTTTGGTTTGGGAAAACTCATGCCCAGTGCAGCACAACGTCAACTTCAAAACAGAATGTTCCATGCACCCAGTTAACCCAAATAAAATAATAACCACATCCGGTCTAATGACTTTGACCTTCAATCTAAGATTGCCAGACAAATTTATGAGACCATAAACAGTCTCTGTCGAAACCATATAAAGCGATATACATTCGGAATTATACAGTATGTTTGTTTGTTGTTTAACGCCGCACTCAGCAATATGCCAGCTATATGATGGCGCGCTGTAAATAATCTAGTCTCGACCAGACAATCCAATGATTGACATCGTGAGCATCGATCCACATGCATCAACCAAGTCAACGACCCTGACCACCAGATCCCGTTAGTCGCCTATTTATGTCAAGCGTAGTCGCCTTTTACTGCAAGCATGGGCTGCTGAAGACATACTCTACCCCGGATCTTCACGGGTCAATACAGTATTAGACTAACATTTAGTCTATGAAAAGTTACATTACACGATACCCTTCTTGACTCTAAAAATAAATTAAAAAATTCCCTATGCTGATTTCATAGAGCTAGCTGGAGCTGGCTAGACTTGCTTTTTTTATACGTTTCTAGATTTATTTATTTTTCATATTTTTCATGTGAAGACTTTGACACATGGCAGTATAGAAGAAAGTGTATGTATTACTGATCGCTGAATAATGCTTTGTATAATCGTGAATTAAAATGAAATAGTCATCGTTTTGACAATAGGGACGCGTTGCAAGCCAGGAATCGCTTAATTAGTGTAAACACATTAATCACTCATCCTGGGGTCTGCAACAGCTGGCACCGCTTGCGCGCTCTTCCAAAATAGGGGCGCGACTAAAGCTTGGTTGGCTTGCCCAAGATAATATCGTAATAGAAGAGGCTCAATGACGAGCCGATGAATTTATGAATATTCACTGATCATTACTTTAAAGATGAGGAGCAGAGTGGGGATGATTGGATGTCAGCTGCCTTTGCCCATATTCCAGCTGACCAGTCAAGAATGTTTTGTTCCCCTGTCAATCTCAATTTCCGTCGGGCGACGATTTGAGAACGAAGCGACCCCAGCCAGTGATTGGTGCGAGCGATTGCAAACGGCTTGCAAGCGATTTCCCGTTTGCAACGTCCCTCTGGATTTTGGTGACCTTGATCTTCATTTGAGGTCATGAAGTATCTTCTCAAAATGAGACAACACACAATAGATCATGTGCATAAAGTTTCATTTTATTCCAGTTATCATTTTTGTGGAACCCAACTTCACACAATGTGACTTTGAAAATCAATGTCATCCAAATATGTGTTGCAAACTTTAATAGGTGGGGTTACATACATTTTCAATCAGTTGGACATTTTTTCTGAATGAAACTATTCCTACGTTTCGGTGAGGTAAAATGGGGTTTAACTTTGCTCAAGACTGAATATATGAAAATACATGCTATATTCAAGTCATCCTTTATGAAATACATCCAAACAAAATAAATACTACCAATCCAGTAAATATTATTACATTGTATATCTCATTTGAGATTAAAGAGCATCACCATTTAGGATATCATGGTTCACAAACCTGTAATGTATATTTGATAAACAGGCATCAAATCATTCTACTAGATCTTTATACAATCATCATATGCTTGTCTTGCATTCACTACATACTACTGAGTCTATATCATAAATCTTGATCTTCCTTAGGAGTGTGTGAGTGAGTTGTGTATGACCTCTGAACCGGAAGGAAGCAAAATTTGACGAAACGAAAAACAGAAACGAAATCAATTATATGGAATTTGAACATATTCTTAGAATTACACTCGCCTCTAATATCTTCCTTCTACCACTAAAACTATTGCATAATGCTTATGTAACACTCAAAATATGCCTCGTATGAGACCTCAAATTATCTTTAACAATACAGTGAGTATCAAACTTCAGTACCATAGTTTGGGTGAACTCCAGACATTCATCTGCCTGACAAGTATTTTCAAAATAATATACAAATCATAAAAAAAGTATAACTTATCTCCACAAGGTTAAATAGTGTCAAGAAATATGGAGGAATACCATTGTTACAAAACAGATTTACTGGGTATGGACGTCATACGAGAGTCATCAGAATGATGACATTTCCCACCGGCAGCTGTCTGTAAAGTAACCACAAGTAAATGTGCAATTCTGTATGTAATGAGTCGAGTTGAATGTTCTTTAAGAAGTATACATTGTTTACCAACAAAAGATCCACCATGGTCGCATCCATATGAAATGGAAAGTAAAATGTGTGTTTCTGTGGGGTTTTTTTTGCAAACAAATGACAAATTACAAGAAACAATAACTAAACAAGCGTATAGTCAACGAAGTCATCTATATCCCCTGCACATTTTAATAGGTAATGGTCCCAAACCAGGTAACTGACTCAACATTCCCATGTCAAAATAGCTGCAATGGAAATTCTAAAATAAACATTTCTAAAACTCCTTAATATCAAATGGAACCAGTTCAGTATGTACTTTATATATAGGAAATAAGGAAATATTTAACAGATTATTTGTTATACTCCATAAGTGAACCCACCTTATATGAAAACTTAAATCCAACTGGTTGCCATGGAAACGTAAAAAAAAAAAAATATATAAAAATTCCTAAATAGCAAAAGACATGCAAAGTTTTATAAGATAGTATTTAACGTTTTTTTAGTTATGCTCCGGAAACCAACACCACCCTTATAGAACCTAAGTCCAACTTGTTACCATGGAAACATAAAAAATATAAATGTATAATATTCCTAAATAGCAAAAGGCACCAGTTCAGTATGTGCCTGGTAGACATGCAAAGTTTTGTAAGAAAGTATTTAACGGTTTTTGAGTTACGCTCCGGAAACCAACACCACCCTTATAGAACTTAAGTCCAACTTGTTACCATGGAAACGTAAAAAATAAAAATTTCTAAAATTCCTATATAGTAAAAGGCACAACTTCAGTATGTGACTGTTTCGATCAAATACACTGAATTGTTTTTGAGTTCTGGTCCGGAAAAGGAAATGATTACGGATGGATGGACGGACAGACAGAGTGGCTGATCGCTATATCCCACCGCATTATATGCCGGGGGGATAAAAAGTTAAGTCATCATTACAAGGCTGCTGGATAATCTGGCAATGATTCCCTTATACAAATGAAGGGTAATAGTATGGTGTGACATACATGTATGTACTATTTTTGTTACCATAGTTACACATAAGTCAAATCAAATACATAAATTTTTAATGTCTGATAATATTAATTTAACAAAAAAAACATAATGTGAAACTGAGAAGAGAAACAAGAGATGAAAAACGCTGACTGACTCAACATGTGCTCATGGTTGGGAATGTTTATAAATCTAGCCATGACCCTCCGCAGCTCACCGGAATGTTCTTGAATATATACAAACACTTGAATCAATAATCATGAAGGGCATACAAGGATCCTACATAAATATAAATAAATAATGTACACACCAGGCACACAGGTAACCCATACTGTACAAGAAGCAGTTTAAGTTACATAAATGTCACATGATATTTCCAATACAAACCAACAGGAACAAATATATATTGCTATAGCCTTGAAAAACACAAACATGACAGAATCCATCAATTCTTTAAAAAACACAATATCACTTATATGTACCGTGTATTTGTTCTCTGGCTCACAATTATCACATTAAAGCTGTATTGGGTCTTGCAGTTTCAGAAGAGAAGATGGTTACAGAGGCCAGAATGCATATTCAGAAAATTTACAATTAAAAGGGCATTGTCAAAGTCAATATTCAAAACATCACAACTTCTTTTAAAAACCCACTACAAACCATGCGTAAAACAAGTTTCATTACAGTTTTATCCTATATATCTAGGTACAGCTTTACATATTTTATGGTTTATATATTTTTTTGTGCAAAATACTGGTTGGTAGGTGGGGTAAACAAAACTAAAAAAGACATTTCAAGTTAATTATTTTAAACGATTATGATGAAATGATGATCATCTCATTGCTTAACCTATGGTTAATTGTTTTGTGGTCAGTATGATGAATACTGCTTTTCAGATTTTATTGTTTATCCAATTTTGTTATTGTCAAAAAAATCCATGAACCAAATAAAAAAATGAGAACATGTTGTATATAATCAAAGAATTATTTTTCATTTATACAATTTATCAGATGAAACACAAATGTTGATTTATGTCCCAAAGTTTCTGACTTCCATTACTTTCTGATGTGGTCTTCGTGTAAAATGGTTAAATTAAGTATTTCATTTTCTTCATGACTTACCCAATATTACAAGTGAATTTCTTCAAATTACTTCAGATTGTTATCAATTACTTGAAAAGTTAAAAAGCATACTGATAAATACATATTTGATTTCCTTAAACAGCTTCATGATTACTCGTAACTGATAAGTAACATTTATTTCAGTCAGTCTGTAACTATGTCTATAATCATATATTTATGCTGATGTCAACTGAACATACATAGGTAGGGTGTTTAAAACCCCTGATAATTATAGCTAAAATTGACAAAAGGAGCAATTTAAACTTGTGAAAGCAAAATGAAGCAGGTATGTGCAATAAAATGAACAGCCTAATAGAAGACCTGAAGTTTGAACTTGGAAATATTTGCCCATAAGAGTTACCTGCCCTGGTCTCATTTGTTTCAAGCTGGAGTTACCTGCTCTTACACAGATGGCGTTCAACTAGTTAGCAGAAGACAAGTACGATACAGGTGGGAGGATATTTTCTATGCAAGTGCTCAAAAGGTAGGTTACATTTTTTGCAGTTCAAGCATGTGGCCAAACTTCAGTTCAGTCAACCAAAATATCGGGTGTTAACTTTTTATTTCAATCCATGGCTGCCTCCAGTATCAAATAATTCATTCTGATGTAGGCCTGATCTGTCAATGATATGGTTGTGTTGTGACTAATATGGGAGAAATAAACACACACCCTTGATGAACATTCATGATTTTCCAAGTTAAAATAATCAGTTAAATATTATAAAGCACATACCCACAGACTTTGTGCTCAAATATGAAATTCAGATCAGTTTCAGGCAAATGAATGTCATAGTTTTTCGGTTTATGATTGCAATTAGTAATATACAAAGTGAACTATTTCCGTAGGCTTTTTATTAAGGGTTCAACTTTTATCATGATAATGATAATAATTGGGGATAATTATGATAATGGCATTCATGACAATTAATGAACAGTAGTGCAGAACATATATACACATGAATACAAAACTAAAAGATGCAAAATGACCCTTATGTCTGTCAGGACACAAAGGCTGGCAGACCGGACTGCTCCCTCTTTTCCTCTCTCAAAATAGTCATCCTATTTATATACAGATGGGAGACCGATTACAGTTTTCATTGGCAACAAACTATAGTTGTTAAATGTCATTGGTTGATGTAAATAATAATACTCTGAAAATAGTTACATGTACACCAGAGTAACAACCATTCAATGGGTATAAAATTATGACTTAATTCCAGGTATCTGGACATAGATCAAGCATAAAAAAATAAAAATAAAAAGGTTCCAAGGCTGGAAGAAGAGTATACAACAGAGTTATATTTACAACATTGACATTACTGTAGAGTCTAAGAGCATTCAGTGAGTGAGTGAGTGAGTGTGGTTTTACGCCACTTTTAGCAATATTCCAGCAATATCACGGCGGGGGACACCAGAAATGAAGAGCATTCAGAAAAAGGTTTTATGAAAATCAACCTCTAATTATATCCAACAATGATATCATACTGTTCGTTGAATAATGCAATGCTTGAGTGTTTTTATAACACTTACTAAGCCTGATGATTCCATAATCAAAATGATGATACAACTATCAATACTCAGTATCTTGGGTGTCAACCCAACATGCCTACTCTCTCATTACCCCCAACAGTTTCTATAACAGATTAGTGTAGTGGTAATGGGTGGTTCATTTGCATGTAGGTGACTTGTCAGGTGAAACCACATAGTACACTGGTGGCTTGTAGCCTTCCTATAAATATCTCCCCAGTCCAATTGACTTTAACAATGCTTCATATACACTTTCCCCTGCCAATAGCTGTATCGAATAAGTCATTAGAGGTTATTGCAAAGAAAGCACTAAATCTGAATGCCGAAGATAATTCAAAGAGGACTGTGTATTCATAAGATTCATAGACATTTAGAATTTCACAATAGAAGTTTAACAGGCAAGTATACTTGGTATGTGGTTTCAGGTACTAAGCATGACAATAACATTCACATAAGATTCATAAGATGGACAATAATATTCACAATAAGATGGTTAACTTATCTGCATTCAGCAAAACGGTTACAAGCAGGTATATTTGTAATGTGTTCTCAGTGTCAATGCTTCACAAAATGACCTACCACATCAGTGTTTTCAAGGTTTGTCTTCTCTCCATTAGCTAGCTTGACTTCGGCAGACTTTCATCTGAGGTGGTGGTACTGCACCATGCTCATACATCAGCTTCCTAGCTCTGTCCACTGTTTCAAGTGTCTCAGGGAGTTTATGGATTCATTGATGTTAGGATAAGACTTCTGAAGGTAGCCATGTACCCTTGAATGCCATCCCTACATGTTGCTTGTTCTGGTGGCATGGTGGTTCGATCCATATACCAATTGGGGCAGTTTTCCAAGGAGGAGTTGCCCTGATACCATTGTTACAGTATGTTTTATTATTATTATTATTATTATTATTATTATTATTATTATCATGGTATAAACATTCATTTTCAAATATTATTTAGAAGTATCAAATTTACAATAACATATCTCTATACTCAAAACACAGCAGACATAACCTCTGTTTACCGTTATTACTATTTCCCCTTGTAGTTGTAACAAACTATTTTCCATAAATAGTTTGTGTTTTTAGTAACCTGAGAGATTGGAAACTTTGGCATAAGATAGTGCATATATCTCACAATCACATAAATCACAATTTTAGCAAGTAGTGATTTTGCTGGAGACCAAATACTGACCAATTGCATATTGACTTTTGATAGGACATTCTTCTGTCATTACCAAAACTTGAAACACATCTTTTGGATAATTTGGATGACAATTAGTCAATGTCCTAGAACCGATCTGATATACAGATTAATTATTAATATTAATATTATTTACAGAGTAAATACACCAAAAAATAATGCAAAGGCGATAATTATGACATATCATTAACTAAGTACATAGATGTATGTGAACTCATCTTTGATGCCCCAGTTGTCATACTGGTGAACTGGTATGATATTCACTGTCACTCACATTGTCCATGTCTGTCATCATATCCCAATTGCGTAGATCGATGCTCATGATGTCAATCACTCAATCAATCAATTGTCTGATCCAAACTTGATTATTTACAGACCGTCGTCCTATAGCTAGAATATTGCTGATACAATTTAAACAACATATGGTTATAAGCTATATGTGCTATATACAAACATTTAACCAATAAAACATGAATAGGGTTTGAATATAACCTAGTCGGGGGAGTGAGTGGATGCGGAAAAGCTAGTATTTTAGGAATATCAAACTTATTCTTGATTGACAATGAGTGAGTTGGGTTAAACACCGCTTTAAATGTATTCAAGTTACATGAGTATGAGTATGGTTTTACGCCACTTTTAGCAATATTCCAGCAATATCATGGTGAGGGACACCAGAAATGGGCTTAATACATTGTACCCATGTAGGGAATCGAACCCAGGTCTTCAGTGTGACAAGCGAACGCTTTAACCACTAGGCTACCCGACAGCCCCTCAAGTCACCTGACAGCGTTCCACCTTCATGCTGGAGTGAAGCCTGAACAGATGCAGGTCTCAGATGTTTACAACTTTGGTGAAACAAGCATGGTTATGGTGCTGACATAACATTGCTGACCAGGATTTGAACCCATGATCATAAGTTTCTGGCATGCCAAAGGGAAACAATTCTGCAGAGCCAATTTCAGCAGCTTATATGACTGGACCACCCATGCCCCCTCTTGATTAACAACCAAAAGTGACTTGTAATAAGGATGAGTATGGGTATGGTGATGATAAACAGAAGATCATAATCAGAGATTCAAACTAAGGGATGTAACTCTGCACAACACACAGATTATCGTAAGTCCAATCCTCAAAGTACCTCACTTATCTATACCATGATAAAAGAAAATACCACTAATCTTATGTACAACACACTAAATGTTTGATTGGGGCATAAGTTGAAAATATGAATTGTAAAATGGAAGTTCTCGAAGAAAGGAAACACAAATAATAACATTCAAAGGAAGAACACATAAGTAATTGTAATAAAGCTGTACAACATGTCAAACAGACTATGTACATGCTCACAACCAATAGGTATTCAATATATAGAGGCTATATCTAAAGTTCTGAGGTATCCTTGAAGCACAGGTGAACTGTTTTTACAACTGTTGTGTGTAAAGGGAACAAGAAAGATCCGAACTCTGTTTCTCACATGTTCAGCTTCCAATTGTCCAGAAAAATCAAAGGACAGTTACTAATGAAATGTTGTTTACAAAGGACACCTTCAAAGCAACTTTTGTCAATTTTGTCAGGATTTTCAGAGCCAGATCTTTCTATATTGAACAATCACTGGTATGTAACAAATATTTGTGTACGTGTAGATGACTATATGAACACTGGACACTTAGGTAATGAAAACATCTATTTAGACATCCTTCAACTCCTCCCAGACATTTAGCAACTGGCGTATCTTCTTTAATCGTTTTTGCTGTGGCAATAACCCACTATCCAGTGATGCCAGTATACAAAGTGGGGTCTGTCCACAACGAACGATGGCATGTGGGTTGGCACGTTGCTCAACCAAACTCAAAGCAGCGGCATAAGTCCATGGATGGCAGTAATGTTTTTTTTCATATGTTTCTTTGTTTAAGGCTAGGTGGAGAGGTGTCTTGCCTTCATTGTCAACTGCATCAATCTCTGCTCCATTGTCAAGTAGGATGTCAATAGCTTCAGCATTATCAACCCCAGCAGCCACATGGAGGGGGGTCTGACCTTTCGAATCCCTCCCATTAACATCACAATCCTTCTCTATCAGTAACCTCAACATTCTTTGAAAGTAAGAATTGTCAGAAATCTGGGTATGATGAATCCCAAATGGTTCACACAAGAGATGTAGAGGGGTTTTCTGATCATGCGGCGTACAGGTAGTGGTGGAAGCCCCATGATTTAGTAGCAGTTCAAAATCTAGATTTCTAGATTTACCAACCAAAGTCAAGGCTATATGAAAAGGGGTCAATCCCTCTTTGTTGAAACAATTCAAATCAGCTCCTTCCTTCAACAGACACATTACCATGTCATACTGTGACATTCCAAACATGGCTCTGTGTAGTGGTGTATTTCCAGATTTGTCACAACTGTTCACATGGAATCCTTCCTTAATCAGAAATCCTATTATTTCAAGAGAAGGACCGTTAACTGCAACGTGCAGCAGTGAATCTCCATTTTCTCCCAAAGGAACTATCTCCTGTAGATTGAGCTGGCAAGTTTCACTGCCTCCGTCCTGACCAGGTGCATCTGCAGCTGCTTGATAGCTGCTTCTTGCTGCCTTCATGGCTGCAGTCAGCACTTTGACCACCTCCAGGTCACCACCAGCCACAGCACAGTGTATGGGGAGATGGCCATCTCTGTCCTCCATGAAAAGCTTTCTTTCTGTCACAGGTTGTAGGCTAATTATCATCTGAACCACCTCTTTAGTGGAGAAATTTGCTGCTGTGTGAAGAAATGGGAAGAATTTTTCAATGTCTGTTGAACATGACATCAGAGGTTCATAAAGTTTTTTAAGCACAGCTCGATCAGTCACCCCATGTTCTAAAGCAACATGGAGAGGTGTACTGCCATATTGGTCAGGCGTACAAGGAAAAACACCATTATCCAGAAGATAGTTGACAGCATCCACCTTGTTTACAGCAAAGTGTAGTGGTGTGCTGCCCGAGTGATCTGTTATATTAACATTAGCTCCCATACAGACAAGGTATTTAAGCCTTAAACATGATGTTGCCACTTTATGTAAAACACTTAACCCACTTTTATCCGGTTCTGACACAAAAAGTTTGACATCTAGCAGATTCATTCCTTCCACCCATTTCGGATGTGACATCTCCAAGCTGCAAAGCTGGTGCATAATATTTACTTTAGTTGACTTTGGGAAATGAGGTGCACAATGCCTCAAGAAATAGATGATTTGTTCTTCATCAAACATCTTGAACAAATAGTCAAGATTGATAGATTCCCAACCAACTGACTTTGTATCTGAATCAGGCAGCAAAAGTTCTACAATGTCATAAGGTGATTTTTTAACTAGAGCAACATGTAGCACTGATCTCCCATCACCTGTTTTTGTTTTGAGTATTTGAGGAAACCTTTTCAGGAGTAAATCAGTAACATCTAGTAGTGCCACTGGGGACAGATAAAGATGCAGAGGTGACAGCCCATCTTTGTTGAGAATGACATCTGTATGAGACTGCTGCAGTAGCTTCTGGACAATCCGAAATGGGGCTTGATGTTTAGCTGCAATATGTAAAGCAGTATTTCCATGTGAATCAGAAAGATTGACATCAGCATGATGTTGCAACAGATAGTCTACAGAATCAGCCAGAGCATCCTCTTCATCTCTTGATATATCTTTTTGGCAAAGTGCATAGTGTAAAGGTGTTTTACCATCATGGTCACACACATTAACTTTTGCTTTCCAATCTAACAGACACGCAATGTTCTTGGGAATATTGGCCTCTGCTGCATGATGCAATGGTGTTTTTCCTTGTGTATCTTCTAAATGATGGGAAGCACTCTTCTGCATCAACTTCACAATCATCTTATCTCCATGTGGCATCTGGCTAGCAATGTGTAAAGCAGTGGAGTTATTTCTGTTTGCAAAGTTTATCATTTCAATATTTCTTGGTCCATTTTCTACCAGGAGTTCAACAAGAGTAGATCCCTTTTCATTCAAAGCTGCAAGATGCAATGGTGAAATCCTCTTCGCATCTTGGGTGTCCGTTTTTGGAATGTCAGTTACAGTCACTTGAAAACCAAGATCCAGTAGTTGCCTCAGTGTGTTACTGTCCTTTGTCTGACATGCCATATGGAATGGTGTTGCTCCTCTGTTGTCTGTCTGAGATAAGCTGGCACATTTATCGATTAACATCTGACAAAGATCAGGTGCATTGTAACATGCATGGTGAAGAGGTGTTCTCCCAAGATCATCAACATCATTGATGTTTTCAGCATTCAATAACCTCTTCACTATTTGTTTGTTGCCACCTATTATCCCTGATATTAATAGCTCAGTAGTGTTTACAGGCATTTTGATATTGTCTTCTAGCAACTGAAACATCTTGAAATTCCCATTTACACAAGCACTGTTAAAAAGTTTAAATGTCCTTGCTGGTATGTGAAAAGGAAACCAGTTAACTGAATTTGTTATGTCTTTCAAAGTCTCTACACGTTGTTTCTTCACAAGGACTTTGACAATCTTTTTCTGAAATGTTTTCTCACGTTTTCTTGTCAATCGTCGCAGGATTTCAGGACGATCTCTGGTACTTTCTGCAGCTACCATTAAACAGTTCTCACAAGGATGCCCACCCCTTGCAATGACTACTTCAAACATATTTATGTCTCCAGAATGACATGCTCCTTCAAGGATGTCATGTAAAAGTTCAGCTTTCACATGTTCTTCACTTTGATCAAGCGATTTCAAAAGTTTCACTAAAAATGGTGTATACTTCTTCACTTCAGTGATAGTTTTTATAACTTTGATTGACATTTTTGAGGTTTCAGCTTTTGTCAACATATCAACAAGGGCTTTGGTGAAGTCTTCTTTGCCAAAGATAACATCCACAAACTCCTTTTTGCAAAATGATTTATGTTCAATTATTCTGCATTCACCATTTCTTAATTCTTTTATTATTCTTTCTATGAGAACATCTCTGCATTTGTCTTTTATTTGAACCATGGTTGTCTCTGTTTTCTCTTCTGTGTAAATATCTGTGTGGCCAATTAAAAATTCTGTTGGACATATCTCAAGTAATTTTCTCTCATCCATTGGTGCAAAAGTTAAGCAAACAGCATCATAAACTGACTGATGTGAAAACTCAAATGTGTCATCCCTTTCATGGCGCACCAAGTAGCCAAGCTTGCACAGTTTATTTGTTGTGTCTTTGATATTTTGTTTAAAAGCACTTTCACTTACACCATAAAGCTGAATCAAGTGATCAACATGTGAAGGTGGATCAGAAATAGTGTCCAAAAAGATTCTACCTCTCTCAAGAAGACCTATCAGCAAAATGATATAGGCAAATTTGTCATGTTCTTTCAAATATGATATTCTTTGTTTGAGTAATTCAAGGGGCCTTTGAAAGAACTTAGATCCATCCTTGTGGACATCTTGGTTTGTAACATATTGCTTACAACACTGGGGAAATCCTACTGAAACTTCAGATCTTACTGCAGTGTCTTTGTCAGCTGCTGTCATGGTCAAGTCATATTTTCCTAAATATTCTGTTAACATTTGAAGTTTTTCATATTTCTTTAGCATATATGTTGTTGATGTCATGTCAATGATGTTTTTCAGAACAGGAATGTCTGATGTTTGAATTTTAAACTCAATGTGATTTGGTGATGTGGCAATGAAGTAGACTTTTCCTTCACAAGCTAATGCCTCTATAAGCTGGAAATGTTGTTTCCATGCTTCAAAATGGAAAAGAGAAAAGGTACTTGTACCAAATATGTCATTCACAAGTATGATATATGATTCGTTTGCTGCTAAATGTTGTATCTCCTCAAGCTCAGATACAACACATGCTTTATATGATTCAGTTTCCTTCATCATTTCTTCAAGAATATGATAAGCAGTAGATGTCTTCCCATCTCCAGATCGCCCAGTAAGGAACACTGACCGTTTACTCCTGAGTGTTTTCATGGCCTGTGTAGTGGCATATGTTCGACAGAATAGTTCTTTTTGCCATTTTCTCCGATAAATGTCACTTCTTCCTGTATGAAAATATAAACAATATCTTAGTTAATGAAAACCATGTATACAAGGGTTATATTGTAGGGGTGTCTCATTTAAATATTTCCTATAAGCTAACTGATTTATTTTTTCATGGTACATATTTAATATACATGTATACTCAACAAAAAAAGTTCCTGTGACACCAATATTTTAGTGTATTTTTCAAATAAGTAAAGTTTGGTTTTCACTATTTTAGTACATGTATGGAATCAAGTCACAAAAACGCAACTGCTACAGAAAAGCATGCATTCCATGCAAAAGTTGACTTTTATGCAAGCCCCATGCATTTCACTACCCAAGAATGCGTATAAAAACATGTGCGTTAACGGGATTCCATATGCATTGTTTAGCATCGAGCTGACAACAACCACTCAGAAAAACAACAAAATTACGCAATTATTCAACATTACGAAATGCCACGCCTGTCCTAAAATTAGCGTCTGCGAGCCATTGGTATGCTTGAAGCAGGATCAAGTCAATGTGATGTTGCAAGACAATTTACAAGAAACACTATTTGGTGTTTATGGCAACGTTGGCAATAGACGAATGCAGTCAGAGACCATCCTCGGAGTGGCAGGCCACACATAACTAATAATCGACAAGACAACTGGTTTCGAACAACACAACTACGAAACTATTCCAGCCAGCAACAGTGACTGCAAGAAACATCCCTGGCCTTCGACGAATATCTTCACAAACGGTACGTCGTCGCCTCAGATGTGCAGGGATTGTCGCCAGAAGACCTGCCATACATCCCATTTTGATAGGAAACCACTTTCAAGCACATCTACAGTGGTGCAGACAGTGTCTACGCTGGACGGCCATGCAGTGGGGACAAGTTCTATTCACTGACGAGTCTCGTTTTAACCTCAGCCACAGCAATGGACGGATTCGAGTGTACTGACATCGAGCTGAATGTTACGTCAATCATTGTGTCATGGAAGAAGATCGGTTCAGGGGCGGCAGTGTTATGGTATGGGGTGGGATTACAGCAAGACAGAGGACCCGTTTGATAGTGGTAGAGGGAAATCTCAAAGGACAGCACTACGAGATCATCAGCCCTGTTGTTCTACTGTTTTTGCGTCGTTACGGCCCAGGCATTACCTTTCAACATGACAACGCCCGGCCTCATATTGCTCGACTTGTTCAGGATTCCCTTAAAAAAAACAACGTGAATGTCATCCCCTGGCCGGCTCGCTCCCCTGATCTCTCACCAATCGAGCAGATGTGGGATGAGATGGATCGGCCCCTTCCACGTCAACCACATGTTCCACAGACATTCCAGGAACTTCGAAACATGCTCCATCAGATATGGACAGATATCCCACAGGACTTTGTTCATTCCATGAGACGAAGATGTGTTGCTTGCATCACAACCAGAGGTGGACACACAAGCTATTGATTTGTAAATTGACATTTTGGCATGTTCATGTTTTTTATGATATCATGCATTTTCTGAAGTCAGTATGGCAACTAAACCATTTGAACACTTACAGGAGTCTTTTTTCTATTGCAAACCGAAATTGTTTCAGATTTGGTAAAAAATATAACTTGCATTTAATCTTATTCAATGTCACAGGAACTTTTGTTGTTCAGTATACTTAATCTACAGGCCATAAGCATATAAGCCAATGTACAACAAGAATTGCTGTTATAGAACAGGTGCTGTATGCACACACATCTAACAGTCTTACAGATGTGTATGATGTGTGAGTTATCATGATTAACCTGAGAAATAAAAGGGGATGGTAGATAAATTGTGGTTGGTTACATAATGGTTGGCCACAGTCATATAGTTAGGACGGATGAGGATTAAAACAACCTTCACTTACTGAAAATCTAAAATTCTCTGGCACTGTAATGCCTTATGGAGGAGGAAGGGCATTGTTTGGGGTTCTGAAGTCCAGGAGGAAATTGCAATGTGTTGTGTTTGGGAAAGAAATAATCTGACTTACTAATAATAATGTCCATCTCCTTGGATTGTTGATACAATGGTGCATTACTGCTTTCAGGCGTCTCATATTTTGTGGTCTGATTGCCTTGCTGAGAGGTGATATTTCTTATTTCTGCAAACAGAGGAATAGAGCTGTAGCTCTATCTGTGGAATGGCTTAGTGACAATGAAATGTTATTTGACCATATGGTTACTACTAACTTTACTAGCATAACATTCAGAAATATAATCACAACGCAAATTTCATTTTGTTACTCTTGCTCAATGGTGAAAATACGACAACAGCACTGTAGCTCACCTGATTATATATGCAATAGCTTCAAACATCACCAAGTCCCATGTGAAAGCTAAGCTCACTCTCTATATTCTGATGTCAGGTACCTATTGTAACTATTACTAAAAGCTTTCAAAAATATTTTTGGTTAAAAATTCAAAGGAGAAATAATATAAAATTTAGCAGTCACAAATGTTGACAAACACCCAGGTATGATGGAGTAGTAATGTAATAAAAGCAATTGTTTGTCCCATTGAAGACAAAGATTAGAAAACAAGTCAACAATGAATGGTTACAGTATGAAACTGTGGTTGATTATATGTACATGCTCATGATCAATAAGCTGCATGCATATTTTACTCAGGCATCAATTTCTATGGAACGACAACAGACTATGGATATATAGATATGCTTACTGAATGGATTTTATTGCTTATTTATACTTTAAGTTCACATAGCATTTCCTGATCCTGAACCCATCAAAGTCAGATCAAGAAGAAGCTATGTTTCGGACAAAAGCTGCTATTATTCAATTAAGATATCATAAAAATATAGTGAAAACTCTTCAGTAGAGGTAGTCTTCCACACAATTAATGTTGGTCGGGAAAAAAAGCTGGACCAAATATATTTAATCTACAGGCCATAAGCATATAAGCCTATGTACAACAAGAAGAATTGTTATAGAACAGACACAATTTGTAACAAACAAATTACAGAATCATAGCCCCAGGGTGATGAGAATACTCTTAAGAGTGATTCTGGTCTTCAGCTCACCACAACATCATCAATGCTTACTGTTTGCCCATCATTTTCAGTTACTGCTGTGAAGAATTGGCTATCATAAAAAAACCATAATCAGTCCTTTGCCTGACATATATTTTTTCTGTGGCGATATCATATCTCAAGTGAAGTTTCATTGGGCCATCATCTAGATGATCTCACGTGAAACAATCCCAACCTAATTAGAAGGGTTTCACAGTAGGTGAGGTGAGGTGAAATGGGGTTTAACATCGCGTCCAAGGTTTTTACACTTATATAGCGATGTGCATGCTCATGTTTGTGTGTGTGTGTGTGGCTGCTTGTACTAGTCCGGACTGATGCCGATATATAGTGCTAGCTCACTGAGATACCATGCCACATTTTAACATGAATACCCAACTCAGACACAGTATGCTGACTCCGAGCCGACCAGTCCTTGTTTTAGACCCTTAATGCCGAGCTTCAGACGGTAACAACAAGTACCATCTTTTAACATCTTTTGGTTTGACGCACACTGGGATCTAACCCTGGACCTTCCGTTCTCCGAGCGGACGCTCTATCACTAGACCACGGAATCGGTCGTTTCACAGTAGTCTGTTTATAGTATTTTATCTGGGACCCTTAAATCTGTAAAGAGTTGTAACAAGGACCCTTTTCAGGATACAAAATTGACATACCGTATTCGACGTAATAAGCGCCCAGGGCGCTCTAAAAATTAGAAATATGGGGGCTCTTATAAGAATATTATTTTGGGGAAAAAAACAGAGTTGAAAGATAAATTTTGTCGTTTATGCTGACAGCCTGAAATGTTTATATATGACAGATATATTTTTTCAGAATTTAATTGCCCATATTTAAGGTGCATAAAACACACAAGTGCGTATTATACGCAAATAAATAAGTCTTGTGTACATTGATCAATCGGAAGGGGTGCTAATTTGGATTGTTCACTAGCCAATATATTAGCAAATATCACTGTGGGCGCTTATTAGAGCGGGGCGCTTATTTCGTCGAATACGGTAAGTCTGTTAGTCCATAACATTCAGGAAACTTCCTTGTGGACTTTTTCCACAAAGGAGAAGGGATGCAGTAGATCATATTTATGGACTAGTGAAAATGAAAAGGAAGAAATTTCTAACCCTGATGATTTTACATTCATGTTTATTTTGAAACACTGAATTTCATGTGAGGCATTTACCACTTTGAAGCTGCCTTCTCTTTTCATCTATGATATCAGCAAGGAAGTCCATTTTGATAGTTGGATGCCTCAGTGCTTTGACCAGGTCATCAGCCCAATCAGGACCTGTTTTCATCACTTCCAGGAGCAACTTTCTGGCACCCTCTCGTCTTCCATGTGTATCTCTAATTTCACCAAGTCTCTCCTGAAATTGATAAATGTACATGGGCACTGTGGCTCACCACCTTATTGAAAGTTGATAGGGATTCATCTAGACCTCCTCAAATGTCAATATTCGGTCCCAAATTCCCCAATGGGAATACAACTTTTCCTAATTCATGTTAATACAGTTATAGCTAAAGTGATGGCTTCATCAAGGTGACTTCTATTTCACTGATAACAGCACCAATAAAGAGGAAAAAGCTTTAATAAATAATTTAACAGTATTGCATTGAATGCAATATTAAATTACAATGCCCCTCGCATCAACAGTCACTACCCAAACAAATGGGCCACACACTGTAATCACGTGTGGCCTGAACTTAGTGGTTTGATCACCTGACACCCAATGCTAAATCATTCTCTATCTCAGAGCTGACTGGCTGGTGTAACTGTGATGCGGGGATGGTCGGCCAGGCATATAATGAGAGATAGGATAAGTAAATTCATATACAAAATAATGTAGAATGTAAGTTTTAGACTTATGACTGTGCCTCTCAAACTGAAATCTTGTGACATCAAGAGCATGAATCTCATTGACTCTAGCCATTGTTGCTGGGGCGGTCGGTTAGCCTAGTGCTTAGAGCGTTCGCTCAATACGCCGAAGACCCGGGTTCGATTCCTGACATGGGTACAATGAGTGAAGCCCATTTCTGAACCAGGTGGCAAGGAGGTTGATGTCTGGGCAGGGATAACGGCAGCAAATCTACTGGAAAATCATTGGATGTAGGCCCCATTCCATAGGGGATGAATGGTCTGGTCTGGATAGGGAATCTGCTATGATCCCTGGGAAGTGTCATTCTCGGACCTGAATGCCCAGGGAGTCGATCAACTGGAAAAATGCCATCGTCAGAGACTGGAGGGACGCAGACTTGGTGGAGCCCATGTTGTTGATATCCCAGAAGACAGAGAGATTGTTTGATTGGATCATGAGGTACGACACTCAGAGCTCTTCTGTCCAATTGGCGAATGTGAGGAGGGTGTCTGAGTGCCAACGGCATGAAATGTTGTCCCTTCGTCCATCTGTCTGGGGCGATCAACATCATGCCCAGCTTGAAGAGAGCTCCAATGAACTGCAGACATTTCTCACTTTGTTGTGTTGACGGTGAGGTGGGTGAAATGGGGTTTAACATCGCGTCTAAGGTTTGGAATAGGGAAACCAGAGTGCTCGCCAAAGACATTTATGTTAACTTACGACCCTATGCTGAAGACGTGGAAATCAAGTGACAGCTTCGAACGATGGGCAAGGTCACCATTGGAATAAGAAAAGACAACTGTGATATACTCACAGTGTTTTACGCCTAGAGATCAATAGGAACTGTTATTGTTCACATTTGGGATGTTTTGGCAACAAAATCAGAAGTCAGGCACACTTCCACAGAGTTTTCGAATGATTTGTATTGGAACTGTTCACTTTGAATGATCTGGTATTGCAGTCTAGTATGTTCATTCATGAACAATTAACACCTTTGGAAGCAATGTCACAAAATACGCTTCAAAGAGGACACTGATGGCACAACCAGAGCATCCTGCTTAAGCATAGGTATCTGTAGAGACAGTTTAAACTGACTTCATTTCACCACGCGTAACCTTTAACGTTAAATCAAATTGAAAGTCACGAAAGTGGTCTGGTGCGTCATGCTCAAAGGGACCCTCGATCTATTGGTAGTCGTACATTGATATAACTCGATTATATAATGTCTGTAGAAGCTCTATGCATAACTAATATAGACTGCAAAGCGAATTTGATGTGTGTGACTATCTTGTTTCATTTAATAAAGTGTTGTAAATATCTCGTCATGAAATTCCTTCAGTTCTGTCTCGTACCGTTTTGTGAAAGTGAATGACGTCTCATGATTTTTATGAATGCAAAAAGTAGTTCCTGTGTGGCAGAGGTCACGGTTACCCAATCAAAATGAATAAAACTAGGTCAACCTTGTACAACACACGTGTGATGTACGAATTTAGTATCTTACCACCTGTATCTTCACAACATGGGTAATTATTGGAGATATGCATTATATGATATCCCCAAAATTTATAGTTTCAACAACAAAGTGCTGTGGGGGCAGTGGTGAAATTCAGGCAAAATCTTAAAACATCCCTACTTACATAGGGCTACTTAATTACAATCTCTCCCCAATTTGCCTGTCAAGGGTACTTAGTTTGGAATCCTTGATAAGAAATACTTTCAGATTTAAGTTTCATCAATTAAAAATCTCAAGAAACCAGTATCATAACAGCTACCCATATCGGTACTATATGTGATATTGTTATATGCAACAAACAAGCAAACAAACAAACAGAAACAAAATTACCTCAACAGCAGGCCCTAAAGGTAGCAGAGTAAGTAGGTATTTTGGGTCGACATTGTCAACAAATTCTTGCTTGATACATTTGTAGAGCTCCTCGCCCAACACTCCATAAGTGGCCAACACTGAATCTGTAGAAAAATGATAAATGTCTGTGTTGATAACCTGTTTCAAGATTTAACATTTTGATTTTAAGAAATTATCCAGTTATCATTATCTGGGGAAATTGTGAACTACTTTCAACTGATCATGAATATGGCCCAAACAATTATGTCTCTGCATCATGGAGTTTTGATGCCAAAATGCCAAGAAGCAAGGGGGTAAAAACCTAAATGATCAGGGAGAAAACAGATTACCTTTCAAGATATTTTCAAATACTTATTGATTACATAGGTGTTTGTTTTAATAATGTTTGTCCACAAAAAGTGTTTCAAATTGAATTGACAAATTTTGACTATGAACAAATATGTAAGAAAACTTTCTGGAGAACAACTTCTGGTTTATTGAATGTAGTGACATTTCAATGTAGATTAATACACCGTTATCAAGCTAGAGTGACAACAACCAAGTGACGTGAGGTATATATGCATGACATGTTGTGATAAGCAGCAAATTAACCTTGACAACAACAGATAATAGTTGACAAGTAGCATACAGATAATTGGATGAAGCCAAATGTACAGTGAGAATAACAAATAGCACACAGGTGATGAAGCACACAGGTAATGAAGCCAGACGTACAGTAAGGATGAGGATGACAAAGTCAATATCCTCTCAACCAAACATCAGGACTTTACCAAAAGAAAACTCTCAGAAGCTATAGAAATCCAGAGTCACAAACCTTTGGTCAACAGAGATGAAGTGTACATCTCGTCTGCCTATGAAGTTCTAATCAGAGAATAGACTACCTTAATTAGGATCTAATCAGCTTGTCACAACTGTGTAATTCTTTTCATCCTTATACTTACTGTACATCTTGCTCCATTACCTGTGTGTGATTTATTATTCTCACTGTACATTTGGCTTCATCCAATTATCTGTACTTGTATCTACTTGTTATTGATTACCTGTTGTTGTCAATGTTAAGCTGCCTCTTATCACAACATGTCATGCATATACATGTCACCTCTGTTCACTTGTTGTCACTCCAGTTTGATAACTGTTTTAGAATCTACATTGAAACGTCGCCATATGCAATAAACCAGAAATAGTTATCCAGACTATTTACATTTTCTTACTTACTCACCAACTTCTAGAATGCCAATCAAACAATTGTAAATAAATATGTTTTCAATGAAACCCAGCTGTCTTCTCTTTGAGTTAAATTTTACTTTTGGCTCCATAGCCTTTGGATCAACTGTATTTCATAACAGAAGAAGTGAGTTAATTTTGCCAGGAGAACCAAACAATACTTTGGATGGAAATAATTTCAACAAATATGAGTGAGCTATGTTATCTATAGGACCATCCATGCAATGCATGATCAGCTTTGTGCTGTTAGGATTTCAGTGAAAAAAGTTGAAGCTACAAAATTTCATGGATGCTGATTTGTGTAGACAAGGACCAATGACCAAAAAAGCTTTATCGATAATAGTAGCTATAAATATACACAACAAACGTTTGGACAGATATAATTCGGGAAAACATTTTGGGATATTTGTAAAATGTTTAATGTTATGCTTATTGCCTTTATTTTTGGAGGAGAAATTTTAAACTTTTGATCCATATTTTATTGATTTAAATGAACATGCTCAGTTTTCAATTCAAACATACAGTCAAAACAAATCAGTTCAATCCATACAATTTCACCACTGCCTACTTATAATATGCGACTTTTAACAAACAGCCCTTCTAATGGTGATTTAATGATCCATGCAAAGTTTCAGCTTTCTGAAGATGATCTCTGAACATATATTTAGCAAAACAACGTATCTATTGCCTAAAAAACATACAGCAGAACTGTGGACCAGTACAGTCTTTCCCTTCCAAAAGGTCTAATTCCTGCTGAAATATTTTCAGAGATGAGGAAAATGTCTCAATTGGACTGTTTCCTTGACATTTAGTTGTTTTCTGTATTCTGACCAAACATTTACTTGTGGATCCCCAGTTCTTTAAAGTAGGATATTTCAATGTTTGATATGTTTAGTCCTCTTACCAGTATCAGTGTCATCATCTCCAACACCAGGCCCAATCTGAAATTATAATAATGACGATAAAGGGAAACGGACCTCTATTGTGTTGCAGACAATAGTCTATTATGTTGCACACAGTAGTATATTAGGTTGTAGACAGTAGTGTATTATGTTGTACACAGTGGTGTATTATGTTGTACACAATGGAGTATTATGTTGCAGATAGTAGTCTATTATGTTGTACACAGTAGCCTATTATGTTGCACACAGTGGTGTATTATGTTGCACACCATAGTGTATTATGCTGCAGACAGTAGTCTATTATGTTTCACACAGTCGTATCTTGTTGCAAACAGTAGTCTATTATGTTGCAGACTGTAGTCTTAGGATGCACAATTCATCGATTATTTTGCACACAGTAGTTTATTATGTTGCACACAGTAGTGTATTATTATAACCAGGGTATTTTGGAAAAAGGGTTTTTGATATTTACTTAAAATGTAGTTTACTAAATCAAGCTTTAGGGTAAAATATAGATACATATGAGAGAAGTGACTGTACTGGGTGAGGGCATCACCCCCAGGACAAATGATGATTGATTTTGCTTCTCTTAGTGATAGAGATAATTTTTCATTGGTAAAATGATCATCACGATATGGCTGAAATAATGCCGATGTGATGTTAAATTTTAACTCACTCACTCATTGGTAAAATGAAATTAGTAGAATCCGGTCTTGCAATATAAGTGCCAGAAGGGAATGAATGGATGGAACAAATTGTCAGTCTTGATGTTTTCAAATATTTCTCAGTACTATTGCTTGATTGGAATGTCCGACTAACATGATTAGGTATCTTTTTGGTGCCTTTAAGTCTGACAGAGTATTTGATGGTATTTGATTACATGAGTATGTCCCAGTTGACCATTGACCCTAGGAAAGTAATAAAGTTGGTTAGTCGAGAAGAGCCTGATAGTAAAACTGATTACAATGGAAATTGGGGTTCACTGGGAAATGAGCATTATGACTCATTTCTCATGATGTCAAATATGATTTTGGTGGGAGGAGCTAAAACTATCATCGATAGTATTTTGTTAGTTGTCCGAGAGTGGTGCAGGAATTCGGGAGCTCACGGCTGAACAGAGAGGTTCTCTGATCAGAGGTTGATCAGAAAATCTATCAGGATCTTCAACGCATCATCTAGGTATGTGTTGTATTTAAGTAATACAGGCAACAACAAGAACTTACCTGAGGACCTTGTGTGTGTATATTTACAATAACTACCATCACCAATAAATGGACTGGAGCAAACCATCTGACTTGTGATTTTGAGAGAGTTACATCATCCCTAGAACCAAGGAGTGGTTGATAAGTACAAGTGACCAAAGGTAGAAGGGTAAAGTACCCGACACCTAAGGTTACATTATGTTGCATACAGTTGTGACTTATGTTGCACAGTCTATTATGTTGCACACAGTGCTGTATTATGTTGCACATAGAAGTGTATTATGTTGCACACAGTCGTGTGTTGTTGCACACAGTGGGGTATAATGTTGCACAAAGTAGTTTATTATGTTGCACACAGTGCTGTATTATGTTGCAAGTGTATTATGTTGCAAACAGTCGTGTATTATGTTGCACCCCCTCATGTATTATGTTGCACAGTAGTGTATTATGCTGTACACAGTGGTGCATTATGTTCCACATAGCAGTTTTATGTTGCACACAGTTGTGTATTATGTTGCACACAGTGTTGTATTATGTTGCACAAGTAGTGTATTATGTTGCACAAGTAGTGTATTATGTTGCACACAGTAGTGTATCATGGTGCACACAGTGTTGTATTATGTTGCACACAGTAGTTTATTATGTTTGTTGAAACATATTTTATTCAGATTGAAATGAATTGGGAACAAGTTATCCAACTTAGGACTCCCTCTCCATGGTATTTACAAAAGCTTGTACAGAAAATCATATACATGTACAAGGAAAACAGAAAAGAAGATGAGTGTATACATATAAAAGAAATGTACAAAAGAGAGTCTAGTATATTTACATAAAAATGTTACCCAAATCTCTTTGTATGACTTATAAACATTTGCACTGCCTTAAAGATATGTTGATTATCGATAATGGACAGACATTCATTTCCGTTTAACATCAAACTTAAATCTAATTTAACATTGTTGTTCAGGGTGTTCTGTAAAATGTCCTGAATTATTATCGACATAGATTTTCTTTGGTGGACATATAATGGACACCCTAACAAATAATGAAATGCGTTTTCACATGGATTACCACATTGACATATTGGATCACATTTGATCTCTATTGTGTATAAATCATAATTTAACTGGCTTTCCATGTATCTTAATCGAGTATGATATACCACTTTCTAACACCATAAGAAAACTATGGAGGTGCAATACCTTGCTCTTTTTGTATGTATGACTTGAAATGGGATGTAGATGTACAATTTCTACCTGCTGCAGGAATAGTGTTCCATAACCTTACAGTTGATGGAATAAAAGAAGACGTTGTGTGTTTTAATCTAGTATATGGAATCACAATATTCCCTGAATTTCTTAAATTATATGATACATTTTAACCTACAGTGGTTGATACAATGTCTTTAAGACAGAGTTAGGACAATATTATTTTGTATTTTGTTGAACAAACATAGCTTACGTTTCCTCCTTTGTTCTGTTAACGTCTCCCATCCTGTTGCATAATTCAGATGTTTGTCCAAAGTGTACTTTGGGAGCCCAGTAACTATTCTGGCAGATTCTAGTTTTCTAACTGAGTTGATAATTCTACATTACACCCATCCCACACTTCACACACATATTCGAAATAGGGTCTTATGAAAATTATATATGCTTTATTTAATGTATTTCTGTTCAATATCAATTTTAATTTTCTCATTGAATTTATCATTTTTGATGTTGATTTAATTATGTTATCTACGTGACATTTTGCATTTGATGCAAACGTTATACCCGAATGTTTATAATTTTGAACATTCTTAACTTTACATTCATCAAAGAAAAGGGTAATAAGTTCTGATTCATCTTTTAATGAAAATATAACCGCTTTTGTTTTATCTTGGTTGTATTTAATTAACCAGCGTTTTGCCCAGTTACATAGCTTGCTCAGATTTAAATTTCAAGTTGATTCAACTAGTTGATATTATCTGGTGAAGAAAAGCTGAGTGCTGTATCGTCAGCAAAGAGTCTTGCTATGCAATCTAATTCATCAACAATTTCGTTAACAAATATAATGATTAAAAAGGGACCTAACATTGACCCCTGTGGAACGCCAGCCTTCAAAATCCTTGGCTTGGATAGAGCCCTGCTTACAAACACTGATTGAGTACTATTGCCATTCAAGTAAATTCCTTTTTATACCATACATTTCTAATTTGTACATAATCCCTCTATGCAAGACACGATCCAATGCTTTTGACAATACTAATGCTGTTTTCTTTAATAGGTTATGACTTATTCTGTCTGGACCAGATGCCTTATTAATTTGAAGACATTTTATAACGTCAGATCTTTCATTTTCTGAGATAGTTAATTTATCAAAAATACTCGTAGTGCCTTGCTTGAAATATGGTAATTCTTCCCGTTCTTCAGTTAGGGTAGATATGGATTGGAAATATTCATTCAATCTCTCTGATTTTTCGAAATCTGAAAATATATTGGGACAGTCATCCATATCTTGTGTCCTTAATGGGGGAATACTCGAAGATGTTCCAGAGTTTTTGACATAATAATTTCCAATATGATTGTTTATTTACTGTATATAATTCTGAAAGAAATTCATCGATGTTAGAATAGAACTTTTCTTTCACATAACTTTTCATGTTGTTGACTTTATTGCGTTGTTTGTTGTATGCTATAATATCTGTCTCCTTATAACCCCTTTTTGGTTTCTTTCGTAACCTATTACTTATCCTACACTCCTTTCTTAAATGTGAATCAAACCAGGGTTAGTCATTAGGTCGAATAGTGACAATTTTAGATGGAATACATTGTGTTACAAAATCATTCAATCTTTCATACAACACTTCACACATATCATCAACATTCGTACATTCATTAAATAATACAGGCCAATTAGAAAGGTTTATGAGATCATTCAATTTAACAAAGTCTCCTTTGTTATAACATAAAACCTTGCGTTTATAAGCTATCTTGGTGCATATGTGTGTTTATTATGTTGCACACAGTGTTGTATTATGTTGCATGCAGTTGTGTTTTATGTTACACACAGTCGTGCATTGTGTTGCACACAGTAGTTTATTATGTTGCATACAGTGTTGTATTATGATGCACACAGTAGTGTATTCTGTTGCAGACAGTAGTCTTATGATGCAGAAGTCATATGTTATGTTGCGCACAGTAGTGTATGATGTTGATAAGGAGTACATACCTGTGAACATACCTGTGAATTACTGTGTTGAGACATGCATGGTTGCATCACAAGATCGCCAATCATGTTACCTGTAACAATAAATACATAACCTATGCTTAGACATAAAAAGATAGTGCCACAGCACTGTAGCTCACCTGGTTAGCTTAACTCACATTTTAAAATGTCAACAGTCACTTAACAAAAGCTGCTGCCAGTATTGCTATTTAGATATTTTCTGCATAAATATTAAGGACAAGTCAGTATTAACAAATCTAAAATATGTATCTAAATTTCCACAGTGTTTCCAAATCTGCAAGAATGAATTGTAGAACATTGTTCCAATACATATCAGCTAAACCTACTTTTCACAAGGTTTCAACTCTGAGACATATATACCTTCTAGGAAAGTAATATTTCAGATATCATAAAGTTTTCCAATTGTTTTACAAATCAATACTAAAATCCTAATAGTTTGAACAAAATGGGATGTCATCATAAGACAAACATAGAGGCCATACTTCAGCTTCCTAGGTCTGCTAATATCAGAAACAAAAATATATTTTGCAAGAATTTAAGAATACATATTGAGCTGAAATGGCTTC